ATACGGGAACCAACTCTACTTTTACTAAAAGACTATTTAACTAATAGAGTACAAAAAATAAAAATCGATGACCAATTCAGTAGTTCTACGGAAGTCAAAATAGGAGTTCCCCAAGGAACAGTACTAGGACCAATTCTGTTTCTTATTTATATAAACAGTTTAAGTACGATACAAACGTTCAAAGGGCATCTCATATCATATGCAGATGACACGGCTATTGTTATTACAGGGGACTCATGGGAAAATGTATACAAGGATTCACAGAAGGTATTAAGCGATATAAGGCTATGGTTAAAGTATAACCTATATGTTAGTAAAACAAAATTTCTAACTTTCTCTTTACTACAAAATGATCAGCCGGAAAAATACTTTGAGTATACATCAAACAGGGTGCGAAACACAAAATTGCTCTTGTCCATTGATAGAAAGGTTGATAAATATAAAATATCTAGGTATAATGATAGATCAGAATCTGAGATGGGACGCCCACTCTGATTACGTAGTGAAAAGACTCAGAATGCTAATTAAAAGCTTCTATCAATTACGAGATATCTTGGATAACAGAAATATTTTTGTATTATATAAATCTCTAGCGGAATCTGTCCTGAGATATTGTATAAATGCTTCGGGTGGAATGTATAATAAAACAATAAAACGACTTCAAACAACACAGAACACTTTAATGAAAATTATATTGAAGAAACCTAGGTTATTCTCAACACATCAGCTATATAAAGATTCCGAGATCTTGAATGTCAGGGGTCAATATTCCTATCAATACCTTCAGTGGATGTTCAAAAACGAACAGGACTATTCAAACAAAGATTTATATTCTATTTCGGACCTAAACTATACAATGTGTTACCTCTAAAAGTTAAGAATATAACAAAAATGGCGAACTACAAACAAAACATTAAAAGTTTCATTCTCGAAAACAATACACTAAATTTAATTTTCAACTGATGCAAACTCCTCCATTACTCTATAACTCATTACTTATTCTTTCTTATTTTCACTTTCCCATTATCCTAACCAACCTAACTAATATAAAATAATTCTTATGATAAATTTCAAATTCATCTACTGAATATTATCAATATTATCATTATTATTTTTCGAAACTCGCACTGTATAAAAAAGTAAATTAAGATACCCAAATGGAAGAATGGAACATTACAACACAAGCATTCATTGCTTAGGTATGTTTTATGTTTCCTTTGTGTTTACCATGTATTTTTTTTATAGTAGATATTGTACCAAACAAAATATGGAATAAATCAATCAATTTCAATCAATTCCAATAAGGACGGATTTTTGAATATTCCAACTGAAGAGCCAGCCGCGGCAGAAGAAGGCGCGTCCATAAAGCAAAATTATCTTTTCAGTACTGTTTTTCCATGCCCTCTTGTTCGTACATCTGTCAGGATGGAGCCTCGCTCCCTCACCTTTTCGGCTGGCGTTTGTCAGAAGGACAAATGGGACATAATTAAATAGAGGTGGCGGCATGAATATCCTCAGACATCAGTACCGCCTTTCACGGTGTACCCCTACCTGGCGGGGGTGAGTGGATGAAAGAATTGTTCATCCTTCAACGGAGGACATGAGGGCCTCATTCGACAGAGTGTCTGGGCCTTCTACATCGGAAGGGGTCGTTTACAGCGTCTATAGCTTCGTTAGGTTAGGTCCAAAGTGAGTGTGTCTATTCGACCCTCCACCGCAACCCGCGAGCTTTTACTGTGGCTAACACCTATTCACACACTCGACCAAATAAACCCAGCTTCTTAACGAAGCCGATTAGTTTGTATGGTGAATGGTCTTTCAGGTCAGATGGTAAGAGTACGGCTTTGCCAAACTCTAAAAACCTGTTTGTTTGAAGGTGATTGACAATGTTTCATGATGAATTTCACTAATTCGGACTTCCATTGTCTAATATATAAAATGATTTGAAATCCCTGAAATAACTAAAAAAGAAGAATTTAAAATAAATAGCTGTAAATAACAATTATATTAAGCAAAAAACCTGAAATGAAATAATGGCGAAATAAAATACAAATAAAAATAAAACAATTGAATAAAAATTAAAAATAAAGAAATACAAAATTAAAATAAAGTTAAGAGAATTCAAGCCAAGTTAGTTCACGACGTTTTGATTGTTAGTATCCAAAACCGTCTTCGTGTGATGACTGGACTGATTCCTCCGAGAGATGACTATTTATGGGTCGTTCGAGTACTTTCACTTAACTCCGCTTTCCATTTTTTTCCGCTTCACTGGTTCAGTGGGAGATGACTGTTTGGCGGAAGTTGGCCATTTTTCGCTTGATGATGGGTTTCCGTATGTTGCGTATTTCTACGCTGGCTTGGCTGAATACGTTGTTGGACAACATGTATGCGGCTTCCTTGATCTCAGCTTGATCTTCCTTGATCTCAGCTTGGGACCACTCGATGTTGTGTTGATGGGTCCAAACATGGTCTGCTATTCCTGATTTGCTGGTTTCCCCTCGCTGTGTGTGTTTTTTGTGCTTGGCAATGCGAACATTCAATGGCCTCTTAGTTTCACCAATATAGGATTTCCCGCACTCACAGGTTATCCGGTAAATGCAATTCTTGGAATCGCAGTCCGCGTTTGGTGGCCTGGTTTTCGTGAGGCTGCTACGTATAGTGTTACCGGATCTGAAGCAGGTTCAGATGTTGTACTTGGAACCAATTCTGCTTATCTTCTCCAATAATCCTCTGATGTAGGGAAGTGATGTAGGGCACTGGTTGTGACGGCTTCTCTTTCTTGCTAGGCCCCTGCTGTATTTTAGCCAAAATCTTATCTACCATCGCTTTGGTCTAGCTATTCCGTTGAAGATCATTTTTGATGATGTCTAGTTCCTTCTCGAGAACTTCCTTCGTGTTACAGAGCCCGAAAGCACGGTCTAATAGAGTCTTGATGATTCCTCTTTTGATTGATTGATGGTGGTTGGATTCGTGATTCAGATACTGTCCCGTGTGAGTGGGTTTTCGGTATACAGATGTTTCCCACTTAGTGTCGGTCCTCTTCACCAAAACATCTAAGAATGTCAATTCGTTGTGGATTTCCTTCTCCATTGTGAAAGTGATGGAAGGTCCCACGCTGTTGATGTGTTTCAGGAAGGCGTCTAGTTCGATATTCCCATGGTTCCATATTATGAAGGTGTCGTCAGCATATCTCAACCAGACTCGAGGTTTCCTGTGGGCTTCTTCAATGGCCAGAGTTTCAAACCACTCTATATATATGTTGGATATGACTGGTGAAAGTGGCGATCCCATTGGCAGTCCCTCATCTTATGTAAAGAATTCGTCCTTCAGTTGGAAATAACAGTTTCGTACACAACATCCTAGTAATTCCATAATTACTTCTATAGGTAGATTCGTTCTCTCTTTCAGGTTTCCGTCTTCTGATAGCTTTCTCTATATGATTTGGAGTGCTTCTTCGACCGGAACGTTGGTGTGAAGGCTTTCCACGTCGAAACTAATTAGCTGATCTTCCTGTGTGTCTTCAATTGACCCTAGTAGTTCGACAAAATGCCTTGAATTCTTCACAAAAAACGATGTTTTTCCTTGTAATGATTGTATTATGGGAAATGAAAATCTAGACAAGTTTTGAGTAGTCCAACAAATGTTTGGTATCAAGCTTCGAAGGGTGAATAAACTCCTTGGAGTGAGCCAATCCTTTAAGATTCTGCCAGAAGTCCATAAATCTTCTTGCCATTCAGCTGTTCAATCTTTGTTTGGCAAAGGCTAAAGCGATGCCAATGACAGGTTCTGGCCCGATGAAGCTGCTTGCAGCACCCTTCTTCGTAAGGGAGTCAGCAGCCTCATTGCCTCTCAGGCCAGTATGGCCAAGAATCCAGACCAGAGACAATCTGTTAAATCTTTCTATCGAGAAGAGTCGTTTTTGTCAATTTGCTACCAATTTAGACGTTGCTCGGTAGGAGCCAAGAGCTTCCAACGCCGCTTGACTCTCCGATAATATTTTTATCGACTTGTTTATGAGGTTGGATTCTATATAGCTTCCCTAACTAACGACCATGCCCTCTTAATTCCAGTGGGCGATTTTATATTAGGTATCAGCATTGAACCCGTGCGGAGCCGGGGTGGTTCGCTAGTTCTTATATACAACAGTGGTAGTTATCTACCTCACATAATTGGATAATGGTGAATGAGATAACAGACTTAGAAGACTTAGAAAAACAATCATAATCTCAGTTCTTGGGCAGCAGATAAAATTTTAATATAAATAGTCAATTATGGAAAAAGGTTCAACAATGGTGAATGGTTAACCTCTTGTTGGTCGTTCTATAGGGAATTTGAGTGTTTGTTCTTATTGATTTCCAGAGACTCCAGCAGGGTTGATGATAAAATAAAACCTAGAAAGTACATGTTTCAAAACACCTATACGTTGCGAGAAATATTTCAAGTGGCATCTAACAACATGACAAAAAAAAGAGACATTTGTTATATTTTCAGAACACCAGTAAATATCACAAATCGCACTAAAACTACGCATTCATTGGCTTTTTGTTTTTCCTGGTAGCTTTATCACTATGGAATTGACCCACATTATTAGATAATTTAAAAATAAGCATCCTAAACATACGAGAAAAATAACATTTATATCAAAAAATCGGTAGTAATGACGTAAGTGAAAAAATAAACAACTATCAACTTGGATAACGTTCTAATATTACGAAATTTTTCCAATGTTACGAGATACGATTGTTTGTTATTCTGGAAAAAATCTATTCTAAATCCAATGACCCGCAATATTTTGTGAGATAAACTTTTTCAAAGATGAATCCCAAAAAATATTTTCCAAAATTTCGGCAATATTCTAATAGTATCAATAAAACTCTAAATCCACCTAAATGTATACGGAACTATTATTCAAAATGAGAATTAAGTTTGTACTATGATCAAATGAGTTGTATTTTAATTCCCTGTTCAATTCTTAAAAAAACTGAAATTTCAAAGCATACTTCAAATAAGCAAGATATATTTTTTCTACAAATGCTCTTCATTGAAAACATCAATAATTTTACATATTTAGAAATTCATGTAGAACTTGATGCCACCCATCCGATAACCGTAAGCAACTGGTTCTTGTAACTTTTTATACACGGATCGTCACCGACTTGAATATTTTTAATCTGCTCAAAATATTTTTTCTGAACTTCGGTCCTGATTTTTGGATGTTCGCATATGTTGCTTAATGCCTAAAAATGATGAATAAAAAATGTAGTACTTCGTTATCATTTTTTACATCAAATCCAAAACTTCTACCAGCTGGAAAATGTAATTACAACACTTAAAACTACATGTCTCAGATAAGGTGAACTCTTCAACTGGTACCGACCCTGATGGAATGAAGTATTGGCTGAATGCAGGAAAAAAATCAGATCACGTTTCATTTGGGCTAGGAGGCTGGAACAGAGGATGCAAACCAAGATCTTGGAAGCAACCCCAAAACCTAATTTCGACTCAAATACGAAAAGTAAACACATATCGAGCACATATCGAGTATTGCAGATTTTGACGGTCAGAGATAACCATACCAAAGTTACTTTTCAGGTTTGTGGTCCGTGGTATGCAGGGTTTTATGTCTGACGTTTCGTCTACAACTGCGGTATCCATTATCGAAGAAAAAGTGGAACACTGCATTCATTATTTAATCGTCTATAATAATGTCAGGCATGAAAACCAGCAAATCACAGCCGAAATATAACTTTGACACATACAGTGCATTTTTTAATGCCCCCCCCCTTTTATTTTGTAAACGGGTCTACTCAAAAAATTGAAATTTAAGATAATGACATTAATGCATGAATACTTTATTTTGAAGTGAAATTGACAGATGAAACTTTCAAGATGGTGACTGGGCGCCATCTGGGGAAAACATTAAATGGAAAGGGAGGTCTTGTGACACATCTTCTTGAAACTCCTGACAAATGCTTCACAACCCTAGAATATAATGTTAATATCTTCAACTACTACAAAATGGCGGCACTTTTAATAAATGCCTGAATACATTGACATTTACCTACATAATATGAGGTAATAAGTTTGAGGTCAGTTCAGAATATGCTCGAAATGGTTGTCTTGAACTTCTTGACATATGAACAGCCTATCCGATATTTCACGCCGAACATTTTTGTACACAGTTACGTCAATATCTCTACAAATATTCATTATCCTCTGCCGGATATCCAATATTGAATCAGGTTCAGTTTCGTACACATTTTGCTTCAAATAGCCTCATAAAAAAGTCCAAAGGTGTCAAATCTGGCGAGCGGGCTGGCCATTCTCTAGGTCCTTGACGGCCATTCCAACGACCGGGAAAAGTAGTATCCAAATAGTTTCTTACTTGTCTGGAGTAATTTGGTGGTACTCCATCTTGTTGGAATACAATATCCACATCGAATTCATTAGGATTCGCTTCGACGATTTCAGTGATGAAGAGGGTCAACAGTAGTTGCCCTGTTAAATTTTGATCAATAAATAGAGGTCCTACAATATGATTTCCCATTATTCCCGCCCAAACGTTAATTTTTTCTGAATATTGGGTATGTGTTTCCCGGAAAACGTGAGGGTTTGTGTCACTCCAATAACGCCAATTTTGTCTGTGAACATTGCCTTTTAAAAAAATGTACATTCGTCACTAAAACAAATATTATGGAGATAGGTAGGATGCCTTGCAATGGTATCCGTCATGATTTCGCAGAATTCTGTTCTTCGATCAGGGTCATCTTCACTCAATTGGTGTACCATTTTAATTTTGTTTGGATGATACCTATTCCTCTTCAAAAGTCTCCACACAGTAGAAAGAGACACCTCACAAACATTCACGACGGAATAAGTAGACTGTTCAGGATTTGCACTTGCTGTTCTTCCAGAATGGACGGATGACCTGGGGGCTTTTTGTTATGTAGACTACCGGTAGTTGTGAATTTGGATACAAGTTCCCTCAAATATTTTCTACAGATAGGACGATTCGGAAAACGTTCATTGAAAATCCTTTCGGTCTCATGAAAGTTACGCGTCGCACCATAAATAAAAATCGCTTTAATTTTTTCTTCCAATAGACGAGAATTGACCATTTTAGAGATGGTTGACGTAGTACCTTTCTACTAGTAAAACCGAAAACTAAATGAGAATATTCTAACTGAACAATGATGTTCATTGTCGTACTCACATTTTTTGACGTTTTTATAGACGGAAAATAACTTAACAAACCTTATCGGGTTGTTGGAATTGCCATATGGCAGATAAAAAGGAATAGGTACTTCTAGAAATATCGATATTAATGTGTTTGTCTTCAGGAAAGTATTAAATGTTCCGCCATTTTGTAGTAGGTGAAGATATTGACTTCATATTCTAGGATTGTAAAGTATTCGTCGGGAGCTTCAAAATGAAATGTCAATCTAATTTTTTTCCCAGATGGGGCCCAGTCGCCGTCTTGAAAGTTTCATCTGTCAATTTCACTTCAAAATGAAGTATTCAAGCGTTAATGTCATTATTCCAAATTACAATTTTTTGAGTTGACCCGTTTAAAAAATTAAAGGGGGGGGACATTAAAGAAATGCACTGTATATAAAATGATACTAAGAACCATAGTATTTTTTCAGTATATGTTAAAGTATTGCATAGTTGGAAACAACCACAGTAAACAGAAATGTTTAGCAATATTTCCATTTGACTTTTTAAATGCCGCGTTGAACAACCAAATTAATCACTGTTCATTTTGAAATATATATTAGTTTTTTGGCAGGTAAAAATATAAGGTACAACAACATGAAAAGCCACATACCAAATAGCCAATACCACTATTTGGTATTGGCTCATAAAAGCTAAGCTTATGGTCTCTGGTATCATCTAACAGAATATTCGTTGAATAATACAGAAAGATGAGGTCTTCAGTCGCTAGTTAGGGATACATATCCCAAAGCTATGGGTCCTCTTAGATCTAGAATAAAGTGTGAAAGGAGGCCAAAGTGAGATGAAAAAAGTGTAATTCTGATATTAGACAAATATGACTGACCTTAATAAAAGTTGGACTCTTGATAAAAATCGACCTATTTTCGAGGGCGTCAAGTATCCAAAAAAGAACGACTAGGAGGTGTCCAAGAAAGTTATCACAGCACCAACAGTTTAATGGTCGATTCAATCATTTCATTGGGACAGATTGGACAGGAAAGACCCACTTTCCAAATAGAAGGACGAAATATCAGGCGAGCTCCTTATGGGCATCCCCCAGGATGCTTTTCAAATTGCAAATCAGCGACTTCAGCACTTCATAACGTAAAGACATTTTGCTGGCCATGTTTCTTGAAATCGAAGGAGAAGGGCATACAATCGAGCATTACTGGTTGGATCTATAGCATGCCCATGAACAAAACAGCTACTACGACTAAATTAGCTTCAAGGTTGTCAGGGGTTGCCGACAGAGCGTTTTCCCTTCTGTGGCCACTCCTGATGGAAGGTTGGCAGAAGAGAGGAGAGGTGGATCTGTGAGCTTATGAAGACGACCTTGTCATCTTGGCAAGAATCAGGATTGGGTGGGTAGCTTGAAATATCCTCCAAAGTACGTTTGGTAATGTTCATATTTGGTGCCAGAGCAGAGCTGTAAACCCCAACGAAACTGTAATAGTCCCCTTTGCTAGGTTACGTCGTCTGAATCATCATATGAAGATACCTGTATTGTCGGAAATCAGTGCAAGCCTCTGTTTGGAAGATAGGAACATAGCAAAGCACATTTTGATATTTGATAGTTTCCCTCTTGCTATCTAACAGATCACTCATCAAATATACAAAACAGCTTCGTTTTATCAAACCACAATATACCCTCAAGGGTTGCAGTGCAGGGACCAACAGACCCACTCACTTTGAACCCAACTTGATTGGTGGTGATAAGATTTTAGCATAAATATAGATATTAGCATAACTACAAGGTAGTTAGTACTAGTATAGTAGTTAAATATCGACAATATATATGTTCCATTTCAATAACGTATTTACTCTTTAAAAAAAGAAAAATAACTCGGGGTGCTCTAGAGCCTGACACAGGTTCATTCCTCAATATGAAAGGATTCAGTCACCTAGAAGTCCTTGTATATGTAATAACGGCCATTGCGAAAGTAACATAAAATATTATTTTATTCATTGAGATCGAGGTCGATCACCCGTTTCTTCGGTGTCGATATTTTTCCAGTTGAAAAAGCGCTGAATTACTTTATGACTGTCGAACCTTCGAGCGTCGTTGTGGTCATGTTAAAATTTACTTAGACTAAACAAATAAATGTATTGCATCCTGCCGATGATCATACACTTGGGAAGGTTGAAAAAACGCTGATATGAGGTTTTTGTGGATAGCGTAGCTGACGCGAGGGCTTGGGAGTTGCTTGCGAGAGACAGAAAAGGTCGGTCACCGGATCTNGTCACTAGTAACTAACCTAAAAATAGAATAATGTCACCAGGAGAAGCATTCGTTTTTAAATTAAGTTTTTTATAAGAAAAATGTTGATTATTGAAGTGAAAAGTGTTAAAGAAGGAGGAATAAGGTGTAAAGGTGACCTACTGAATAAATGCTTGTGGTTTTAAATAATTTATTTAGTGAAAAAGAAGACTGAAAAGTTGCCCTTTTCTGAACTTTGAAGGGCCGTAACTTTTTAAATAAGGGAGAGCGCCGCTTTTTTCTTTCGGATTCGTAATCTACGCATCAAAATACGTAAGTACAGTCAAACATTTTTTCAAAATCGCCGGGTGTCCACATAACGAAAATTTACCTTGGTTTGAAACCAAAGTTCCACGAGAACTACGTTCCTTGATATTTTACTTATTTCATTTATATTCTGACGTAATTATAATATTAGAAAACAGTTTACCAAAACACATGTTTTTGTTCAAATTATCGTTCGAATTCGTCATCACATTCATATCATTCACTAAAAAACTTGAGACGCAGAAGTTAAATCGTACCCAAGTTTTTATCACCCGAAAGTGTTTTTCAGAGTCGGAATAATTTCGAATATTTTTTAATTAGGTTTAATTAGGTACTGTTCTCATTTTATTGATATGATAGCTCGCTTCCTAACACGTGTTATGAAGTAAATATTTTCGAAGTTGTAGTTGAATGTCATTACAATTATGATAAGATAAAGCTGGCCAATCACTAATACTAATCGTGATTAGTTTTCAATACTTATGACAGATGAAATATGAGCCCAAGAACAGAGCATTCGTGATCCTACACCAGGCGGTGCTGTTTCGACCTGCTAAGGTTTCATCAGTGGTACTAGACTGAACAAACGCAACGCAGTGATGAACCTATCTTAAAAAGATAAACCGGCAATGACCTCTCTTACGAAGACTGCATCGATATGATCGACAGAAAACTCAACCCACTCAAAGCAAAGCTTGTACATCGATCGCTAAAAGAGATACGTCACCTGTCTTTCACCGCAAGGCAACTAGATGAAACCAGAGCTCAAAAACGAAGCATTCGTTCTACAGAAGATATTTCTCAAATTCATATCATTTACCACAATTGGCTTGGCATTTTTCACAATATATGTTTTCTTTTCGAAAGCACAACTCTCAAAAAGAAAAATATGTAATTTTAAATATGGAAAAAGTTTTCTGAAGTCATACAGACGCCTTAATATACAATGGGTCACATGTAGCCTAAGTGCTGTGGGCCTACTCACTCTCCATATTCTACAGATACAGAACCACCTCATGGTGTTTTTTAAAATACATCTATATTTCGTTTGCGTGTTTGAAGAAATTTTGGTAACGATGTAATAATTTTTTATAGATATTACTCTGGTAATAATAGATGCAAGCGAATGGTTCTAAAATTGAAAACTGTGTCATATACATACATCAATTGGAGAAACGTTTGTCATCATATTGATATGATAATGGTTTAATAATTGAAAGGGGTATGTTATTGGCGGACTCCGAATGAGACACTTGTCTTATTCTGAGACAAATATCACATGTCATGTCATGTCATGTCATGTCATGATCACAGTAGAATAATACAACCAGTAGGCTCTTTTATTACGTGATTCGCCCAAGTTGCCGGAGACCTTCAACCGCTTTCACATTCTCATCCAAAGCGTTCAGTGCTGTAGTATCGAAGGATTCGACGGTACCACGGGCATCGGATTGGTTAGGTTAGGAATCGTTAATCCTTAGCTCGCACAAGGGGTGCGAAAGCTGGTTAACAGATTTTAAACAGATTTTTTTAAACAGTTATAAACGGTCGCACATTGATATTGTCTTTATTTTATTCGCTATTGTTATTATTGTTTTTAATTTTTGTAGTTGGTTATTGTTGTTTGTTTTATTATCAAGTGATTAGAAAATGGGAGATGTGAAAAAGACATTATTAAAGAAGTCAGGAAATGTTTCCTGCTTCAATGATTGCAAAAACAAGGCCTACAATTGTAGTGAGAAATTTTATAGATTCTCGAAAGATCCCGAAAAGTAAGTAAGTACCTAATAAGTTGTTCAATCCGCATTATTTTGATTCGAGGGCAAAAATATGGCTGGAAACATACTGCAACCTGATTTGCTTAACAAATTAGAAACACTGTACAAAGGCAGGTACATTTTGAAAATGATGTGATAATAAGTAGTCATAAGAAACAACTTCTACGACAGAATGCTGTACCAACGATATTTATCTGGATATCAAAGTCGAGTACTGATATAGGTATGACAATGTCGTTTATAATGATTATGTTATTAAACAATATTAAACAATACCTTTTATCGTGTTGCCATTTTCAATTTTAGGAACCTCTGGGACAAACGACACACCATTATTAGATTTGGCCATCCCTTCTACTTCAACGTCATTCTCAAAATCTAGTAAATTGCCAAGAACCTTTGAGAAAGACGACGTACCGCTAATAGATTTGGCAATTTCTTTTACCCCAATAAAGTGGATAAAGTGAAAACTATAATAGTCGTTTTATTGAAAGTCTATGCTAGTCAAGGATGTATATAACAATAATTGGCGGTCCACACAGGTTTTGTAAACACACACACATCTATGTAAAAGGTTTATTTTGAACTTAATTGCTTTCCTCCTTGCTTTGGAAGTTTCCCATAATTTTTTGTATAAAAATGGCGAAGCGAAAGCCAAAAACCAATGTTTTCCCAATGATATAATATTCTTCAACATTACATTGATTTCATGAAAATTGAATTTGTTATTTAATTCTTGTGCTTTCTGTGCTTTCTGAAGCACAATCAGAATTTCAGAACTATCTAATTTTGTTACTGAGAGATCAATTATTTCTTTATGAATTTCAAAATTTTTTCGAATTCACATGTGGTTGAAAATTACAATCATTTAATTTGCGAAAGTACCCATTCGGTGGCCAAGTTATTTATTTCTAAGTAATGGATAGTAAAATATAAAAAAGTAAACGACGATGATATATCTTTGATATGGAAGATAAATACTTTCCTATTTTTTTCCTTTTGTTTTCTGTAAACTTACTTTGATAGCAAAAATTTGCGTGCTCGGATTGAGTTTATTTCTGCTCAGATGGATCAAGCGTTTAGGCAAATTTTTCACTTTGTAGGCATCCAACTTTCCTTGTGTTTTCAATGTACAGAACATGATGACAGAAGCAGCATTTGTATAAACTTCAGGACGCTGGAAAACATATACCAATTTCAATATTACTGGAGTTTTTTCCTCAACACCCAACCGTTATTTCAACACCTCGACACGTGTTTCGATCACCAAGTGATCATCTTCAAGAGGAAGATTAAACTGATTGATCTTCTTTTTGAGGATGATCACTTGGTGATCGCTTGATGATCGAAACAAGTGTAGATGTGTTAGTATAACGGTTTGGTACTCCAGTTATCGGAAGAAAATCGACTTGAATGTGTGAAAATATAAAAAAGTGAGTGTGCTTTAGACCACAAGACTAAATCGGAAAACGAATCCACATGTTTCTAGAAATGATATGAAATCTAGAAAGGTTAATGCAGTCAAGCTGCTGGAAAATAATTCCATGAAATCAAAAAATGAATAGATAAGTACTCTTTGATCATTCCCATATTGATTTCAATTTAAGAGCCACCGGTATACAGCTGTTTCAGCCTATTGGGCATCGTCAGTACCGGGCAGACTAACGAGTATCACCAGTTCCTAAGTTGAAAGAGCATTTGAGCCTAAGAAATCCACTAACTGAAATGGCGGTTATGTATAAAATATTGACATTTTAAATGATGTAGATTCAAATAATGTTTTCAACAGTTCATATTCAAACAACAAACTGGTCTACAAGTTGTATGAAAAAAGAAAACCATGGGCATTTGAGTACGACAATCATCAAAAGTGTGAACAAACGTGTAACACAATTGCTGAATATTATCCTCAACAAATTTCTCGTAAACGTTATCTGACCACGCGTGTGATACTTCTCAGAGATAACTCTATCAGAATAACATGATTACACTGTCCTTCGATTACCTCCTTGTTATTGCGTATATTAGAAACTTATCAGTAACTAAAAGTAGTAAAAAATAGCACGTAAAGTAATTTTTAATCAAACAATTGTGCCAATGAATACTCTAGTTTGGGGATTAGTGCAGGTTTTATGAAAATAGGTTGATGGATTCACCTACTGATCTCTTTGATGTTGTTGTTAAGTCTACTCTGTTCATCTCAATTGCTGTTATAAAATCGTTGAATCCCGGCTGAAGGTGGGGCCCTTATTCGGCGGTAATCATCGATTCCTTTAACAGTCCAGACCAGATTTTTCATGTCTTCTGTTATTTTTTTTGTCTGTACAATCAGAGGCTTGTTTGGAATCTGTCAAGAGGTTGGGAAGGTCTGTGTTGTGTTCTTAGCTTTTTTAGATTTTTTGTGTAATTGAGAAAAATAATGTACAAATTAAGTTTGTAGATATAATTATTTCAACTTCATTGTTCCAAATTTTTAAGGAAATATTTTCCTAATCCATTTATTTAATGCCAGGATATTTTTAATACAATTTGAAAGTCAAAAATTCATCGAATTAGTCAGTGGAATTGTGTTCCTAGAGATTAGTATGGCAGGTCTGCCACATTTACCTTCTTAGAAAAAAACTAACGAATGAGTTTAGTTATTAGTAATTCTTTACTATCATCCCAAGCTGAATTTTCCTGCAGATCAAACAAGCCCAACAAAAAAATCCAAGTTTTTATTGTAGGGGAACGGCAGGATTGCAGACAAGTTTTTAAAATATGTTCTCACCTCGTCATGAAGAAATATATTCAAAATCCTAAGAAGTTTCGCTTCTCTGGCCAGTTTTTCACCAACACATGTCGATGTGAGAAGAGCCAAGCATGCCAATGCTCCTGAAATTATTTGAGTATTATCTTCATCCAGCAACTTCAACTAAGAAAAAGAAAATGCTAAGATGAATATATCTGTAAAAAACGATGATATACGAGGTCTATTCAAAAAATGAGGTGAATTTTAGTTTTTATCAAAAAATGTATCCATCAATTTCTATTTTGTTTCCTTCAAAGTAGTCTCCCTCAGATATAATTCAATTGTGCCAGGGTTTTTTTCAGTTTTCGAAGCAGTTTTGATATGCACTTTTTGGTATATTCTTGAGCTCTCTCAGCGATTCGGTTTTTATCTCCATAATTGTCACAAAACACCATCATTTCATGGGTTTCTTCGATCTTGGTAACGTAAAAAAGTCGCATGGGACCAAATCTGGTGAAATCGAAGGCTGAGGCATGACAAAGGTGTTGTTTTGGGCCAAAAAAAAATACCTTCATAACAAAACTCCTTGGTCAACTTCAAGATAATACTCCTTATACTCCATGGGACAAGAACTCCGGATGCACTAGGCCACGGTAATCGAAGACAACAGTGAATAAAACCTTGACATTTGATCGAAATTGACGTATTTTTTTGGTCTTGGCTCTCCTGGGATATTTCATTGGGTCGATTCAACTTTGGTTGCGATGTCATAACCACATAACCATGATTCATCACCGTACGATGATTTTATTGGTTGGAATTCAGCAATTTTGGAACGAACTTCACTGCCACACGCTTCTTGACCAAAATCACATGAGCCAACCCAAACGCCGACATCCTCAGCAACTTTTCTAGTAGTGATTTGACGATTCTCCATAACGATTTTTTTCCCTTCCTCAACATTTACATCGGTTGTTGATGTGCTGGAAGTCCAAGGTGAGATTTGTCATTCACATCTCGATTTTATGTGGAAAGGTTGTATCACTTGTTTTTCTGACTGAAAGTACAATCACCGTATGCCACTGTCAGTAATTCAAGTGTTTTTGAGCATTTAATTCCATTTAATACGCAAAATTAGATGCCAAATCTTTGATAAAGTTTTTCGATAGCAGGGAAGAAAACTTTTATGACTCTCACCAACAAACTAAACAAGCTAAACAGCTGAAACGGTGAACATATGTTCGATACGAGTGTACCAACATAAAAAAATTGAAAAAATTAATCGAATGTACGTAGAGCGCGAAATTTGAACATTCACCTTATTTTTTAACAGACTTCGATAGTATGAAAAATCATTCATTTCTCTCTCAAATTGTAGACATCTCCTTATCATACAAATAAATCTAGAAATTTTCAATCGGGTATGAATGAGAGATATGCCTCAAGATTGGCATATTGTGATTTGTAGAAGAAAAACAAAATACATTATATTCATATAGACTTAAGAAAGCCTTTCATAAAGTACCTAAAAACAATTATGGGAAATACATGTATGGGGATAAAGATTTGATGATAGCAAGATCATTCAAATAAAAAATAATAATGCGGTTTTAAAATCTGTACACATTTTGCTATTGGCACTTGATGTGGGTTATCAGAATATGTCCATGAATCTTTTATATAGGATGACACCCTGTATAAAAAATTCATGGACATAAGCTGAAAGTCTACATTAAGTGCAGATAGCAAAATGTGGACAGATTTTCAATATGCCTGTGGATAAAGAAAATATAGACAAAAAAAATTTGTGATTTTTTGGTTTTTCCTGTATATCTCCAGAACCAAAAGAGCTATGTTCTATTTTTTATATCATTGAATAGGTCTCTAAAATACGCAACTTTGCCACAATTTAACCGACACTCTGTATCTTATAGTTTACGAGATCCCCATGTACAGAAACGAATTTGGATAGCCCTGTATATATATATATATATATAGAATAACAAAGACGGTGTCACAAGTAGGAATGTATTCTCATCAGAATTCAGAAATAATTCATATTGTATGCTAATTACATACAATATTTATGGGAACATTGCTGATGATGATGATTTTAGCAGAAACTAAAAGAAAGTAGCAAAGAATTTTGAAATTTTTGAAAGCAACCTTCGAAAACTACAGAACTAGTTAGAGAAAAAAGGAAAAAAAATTTAATAATTTTCCAGAAAAACAAAAGAAAATGTGTGTTAACGTGGATATATGAGGATATACGAGGTATATGAAAAAAATAGGAATTGGAATCAGTTCCGAAATTTCAGAAAAGCGACAACTTACTTGGAAGAGACACTTAAGAAATATTGACTCACAAAAGAGCAAAATTTGAAATAAATATATTTTTACTTCTCTAATATGGACATTTCAGTATCTATGGTATGTGCAGACTAGATCATCCGAAAGTTATTTCTATACTGACCATTTTTCATTTCGAAATGAAATATGTATACCATGGCATGTAATACCGATAAACTTGAGAGAGCTTAACCTTCAGAAAACTTTTAAATTCAGTTAATTGAAAAAATCTATTACGATTTGTTTGAACTTTTATATGTGATGTTTTGTCTTACGAAAATATTGAATCCATCTGATTCAATTGCTATTATTTTTCCAGTCGTCTCATACATCAAGGATCTCAAAGTTTGAAGATGCATAATTTGTATTTCACTATCTTCTGTCAGCAAATTACTCAAGAGAATTTGTATAAATCCGAATTGTACCAAGTCATCAGCAGCTGAAAAAAAACAAGACGTTAAACAAATTTAGTATGATTATTGTGTTGATTGATAATGATATTTGTTTTTGTCAGGCCATTTGAAAGTGAACAGTCATGATATATATACTGCAATAGACCAATTTGAAATTGCCTCACTTCTACAGGGAAAAACTTGAGATAACTTTTTGAAATTTCAGTTAAACTATGCAGTTTTCCTGAAACAATTGATTCGAAAAATTTTTCAGGAACTAATTTCGCACGGTAGTTAGGGCTTTTTTGAAAGAAATAATGTTTTGTTAAGATTATCTTTCAAGGAAGAAAATAATTTCAAACCTATTAGTTACAACTGTGTACTATAGCATCAATAAAAAATATTCTTAGAGGAGTAGTTGGGAGCAATGGTATACGTTTTGGTATTGGTCTACTACACCAAGCAAGATCAGTTACAATCTAGAGCAGTGATAAGCAAGAAAAGGAGAAGGAAACCAATGGAATAATCAGTCCCAAGCAGATATATTTTATGAGAGAAAAAACCAGAAATACATAATTATCAGGCTTGCAAAATATTTTTAGAATATGAACTTAGAAAATGGAAGAAAATGGACTTTCAAACCGATATCCAAAAATGTTATAGATGTTTGTACTGTATTGTAACGCAAGGCATCACAAGGTGGAAGATAACTTGTCAGCAAAATCAAAAATTACGTTATTTTTGGACCAAAAATCATAGAGAAATCTTCAATTCTCTAAGTGGCAAATAGAAGAATCGGGTTCATCAAATAAGATATATCGTTACTATTTTGATTAACTTCTATATTCGATGGATTTGATGGTTTTCAAAAAAATGTAGGTCCCAAATTTGTTTCGTGATTACTTTTGATTTCATTTTGTTGGGTAATTTCGTGTACATATAGGTCGTTTTTGAGCTGATCCCACAACTGGTTTCTCGGAAATGGTAAGACTTACAAGGTTGGTCACATTGGATAAAATTTTCCTATTTTGGGGAACTGGAATAAACTCTTTCCAGATCGAGAATATCAGTGGTTGTTTTCGAAATATTCGCTAAAAACTAGAATTTGTCGAATTTCGTTTTCTGGCTCTCCGCCTCCTTTTCGAATGATATAAAAAAGGCAGAGGAACTTTCAATACTGTTTCATATCTGATATCATCAGAGATGAACTAATTTGCAATGCGACGTTTCGTTCATTAGATTTCTTCAGCATCGTTATTTTTTTAAATCCGGTCGTCTTGTTTTTCTTTATCTATTCTTGTACCCACTTTAAATTTCCAAAAGATGTGTGGAGTTAATGTATCTTTGAGTTCTTAGATATTGTTTTCTATCTTTTTTAGACTACACAAATATTGATGATGTTTTTTCGGAGACAAACGTCGGGAAACACATGTTTTGTAAAACATAGGTGAATTTACAGTGGCTCCAAAAATTGATAAAAATTAGAGGTCCGTATTTAAAAAATAAAGTTGATGAATTCTAACGAACGAAACGTTGCACTACAAATTTTTTTATATCAGATTATAATAAATATGAAACAGTATTGAAAATTCCTGTGCTTTTTTTATACCTTCAAAATAGAGGCGGTAGAACCAAAAAATTGAATTCTAGTTTTTGGCGAATATTTTAAAAACTACCACTGAATTTTAAGTTGATTTCTATTCAGAAATTGATTTACTTTTTTAAATCGGCTTTGTTCCTGTTGTAGGTGCTTTTTCTGTACTGTTGTTGTTATAGGTCTGCATATTTTAAAGTTTTTGTGTTTAGGTATTGGAAGTTTAAAAAAATAAAGTTTTTTAGTTTGCTGTTTCTTTGAAGAGATTCATTGAAGAAATAATGGTTCGAATTCTATATGGTGCTGTATTGTATACATAAAAAGCAGATTTGTGACGTCAACTTTTTTCAAGAGCTCATTGACCGTTATATATCACAACAACATGTTAGGAATCACACATTAAAAGGTAAGACCTCGTTAGTCCTTAGCTCGCAAAGTTTCGATTTCTGAGGGTTGCCGTTCGTAGGAGTGCGACAGCTGGTTAACGGAAAAACAGAACAGATCAATTACCTTTCCAAAATCTAGCAATCATCTCAAGTAACGCGGCAACTTGGATCCTTATTTCGGCCCATGTGTCTTCTGCACAAGCAGCTATATTAGCTAAAAGACTTTTATTTGTCACTATAGCTTCCCTTCCGGCTGCTAATTCTGCCAAAACTGCTAAGGTTCGAGACGTTCGTTCACGGATGACCTCGCTCTCATGTGACATTAAATTCACCATCCTAAAAATAGATTTACTCATGAGCTTCTCAGCAAATAATTTCGAATCACGTGTGTGGTATAGTCGAAGTAAATGATATTGCGCACTCTTAAAGTTGGCGGCACTCTCAAAGACCAAAAAAAACCAATACATAGAAATGAACCGGCACCGAACTAGTCCACGTGGACTGTAGACTTGGCGGTTCGTATTGAATAATTTTTACTAAAGGAATTTTATGATTGACTAATAATCTACATCTCAAGTTTGGTTTCGAAGGAAACAAACTATTGGAAGCAACATCAGATTCGACCAAAATTCCTTTCTCAACTGTAGGTAAAATAGTCAAAAACAAACTTTATGAACGCAAGACGCGATATTATACAGGATTACCAAAACCTTCGTATGTTCATCTTGAAAAATCATTGAAAAAAACAATATACGACTGTTATGAAAGCAATGAGATTCCTTAAAATCATAAGGATGAAATTGAATACTTCCGGCCATAACGTGAGCTGCTCTGACAAAACTCTTCAGAATTGGATAAAGAAACTACGATTTAGATTTGAAATAATAAACAAACGTCAAGCAGTTATGGAAAGCAGACAAATAGTGGAATTGCGTAACAAATACTTAGAACAAATAACTAAATATAAACAAAAACAACGTACAGAAATACGCAACTAGATAAAATTGAACAGACAATGAAATCATAACTGATGAATTCATATTATTAAACTCGTATTATTGCATTCATTTTGACTCATTGATTTTTGTATTTACTTCTTCTTTATAAACAATGTATGTCAATGAATAAAGCCCATTTATTATTATTATTAGTATTATTATTATTCTTGGCCCTCTTCATAATATGCAATAAAATTGCGTTTTTTCATCAGTATTCAAGGAAACCACAAGTGTGCTATATGACTGAATTCATAATTTAATGCAGAATCCAAAAACGATTTGGAAAATCTAGGTTACCTTTAAAAAATTGGCGTCTGTGTCGCGACGCCCTAATGGATGACGCCTATTGCTGGATCTCTTCGCAAATTAGGATATCCAAATATGGATATTTTCTGTCATTTTTCAGATATTTGCTCGCGGAGTTTTATATGGGACACCCTGTATATACATATAACGATAAAGTCGGTTTTTTATTGACTGTCGCTTTCTGTGTTTCTGTTCAATTAATCAGTTTCAGGTCGGTTGGAATGACGCTATATAATTTTGGTCCTAAGTTAACGAAACGAAGGTATTTTTGTGTGGCCGAGGGTTATCATAGGAGAATGATTGGGATGATCGTGACATTAGTTTGAGACTCACTTACGTACCTATCAATGATTTTCAAATTCACAGCTTCGTATCCTCTTTCAGGATCATGAACCAAGTCGCAAATAGTTTCAATTGCAGCGATTACTACATCTTGATCTTTGTTGTGTAGCTCTCTTCTCTTAAAAATCACAAAAAATGTTAGTAACGGCAGAAATAAAAACAGTACAAACAAAAATTTGTGATTTCAGTTAGAAAACATTGTATTAACGAAGTTTCCTGAAGCAAATGTTACCAATCTTCATACAATATATGGGAGACCGGGGCAAGATGAAGTTCGGGGCAGCACAAGAAGTAAGCTTGTGTGCGTGAATAGTAATCGTGTTCGGAGCGGCGACAGCGCCATTTGCACGAACTTCACTCTCCGCTAGTGTGTCCAAGCAGAGCTAACAGGTTAGAACTCGTTTTTGCGTTGCAGAGAGAAAAAAGTGATATTGCAAGTGTTTTTACGCGATATTTGATTCGAAAACTGATGTACAGACATGTAAGTACCTGTGTTAATGTATTATTTCAATCCCGAGCTTATTATAGTAGTCGAAAACATTAAATTCAAACCAGATTTTTTCGCCGGTAAAGTTTGAGGTTAGAATTGCGTTTTTTTTACCTACGTGTGGATCGGGGTAAGATGATCGGGGCATAATGGGATACTATCCCGTTTTGCCCCGCCCTTGTGATTAAAATAACATTTTCTATATACTGATAATCAAGTGACTGAAAAAGGTGAAAAACAAATAAAGAAACCTGGAAAAAAGACCGCAAAGAAGATTAAAAAGACAACTGACAAGGAAAACCTGCAGAAAAAGCGTCAAACCAAAAGGTGCAAAAAAACTGAACCGGAAGATAGTCCATCCCAAGAAGAGGATGATGACTGTGCTTGCATCTATTGTGGGTACTTATACTCAGATTCAACCGAAGGTTGGGTCATCTGCGGCGTGTGCCACGGTTGGGCGCATAATTCATGTACCGGAGAAGATGAGGAAGAAGAGGCACACATTTGTGAACGCTGTCTACCCGATTAAAAAGCGTACTCGTTTTGCATGCTACAACGTTTAATTATAAGAGAGAAATGTATAATGGTTACCTCTTTTGTTAAAGAATGTTATTGAAGAGTTTAATATTCCTTGTATAACGAGTTTTGTCTTAGCTATCTCATCTTGCCCCAGTCTCCCCTACGGGGCTATTCAAATTCAAGTCTGTGAGTTGTGAGTTAAATTGCTGATAAGTTGACTATTTTCTATTACTATTTATATACTATCGAATGGAAAATCTACTCCAGTTTTTTGGTTCCGAAACCTATTTGAACTCTGCCAAAAAAAATTTCAATGGTGCCTACTATTTCAAATTCGTAATACACCACCAAAAACCAATTTACGATCTAAAGAATGAAGGTAAAAAAACATTTGAATTACTTCAGGAATATGGATTGATTATTGAAGTGAAAAGTGTTAAAGAAGGAGGAATAAGGTGTAAAGGTGACCTAGTGAATAAATGCTTGTGTTTTTAAATAGTTTTTTTTAGTGAAAAACAAGGCTGAAAAGTTGCCCTTTTCTGAACTTTGAAGGGCCGTAACTTTTTGAATAAGGGAGAGCGCCGCTTTTTTCTTTCGGATTCGTAATCTACGCATCAAAATACGTAAGTACAGTCAAAAATTTTTTCAAAATCGTCGGGTGTCCACATAACGAAAATTTACCGATACGACAAAAAAAATAGTAAAAATATTGTTGGTATGATGAACTGATTCTGCTGTGACATATTGTAATTTTCCTGTCGGCACCATTCCGGTTATTGATTTTTAGAGTGCTTCAAGCTTTGATCAGGAATATGTTTTCGATAAATATATATTGCATACCAATTTGGGCATCGCCTTTCTTCCAAAACCAAGTGATCTTCTTGTGACATCAACATTTTTTACGGGAATATTAGGCTGCTCCGAAGTGAGACGATTGGCGGGCGGATCCAAATCATGCTCGTCAATATTACTGAATTCCCGTGCTTTGTCCACACATCGGTTTATGAGCCGAGGATTCATATTCTCGAAGTAGTTGTGAAGATAGGAATTTTTGTTGATAGAAAACATTTCAGAATGTAATTGAACGAAAAAAATATATGAAAACCAAGCAGTTCAAACGTCAGACTACAACTGACATGAAGTTGACACAACTATCTATGAGGGTAGGGCCGGAGCGATGCAAATCCTATACAACAAAATTTATCTTCATGCTCAAAATACTATTGATGGGTGGCCACATGGTTCTATAAATACAAATTTATTTCTATTCACCAATGATGTTTACAAAACTTTTGAGAATGAACAGCAACTTGATAAGATTCCTACAGATTTCTCGAAAGCTTTCGATAAAGTTCATCTTGACATACTGCTTTTGAAACTTAACAAACTTGGTATCAACCATGGTTTAATCAATAATTATCTCCAGAATCGTAACTTTGTAGTGACAATTGCAATCATCGCTTCTAGAAAAGTACCAAACTAAGAACACTGCAAATTCTTTCAGATTCTCTTCCGTTGACGAACATACTATACAGAAGTTTTTAAATAAAATCAGAAGCAACGCTGTAGGTTCGGACAGCATCTCACTTCGAATGATTCTTTTGGTGGAAACTCATCTCTTGGAATACATCACCTTTATACTGAATTCGTGTATCATTTCCTCGTGTTTTCCTTCCCCTTGGAAACATGCACTTGTGATTCCTTTGGCTAAGTGTAACTCTCCGACACATTACTCTGATCTTAGGCCCATTAGTATTTTACCCTCCCTATCTAAAACGCTTGAGCTGATTCTCAAAGATCAGATGATTGAATTCATCACTTNTATTATTATAGATATAATGATAATGGTATTTACTCTGATCCCTATGAAACCAACTCGAGTATCCCACAGGGATCAAACTTGGGACCTTCGCTGCTTGTTTTGTTTATTAATGATCTAACTTCATGTTTACATTTTTCTTAAGGTCTCCTTTTTGCAGATTATTTCAAATGCTTTAAAGAAATTCAAACCGTCAGAGATTGTGTTGCACTACAAAAAGATATTGATAGAACCATTGAAAATAAATTATACTTCAATATTAATAAATGTAATATCTTTACCTTTTCTTTGCGAAAAAATCCCATTGAATTTAGTTACAAAATTGGAGATACTTTCCTTGACAGAAAAAACGGAGTGAAGGATCTTAGGATTATTTATGATCACACTTTGTCATTCTCGAAATATTTTGATGGAATTTGTAAAAGGGCCAACAAAATGTTGGGATTTATTATAAGATCTAGCTATTTGTTTGTGAACGTAGCCACGATAATACTTGTAAGACCAATATTAGAATTTAGTTCGCTCATTTGGAAATCCCAACCACAGATGCATTTAAACAGAATCGAAAAAATATAAAATAGGTTACTGAGATATCTATACTATAAAGAAAAACATTGTTGGGCGCATTACACAAAAGTCAGATCAATGGATTTAAGGCAGCATTTCAAAATATCATATCTTTATATTAGACGGGATGTAACACAAATAATGTTTTTATACAAGGTGATAAACAACAATATTACAGATATGAACATACTCGAACTCATGGATTTTAATGTCCCTCAGTATCCTATAAGAAGTACAATTCTTTTTATACTACCCAAGGCATAAATATCATGAAAAGCTTTCTTTCAAAGATCAGTACTAACAGAAAAAGCGGTGAATGCAATAATATTAGCGCCATCTATGTGTTAGACCTGAGACTTTTCAGCCCAGGTAGTATACATGCCCGAACTTGTAGGAGTGTGCTAACTAAAAATCCTTTGATGCGACGGCGAAAAACCGACAAATAGTGATTTGGCTCGTATCATAGTGATACGGATAAAAAAGTAACAGCGTTCCGTTTCTACTAGTCGTAACGTTACATGTTTGCAATTACGTTACGGACAATTTGTCACAAACGTATACGCACCTTACGGGTATGCGTGTCAAAGTGATACGGATAATTTGCAACACTACTCTGTCTCTCTGTAACGTGACGTTGAGTTTTCGCGGTTACGTTACGGATATACTTATCTACGGACCATGGTATTGTTGTAAATTATCCCCTGAAACAAAATAACGCGAGCCGCCGCTGGTCTTCGTCAATCAATTGTGACGTGGCCAAGGTCGCGCTCAATTTGACTTGCACTTCGAGATCGTTCTAGATGTCGCGTCGCTTCGAGAGACTTCCAGCGACTTCCCTATCGGCTTCCAGAGACTTCCATTACGATATATAAATACTACCAACATGCAGATCGAGAAAGTCTAGGCGATAGACATTTGAGTATTAGTCTGAAGTTTCAGTTTAAGTGTTGTATTGTCAATGAAGCAGTGACATAAAATTTTGAGTTTAATTATACAGTGTAGTCAATTATTGTCAAACCCACGGAAAAAACGTAACAGTATTTTTGTTTGGATGTGGAAAAGTGTTTTCAATAGATTTATTCTGCGCCATAGAAGTTTTCTTCAAAACTGTTTTTTCTTCTCAACAAGTGCTAGGCAGCTTAAAAGGCAAGATGCCGAAAATTGAGAAATCTTAGATTTATGAAATCACACAAGCAATGAGGACACACGAAAACTATGCTGGTCGCTATTGAAACTCGTTTCAAAAAGCAAGCGGTTCAATTCGATTTCAAGAAAAGTGTCGCTCAATAAGCTTTTTGATTTCCTCTTCTCCATCTTCATATACAAATAATTGTGGAAAACTTCCAGTGGAAGAAAGAAAGTAAGACATACGAGTACACTGAGGGAAAAAGCCCTCCCGAAAAAAATACTTTCATATGAACATTGGATTACACGAAAGAAGAGAAACTATTGAAAAAACTACTTTCAAATGAACACTGAACCATTCGAACTATTTTAGGTATGAAGATGGAGAGGTGAAAGCCAGAGAGTTTTTTCTAATAGATTTGTAACTTTCGATAGCTTACAAACGAAAAAAGATTCAATGAACAGCGATGGAGGTCAAATTAGCTGGGAATTTTCTGAATATTTGTATTTAGAAATCGATGTATTACTAAAAGTGATGGTTGGCCCTGTTAGATGTGAATAGGTTAATGTATGGACCTAATTCAACTGTACAATATAAAAACAAAACTCAGAAAGTTCAAAATTCATGTCGACGTCTGATTTTTGGAGTACGAAGACGGCAAAGAATTTCACATAAACTAGTAGAAATTAAATGTCTGAATATGGAGAACAGGAGGAAGCTACATTTTGCTAATCTATGTCATAGCGTTATTGCCAATTAAAAACCAGGGTAAATTCATCATAAAATTATTTATCGCACTGATATACGCAACATAAATATTAGAAATAGATGATTATTGAGTGTTCCTTCTTTTGCGAAAGAAATTTTCAAACGCTCGTTTAGTTACCAAGTATATAAGCCTTCACAACTCAATTCGTTCAGAACTTAAAAACCATAGTGTTGAAATATTCAAAGACAACTTCAAGACTTATCTTATGCATTGTCAGAATACTTTATTTCTGAAATTTCACATAAAATAACTTATGAAATATTTTGATGGAAGATACACTCTATTGATCTGGTTGAATTTTCAAGTACATAGCTACATAGGTACGTACATAGGAATGCTGGAATGAAAATTAGAACATATCTCAGTTTTTGGGTTTCATTTCATAGTTAGATTTTCTATCCAGCATCTTCCTTCATTCAGGAAGTGCATTTCCTGAGATATATGTATTCACGTATAATTTTATTAGCATTTCTTCTATGAGACATTTTTCTACTAGTTGAAGGTGGATTAAGTCTGCTTCGTGTCATAGGCTGACGCGAGTGTGAACAGAGGCTCCAAAGGTGACTAGAGAAGTTATTCAACGTAGCCCCACAAAAAAATAATACCATTCTTCATTGATGCTCCCTTGACAAGATCCCTTGGACAATGAGCGTTGACCCTAATGCGCCTGTGCAGAACAACAGCTTTTGCGAAAGCTAAGCTTTGGCCTGCAAAAGACTAAAGGCTAAGTTTCTGGAAGCATGAAGGGATGATACTGATTCCCTGTGATATTTAAAATTTGTTCAAAGAATTTGTTCAAATGTTAGAGACCAAAGTCTCAGCATTCAGGAACTTGAATAGATTAAGGTCAGGTACAATATACCTACCTTAGAGTCGTTCCCCGAATATTACAAAACTTCTATTACAACTTTGAATTTTCGTCCAATGTATCCTGAATTTTCCCGGGCTATACGTATTTCAAGCATGCGTCCTATCAAATCTTCCTGCGTTTTCTCTGCTATTAGTCTGTGAAAAACATTTATATCGACTAGTTAACTTGTATCTACGTTGTATGTTTACATGCAAACAGCTGATGCTGACAGTGGGTTGAGTTTACGAACTTTTCACCGAATTGTTTTCAGTTTTCTGTGAATTGGTGTCAAAGAATTGTGTCAAAATATTCGGAATCGCTGAAAAACTGAGATGACTTCAGTCGTCAAAGTGGTAAGTCAAAGTATTTACAGCATTCTTGATTCATCGCTTTATCATCTCGTCGCCCCACGATTTGAGAGAGGTTCATGTGTGTATTGGACAAAGAGTGAGTAATGTAATCACTTAGATTGGTCTATTTTTAAACGCATCCTATGGTTTGCTGTCGCTAAATTGATTTCTGATAGTGTACAGGAGACAACAATGAGTAAACAAAGGAGTTTCATTTTTGTGATATTTAGTTTACTATAGGTTTTCATTATAAACAACTGATGAAAGTGATAAGGATATCTTGAGAAGCAATTCCACCAAACTACCCTTATTCCCGACTTGAGCACGACTCGCATAATAGGTAATGAAAAATACACAAAACAACATTAATGGATCTAGGACATGGAATTCAAAAAATGTTTTCATTCAAAGGACGTTTTTGCAATCATCATTTTCATGCTGTCAGTGAAAAAATGTCATTTAGTAAGACCAGTAATGAAAGTTATTTCTGTATCTGTAGAATAGGGAGGATGAGTGTAGGCCCACAGTACTTAGGCCTCATGTGACCCATTGTACATCCTCCCGAGGAGTTGTCCTCCTAGGTCATCGTCCATTCTGTCCTTTCCAGGAAGGTGGACAGGTCACTAGGAGACATCTCCTTTATATCGGCAGGTGTAGGCCAAGACTCGCTGAACACACACTCTCTTATTGACGATAACTCTGGACAATCGCATAAGACATGCCTGACAGTCTCATCTTCCTGTTTACACATCCTGCATAGAGGTGTGTCCACTAGCCCCATAATATGGAGGTGTTTCCTTAGTTGACAGTGGCCAGTCAGAAATCCTACTGTTAAGCATAGGTTTTTCCTGGTCATCGCCAGATATTTCTTCGGCGCCAGTTTCCCAGGGATTCCCAGGTAATCCAGACAAGACTGCATCCTTTGATTCCATCCCATCTCTTCAGGGATAGTACTAGCCTTGAGGTAACAAGTGGTCTGTTCAAGGCTAATAGGGCTTGTCTACTATCAGTGCAGATTGTTATGTTTTTGCCAGGAATTCTTTTCCTGGTTATTTCTTTTGTACTATTGAGATACCAGCCCTTTCTGTTTGAACCACGCTGGTATTCCCCACTTAATCCTTAGGCTTTTTTTTACCTTGGGAGCTGTCTGACTTGTCCATTTAGTCCAAGTCTCCAGAAAACACTGCAGCCTCTTGGGCTTATTGCGTTTGTTCTCCCATCTTCTCATGACACCCAGTCTCGTTCCCTGTACTACTTTGTACAGGTTCCGTGTTGGATGTTCGTCATATTCTTCTGGGCGTAATTTTGTATGTCCATAAATTGCCTGCCTCCTGTGATTCAGTGCCTCACATTCGCATAAAATGTGTGGAGTTGTTTCTACCCTTTCGTTGCATAATCTGCAGCTGAGGTCTCCGTTGTACAGCCCCATTTTATTCGGGTGTCCTCTAAGCGGACAATGACCGGTGAGTAACCCTGTAATTATTCTGAGCCGATCCCTACTATATTGAAGTAGTTCTTCGGTTCTTTTCTCGGACGGTTCCCTAATGAAGGTTCTACTGTGTTTGTTGTCAGGTTCTTGTCCAGTACTCTGTGTGCTTCTTATTGGTCCATGTCCTAATCAGGTTTCGTACCAATGATTTTGGTACCCCCAGAGCTGAAGTTGATGATCCGCGTCTAGCGCATTCATCGGCTTTATCATTACCTGTGATTCCTGAATGCCCTGGCACCCAGTACAAAGTTAATTTGTTCCTGTTTGCAAGTTCATTCAGTTCTTCATGACATTCCCAGACCAGTTTTGATGCCACCTTCGGGTTTGTCAGAGCCCCTAGTGCGCTCTTACTGTCTGTAAAAGTATTGATCCGCTCATTTCTTTGAGGTCTCAATTCAATAAGCCTTGCACACTGCAAGATAGCATATACACTTCCGCCTGAAAGACAGATGTGTATAGTCCTAGCGGTTGCTGTAGTTTAGATTTCTATCCGCTCGGTATATTCCAGCTCCCGTTCCATGTTTGGTCTTCGATCCATCTGTATACCAGATGTTTTTTCCAAACATGTTTTCGGGATGACCAATGGTCTTCCATTCTTCACGGCTTGCTTTTGGCCGTGAATTTTCTGTTAAAGGTGTACTTCGGTGTCATGTGGTCCGTACAAATATTCAATATGTGCTCCTCCACTTGTTCCGAAATTTCTGTTCGGTCCGTTCTTTTGTAGTTCGGTGAGTTTTCCAGTTTAAATTGGCCCATCCTGGCCTCCCCCATTATCACAAAGTGTGAAGGAGGTAGATTCAGGAGTGTCTCCAATGCAGCTGTTGGGGTAGTTCTCATTGCTTCCGTCATTCCCAAACATGCAAGTCTTTGCACCTTGCCTAGTTTGTTGATGGCGGTCGCCTGCTTCATCTTTGGCCACCAGACCAGATATGCGTATGTTATCATAGGTTTAACCACCATCGTGTATAGCCAATATACCATGTCTGGTTTTAGCCCACATGTTTTTCCATAGGTGCGTCGCAACCTCCTTAACGTACAGGTCCAGAGGGGTCAGACCAGTAATAAATCCAATTGCTTCGGTTGGTGTTGTCCTCATGGCTCCTATGATGTTTAAACACGCCAATCGCTGTATTTGATATAGTTTTTGGATGACCGTTGCTTGTAGAACTTTCGGTCCCCATGCGATGGCTCCGTATTTTAACATAGGTCTTATTATTGTAGTGTAGATCCAAGTGACCACACGGGGTGAAAGACCGCACGTGCGTCCCACTGTCCTTCGACATTGCTCATAAGCCACATATTCCCTTTTTACTCTACTCTGTAGGTGAGAGTTCCATGTTAGCTTCCTGTCGAGGTTAGTACCAAGGTATTTCACCTCTTCAAAAAAGTTTAGTTTGCATTTGAAGATTTCGGGAGGTTTTAAGCCCGATAAACTTATTTTCCTGGTGAAAAGGACCATCTCAGTCTTCTTGGGATTGATCGACAGTGAGTGTTGCTTACACCATGTTTCTATTAATTTGAGCCTATCCTGCGCTCTATCGCACAGTGTGTTCACACATTTGCCGGTTTGCGAGATAACTATATCATCTGCATATGCAATTGTGTAGAATCCATTATTGTTGAGGTGATTATTCAGGGTATTTGTATTCGTCAATAACAAACAGTTTTGTTGTTCAACTGTAAATGTAGGACTTTGATAGGAAAATTTATTTTACCAACTAAGGGAAATTGTTCTAAATGGAGAAAACACTATTTGTCCGTACTGACAATGTGAAAAAATTTCAATTTATTCACCGAGATCACCACGACGAGAACGACTTTACAGATAGTATAATTATCATAAGCAAACTTCAAAAAGCGCATAGATGTGCTCTAGCCGTCGATCAGTCATTATAGCTGGGAGGAACTCTTCGAAGAGTGTGCGCAAGTTTCAAATTATCATTTAAATAAAAAAGGTTCGGAATGTATTCATTTCGTTCAGAAATTAATATTCGGTTATTGTGGATCAACATCTTTGTTTCCGTTGCTTGCTTGCAGAAAATTATGTATCTACAAATAATCTGAAAAACCACCTCCACAAAGACACTCGTGTAATAACTATAAAGAGTCAACAAAAACACAGCTTAAGTTATCATAAATATCTACGGTTGTCAAACTCCACGAAAAATTATTTTGTTTTGAATGGAAAAATAATACTTACTTACATCGAAAAAACTCTCTGAAGTTTGTAACACTATTTTTTTTTAATATGAGAGACATCATGTGAGTGATGGAAAACTATTTCATAAAGGTTTCGAAATATAGCATTATTTTTCATTTGCTTGTTTGAAAACATTTAGTTATATTGAAATATCTAGTGTATTACCTAGATTCGTTCATGAATTTACTTCAGTTCAATTCCTAGTTTAAAAAAAATACCCAAAAATAGTTGTTTCATCTTTATGAATATATTTAACTAATATTTTATTTCAGATAAAGAGCGTTGGTCCAAAACTAGTACCATTTTTGAAAACAGTTGCCGTTTACTTCGTCATTTTTATTCCAAAAGACAAGCCGTCAGTTCTTAGCACAATTTTGAAATGCCTCCCCATCGTAAGCCTAATGCTTTTTGTTCTACTACATGGAATGAATTTAAAAGATGAGTAAGTTAATTTACTTATTTTATAATATTAAAAAAAATCTAGAAAATACCAGGAAATATGAAAAATATAGAAAACAAATGTTTTAATCATTTTGTGGTTTTCAAACGTTTTGTACGTTATTATGAGTCTAATTTGAACTGTAATATCTCAGTCAATATTTATTCAACACAAGTCGATCAATTCCGTCATCATAAAAATTGTGTACATGGGATTTGATGAAGTCGACGAAAGCCGTTTTTGCCAGGTACTGATTGGATATGGAGCTACAAAAACACATGAAATTAAAACGAACAAAATAATGTATTACTTAGCACATTGCCGTCCACAGATAACAAAAAATATACTTATTTTTTATGTATATATGAATAAAATGTTGCATCAAGTGAAAAGTTAATTCAAAAAGAGAAGTCGTGTCACATATCGCCAAAGATAATTTGTCAAGAATTGATAAATATTCTAATAGTAATTAAATAAAATAGAATGGTATTCTGAGGGATTTTAATCACCAAACAAAAGTTTTGGCAATTTCGTCATTAATTTATTGAGGACTCCTGATTTCATCGTGGAGCTTGTTGTGTGCATTTAGGCTTTTAAAGAAAACTTGATTATAGGGTGTGTTTTTCTCGTAATCATTGGAATGAAAAAAATTTGTATCAAGAAATCGTAATTGTAGCTTTCAGAGATAAAAGTAATTTTTTTTGTGAATGAAGTGGTGAATTTCCTGATTACATTTTATAAATGAAAATGAGAGCTTGATACAAAAATAAATTATTAAAGAGCAATCATTCTAAGAAACTTTGAATTGGGATAAATTTGGGACAAAATAAAATTATTTTCATTACACGATTTTTCAATTTCTAGTCTATACTTATATCTCGTTTTCATTGAGCAAGTACAGTATTGTAGAGCAATAGTTTGGCCATTTTGCTAGTCTGTTAAGTAAGTAACTCGAACAAATGTCAAAGATCCCAATTTTTATGATCTTGAGCATGAGATCATAAATCAACGTATTTTGTTTAACAACTCAGTCGTATTCATACACCTTTATTTCGAAAAAAACTTCTCTGTGTGTTCTCTTACACAAACAACTGATTTGCTTTTACAGAAGCGAGAAGGAGAAGCGGAAGAGGGAATATAAATGGGACTATAATTTGACTCGTTCAAATCTAAATTGCACAATAGACATATTATGTTAAATAAATTAGTATCCTGTGGAGTGTGTGTAACAAATAGTTATTGCCTGACAAATACAGCTATTATCGATAATGAGGTGACTTAATAATAAAAATGCTGCGGCAAAAACATACTCATTCTGAAGTTTGTTAATACAAACACTTTTGTTGATTTTTTATTCACGCCGGTATCCAGGCCGGAGTGCTTCGAATAATTACGTAAAGGGGGCCATGTGAAGCTAAAACTCTGAGGGTCTCCCGAGGAGGAGGCAACTAATTAAAAAACGAAGTGGGTGGCAGCATTGCCTTGAACAAGAATACTGCCTTCCCCCCAAGAAAGCTCCTGTCAACTGTTGACAGAAAGGAAAGCAACGGTCAAGCAAACAGAGAGAGAAAATCATTGAATTACTCGAAATGAAACTTGATACCTGACTCTGTGACAAACTTCGAATACGGAAAATGCAGGAAATAGTAAGGTTACAATTAATGGGATATGCGATGAATAAATGAAGTAGTTAATATTGAATTAAGAATTTTTAATCGAATCATTGTTCAATAATTCACAAATTCATTATTTGAATTATTGATTTGAAAATGAGAAATACATTCAAATCGAAATCGAAGATAATTTTTCCATACTTGATACAATGTATTTTTTTTAAACATCCTTTGTTTTGGCATGAGTTATGAGATACCTTGTATTTTTTATGCTGGACTGTTGTGAGAGGCTGTTAACATTTGATTTTCAGTATATTGAATATAATATTTCCAATAGTGTGTTCCATAGTTTTTCAAGCTTGGCAGATAATGCGATTATTTATCGGGGCTTATAAGGTTCAATTTAGTTTCACAATAATCATTTCTCCAATTTCAGTAGCCATTTTTGTGACATATCTTACTATTAAAAAAAAATATGTTTTGTTTCATTGTTTCGAACTGATTTGCAATAAGCATGACCGAGTTTTATCTTTCATCTCTCACAGTAGACTTTGATCTTACCTATTACAAAGAAAATCATTTAAAATGTTTTGTTGTCTCAATAGTAATTACGAAAATAATAGGTTAACCTTGATACTCACATTTATTGCGTTGTTTTGCAATATTATTTGCAAAAATCCGAATATAGGGTGTCTTCAGAAAGTATTATCGATGTACAAAAAAATAATTCTGTGAACCTTATCAACCAATAAAAACCGAATCAAAGAGAACAATATCCGGTCCAGTAACAAACGTTTCGCCTGCTACTGCCGCAGACATCATCAGTGGTGTGTGCCTTTACTGTAAACGTGTTATTAGCCTAGGAAGTAGTTGTTTTCCGGCAAGCATTTACCAGAACCTACTGTGTAAGCACATTGGGAGAGATGAATGTTTTGAGATCGCATTTCGAAATATTCATTTTCTTATACGTATATGTATTTCTTCTCGATACAATATTAATTCATTTGTTAATAGTTACCTATCAAATTGTTTAGATATAAGAATGAGTATTTGTAATACAGTATCTGTTGTAATAAATATTGTTATTATTAATTTTCCCTAAGGTTGCGCTGGCCGGGCTTTGACTCCGAAACCCCGATACATTAGGGGTTTCGGAGACAGTGATAGTTGATCATTGGCTCCGAGAATCATGTGCCCTAAGCAAACGCAGTGAGCCAAGAATGACAGCCTTCTGCGTTAGTCCGGCTATGATTTCTCCCTCAGTGCGGCAAGCCGGTATGATCTTGAGATTCGAGAGGGCATAATTCCACCAAAGACTCCAGTAATCAAAACAACCATTTATACAATAGTGGCCTGGATACAGTCTGTGGAGTTCGAAGAGAAAATCTCGATATTTAATTCGTTTTTCTTCAACTTTTTTTAATGATTTTCGTCTGATATTGGGGTTCGCGAAACACAGACATGCACTCATATCCAAATATTCATTACATTTTTTCAATTCCAAGAATACTTGCAATGCTTAATCTTTTTTTTTCAGATACAAATACTCGAGAAGGATTCTGACGGGACTAATTTTTTGCTGTATTGGAGATGCGTTACTCATTTGGAACAATTACTTTGACTTAGGAATGCTGGCATTTATTATAGGGCATGTAGAGTATGTTAGAGCATTTGGTTTCAGACCTCTTAATTTAAAATTAGGACTGTTTTTATATTCTCTAGGAATAACTGGTAAGAATTTTACAGGAATATATGGTACTGAGATAGTTTTGTATTTTAAAAGTATCATTATTCATTTATCATATTGTGTTCTTTGTTATGACTAATTGTTTTCAAAAAAGGCGGGTCAGGAATCTGGCGCGTTAGTCACATAACAGAAAGCATACTCAATTCACCTTCAAAGAAATTAAAATACCTGGTCGACGGCGACGGCGGGTTCGAAATCAATGCAGTCTCATGTCTCATTTACGAAGTCATAATCCTAATATATTACCATTATGAAACATATTTTCATCTGATTAGAATTCTTTTTTCATTAGATGAACATTTGAGACGTCTAACTAGAACAACAAATGTCATGTCGTCGTTTTCAGCGTCAACTTTTATTGTTTTTCAATGTCATAAATCGAAAATAATTATCTGATAAGTCAACTATCACTTTTGAAGATAAATTAGCTAGTATTGCCAATCTATCGGTGCGAAATGCTTCGCTTTGTGTGCGACTCGTTCAAATGTTACAATTTTTTTTGTCAAATGTTACTTTTTCCAATTCATCAATATCAATTTTTATCACATTACAAATTTCTTGTGGGATACACTAGTTTTCATTTTCCGAGTGCATGTTTCTATTCTTATTTTGTTAAAAACTATATATTATAAATCGATCTATCAGTGCAATGATCAGGTTTGACATTTTTGAACATAATTTTGAAGTAGGAAATTCCCAAGAGTTACTTGCGACTGAAAATAATTGAAAGACAAATGAATTTCCTTATCTGTGATTGGTTTAGAGGTAGTGAGTTGTGACTCTGGTCAATTGTGATTGGCAGAGAACGAATCTCGTCGGCGATGGATTCCAAAGCTTGGCTTTGTAACTGATCGCCGTGGGAAGTCTTGTTTATCTTTGATATTCGAGGATTCTCTGTCGATTCCATATATGGCGTCTTCGTAAGGGGAGATGTCGTCCACCTTACTTATTCAGGCTTGTCCTTAAAGGAAGGTTGAGTCCAGAAACGTGTTTGTGCTTCAGCCTGGCATCACTGATGAGACTTATGGCGGATCGAAACAGCACTGTCTGGTATTGAATCATAAATGTGTTTTATTTGGGTTCTGGTTTCCAAACTAAATCTACAATTTTTTCATAAGATAGAATTGACCGGTATAAACATTAGAATCTAGAAATACATTATTGTCTATTGGGGGGTGTTGTAAAATATCAAACGAAAATTTAATAGAAGAAACTATAACAAAATCTTGACTGCTGTACTGCATTCATTTGAAATGCCTTCACTTCGAATATTTTATCATAGTGACATCACCCCCTTCCCCAAAATGTTCATTCTTTTATATACTTTTTCAACATCGTTCAGCCGTGTTTCATATTTAATAAACCTCATATTTGGAAAAATAACAATGCAATTACAGGAAACTGATCGATGATCAATATTATATATTCCAGTTTTACTATATCTACTGCCAAATCTTCATGGAGTGTTTACGATTGGAGTTCCAATATATATATTTGTTATAACCACAATGCTGTGGAGAGCAATAGCAAGAGTTCAGTTCTTTGAGGTAAGTTATACCTACAACAGTTTCGGTTCACTCTGTATACATCATGATTTTGTTGTTATTTTATTGTGTGTTACAGATAGTTGCTGTAGTCAAAAAATGCTATTTTTTATAATTAACGGTCCACTATTTTTCATTATTTTCCATCAAAAATCGTTTCTCACAAATTTTCGTTTCAACCTCGTATAAGTATTGATAATGAGTTATAACTTATGCCAGGTTTCGTGAATAAGCACTCTTTCCTGTGGGAAACATTATTTTCATGAATTCACGATCGTCAAAAAGTGTTCTCTACAAATTTGTGTTTCTGAACATATTTTTGTTTTGCCAACTATGTATATATGTACTGATTATTATTTTGCATTAGATGCCGAGAAAAAGCAGCAAACACTTGTGAATAAAGGATCCACCAATCATAGTATCATCAGTTATTTCAATTTTTACGGACTTTTCATAACATTAATTTTTTTACTCTAGTAAGAATTGATTAACTCATATACTGAAATAATATAGCAAGTATTTTTATATTGAAGTTCTTATGCAAGTAGAACTCTTAGAGACTTGGCAACACTGCGCAATAATGTAGTTCTATCCCACCATAGGTTGTTTCTACATCAGAAGTTGTGGATGAAAATTCATGGATAATTCACACTAATATATCAGAAGGCTCACAATCTTTTTGTTCGTCTTGTAATCATTTTGCACCTACATTGCGGACTTGAATAAGTACCTCCTCTTAACTTTTGAACGGGACAAGATATCGAAGTCGGACAAATATAACATAAAAAGATATAATTTTTAGTACTTTTTGATAAGAATGACAATAGTGTTGCATCTTTCGTCGCCGATAGCGCGCTACCAACTTTTATTTTCAAATGGTAGGAGGGTCGTTGGATAACTTGTTTGATAACTATTTCAGATTTCAGTTCCCTATCCACTTTTTCATATTTCGACATTGGATTATTCGTTCCTGAATAACTTGGAGTTTTATATTCGTTTCAAGAATCTTATAAAAAACTATAAATTTCAGAATTTCAAGAAACAATGTTTTCAAAACCCACAACAGTTCAGTCCATTAAATTTTCAAAATATTTTCCATTTACTTCTTGACAATAATGAAGTCTATTCACAAATTCATTTCTTATATTGTGAAATGTTCCTGGAGTAATTTCGTTTCAAGTATACCTGTTTTTCTATTAACGACGTCTGTTGAGTTTTTTTAAATAAATAGAAAACTTACCAAAGTTCGTGCAGTATCCTATTCAGGATGTGTTTCTTGGGGGGAGGGGGGGCAAATATGAACAATTCCAACATTGAATGAACAATTGTGAGTCAAATGAAATGAAATGACAGATGAACTTCTATTTATGTCTGTTAAATATCTCGAATTAAAGTCTACAGTGCAATAAATCCTTTTTTTTAACTCATTCTTTTGGAAAATTGATTAGTTTAGTATGGGCAAATTTGATTAAGTAGTTGCCGAAAGAAATTAATGCCCAAACGGTTAAAGTCTGTACAAAATCAATCCGAAAAGGCTAATGTACGGGGTCTAATAAATTTGTTAGTTGATACCATATGAAACTTCCCACATAAAAATTATATCATTGTCAATATTTGAGAATGGCAGACTTTCAGGTTTCATTATTTTTTTAATCTTCCCAGTTCTGTTGGAAAACTGCCGTGGTTGGTAAAACTAGGTTATGCTCGACCTCAAATATGATGCTGTGGTTCCCGTTATTCAGTAGAGTTGAACATAGACACATTGTACTTGCTAATATTCAAACTCATTTTTAGGATTTATGGACTTGGAGCAAACTAGGTACATGCGCAGGTAGCATCTTATTTGCATTATCCGATCTTATCTTAGCGATTGACAGGTTTAAGTACAATATCGACTATGTACAGGTTAGTGCAAAATAATTAGTATTTACTATTTTATGCAAGTCACTTCACCAATTTTTTAAATTATTTCATTTACTATTTTATTTACAAAGAACCAAAGTTTTCCTGGGTATTGATAAATTCAGGTAATAAATGAAGTTTTGTGCTCCCTATTCAATAATGGGTATAAATACACTTATTTTATTATTATTTTTAAATGAATGTGATATGCTTACATTAAAATCATTCACACAGCAAAAACAAGTTCATTTAATGATCTCCTTTCTTTGTGTAGTTATTTGCAAGGCTTTGTTAATTTTTCCATTTTTAATAATAATTACAATGTACCATGTACTATATTATTTTTTTTTACTTTTCATCTTCCATACTTGCACAACATAGCCAGATGAATACAAATAACCATATTGAACTTTCACACGACTTACACAGAAACTCTGCTTCATTTCATATATCTAGTGACGTCACTGAACCGCTTCTTTGAGTCTTTACTCAAAGTAATTGTTTGTCATAATTCTTCAAAGTCGATTTCATTCAGTTAAAATGACCCAATTAATTAGCAAATATTCTTTGTAAATTTAGCGCCACAACAACCCGACTTTTCCTCTGAAAAAACATGAAATTAGCTTCATAAAATGATTTGTCTATTATAGACGCAGTTTAAAAAAGCGAATTGACAGATTACTAACAAGTCATAATTTAACCGACAGCTGGTTAACGGAAAAACAAATTTTAAAACGGATAAGCGATAATCAAGTATAAAGGGTTACTTTTCGCCGGTAAAAAATATTCGCATGTGACCTATTGTATGAATTAAATCTCTTTGACTCGCTGTACAAGATCAAAAACTATTGGGTCGTTACGAATGATGTTGATATTATTAATATCGTTTTCATTGTAAAAACGATAGATTTTAGGGTTATTTCTAGTGATTTTTATGAATGGAAATTCGTAAAATTGTAAGTAAAGGCTCTCTTAGAATAAATTAGAAGACGTAGAAGACGGAACATGTATGTCATAATGAAGGTTACACACGTTTTTTATTTATTTCAGCTTTGTTGAGGTCATCGGAAACTGCAAATTCTTTGGAATCTCAGCATATTGAATTAAAGAATAATTATTGTTTTTGTCTCATCTCATTCCCCTTCCATTGTGTTATAGGTCTTTCAAATGAGAAACCTTCGCTTTTTCAGGTACTTGTGATGTCCACCTACTACGCAGCGCAAGTTGGCATAGCTGTAAGTGTAGTGGATGCAACATCTTCAGAACAACTAGCCAAACACAAGAAAACGTAAATGTGGCTGGCCTATAAACCAAATATATTAAGCTCAAAGTTTAAGCCAAAAAAACTGGATGTATTTTCATTTCTTGTAAACATTTTAAGATTTCATCTACTCGTAGGTGTAATTGTCTCCTTATTACCCTGAACAAATCATGATATGAATAGAGAGTAGACAAAAAAAGAACAAAAGTCATAATCCTATAGTATTAAAACAGTTTTCATTGAAGTCCTAAGAAAGCTTGGACGAATAAAAATGTTTTCACAGTCAAAAGTATATTCACTTAATTGTAATTCTTGACTTGTTATGGTGAATTCAAGCACACTAAATTAGCAAAGTGACAACTGACAATTATCTATCAGCAGAAAAAAATTGATGTTTAGGTAGGTGAACAAAATTACAAGTTGCATGTAGTATGAAAGGGCGAGAAGCATTAAAATTTCCGAGAAACTTGAAATCTTATCTACTGTTTCACGTGAAATAGGAATGTAGGGTTATGCTTCTTTTTTTACTAAATCAGTATAAATGTTACTTTCTGTCACAGAATTTTCAGTAAGACTTGATTGTAAGCGAATATGTGGATTTGTATCTCATACATACATACATACACTATTCTATTGTGTAGATTTCAAACTGTTATTCAAAGCCATTATGTAACTTGTACGATTTTATTTATAATTTAAGTATTCTCATACTCGTTGAAAAGTCTTCCCATTTTCAACCTTTCTTTCTAATTTGTATTTAAAATATTCAACTCTTTTACTGTAATGGTAGACTGCACTAAATAGACTATTTATGTACTTTACTATCTGTGATTCAATGTTTTAGGTATATTTCCATATGTGGTTAGGTTGTGATATAGAATATAATTGAAATAAAGAATTATGAATGTTAAGTTTTGATTTATTTGATAGCAACGTGTGATAGTTTAATGTTATAGTGTGACAAACATTTGTCGACTATAATAGTTATTTATGTATCAAGGGAGTAAAATAGGCCTTTATGGACCGCATCGTGTAAGGAATATTAACACGACTTGGTCCATAAAAGCGAATTACGCCCGATATACATACATTTTATGCACGACCGGTATATTTGATGTCATGAAGATAGATACCTCTTTATATCTAGAACATGATAGAAATACGTCAAGGCTGCTTTGAAGCTGTATATTCATATCATATCTAACGTTCAAGCCAGTCTCGAATATACCTACACAATAGGTTGAATGGACTGCCGCCTATCAGAAAACAACTATTCCCCTGGCTAATACCACGAAGGGCGTTGGATTATATCCGACAGGCGTCAGTGCAGGAATCTTCACAGAAAATTTCCTGCATATGCAATTGGCAATACAACTGAAAAGAGTCGACCTTCAATGTATGCCCGAAACCGGGCATACTTGCAGACCGGTTTCGGGCCATTAGCCACTCGTCAATGCAAGATAGTGGCCATCATCGAACTAAAGTCAATTATATTCCATAATTGAAAATCGGAATTCTTTCAGAGTATTTCATACCTCTTCCTAAGTTGGAGCGAACAACAAAATGTCACTCCATCTAGTAGATGAGGTACTAACCAACTGCACATCCGAAACTTGTCCGATTCTCCTGAATAAGAAAGAAAAACTTTCTTATTAGTCAATGGGCTATGCTTAAAGACTGGCAGTAAACAAATCTAAAGAAATGAATTTTAAACGGTCAAGCCAGTCTCGGCTATACCCACACAGTAGGTTGAATGGACTGACGCCTATCACAAAACAACTACTCCCCTGGCTAATACCTGCATATGCAGGAAATTTTCTGTAAAGAATCTTGCACTGACGCCTGTCGGATATAATCCAACGCTCTTCGTGGTATTAGCCAGGGGAGTAGGTGTTTTCTGATAGGCTTCAGTCCATTCAACCTACCGTGTAGGTATATCCGAGACTGGCTTGAACGTTTAAAGTTCATTTCTTAAGATTTGTTTACTGCCAGTCTTCAAGCAAAGCCCACTCACTAATAAGAAAGATATTCATATCATATCGGAAACAGAATAAATCAAGAAGTGATGGAATGAATGTTTCCATGACAACTCAGTCAATTTTTCGAAATAAGATTATATAGGCTAGTAGCCATATTTACTGTCAATTTTTGTGATCACAGATAATTTATTAGTAATTTTTAAATGGATTCAAGCGACGAAGAAAGTGTCTATTGTACTCCACCAGAAATAACTAAAGCAGTCGAGGATGCGAAATTGAGTTTATTGCCAAATAAATTCAAGAAAATATATGACAAAGTGAGTGAAGAACTCTTGAGGTGGTGCAAGGGGGATAACGTAAAAAATAAGAATTACAGAGTGTACTTGCCTATTTTCTGGAAAAATCTAAATATCGTGAGCCCTCTTCCATGTGGTCATATTATTCCATGCTGAAAGCTACTTTAAATGTACGTAATTAGAGATATCAGTAGATACGCAAGATTGATAGCTTTTTATGAGTTATCTATAAGTACAAAAGATATATTGATAGTCTGATGATGGTGATTGATGGATCCTCGACTCGTAATGTGCACTCCTGTTTAATTTGCATTTATTGAATCCATCGGAATATAGATTTCTATCGATATGAAATTGAAACTCACTTTAGCGCCTGCTGAATGATTTTATCGCCCGCCGGGCGATATAGTAATCCGCGTACGCCCGGTCGTGCATAAAAAGTATTTATTCTGATTATTGAATCAACAAATGAAAACGGAAAAATTGAGATGATATTATATGAGGTCTGTTAAAAAATAAATTTTCAATTTTCTTACAAAAATTTCAATTATTCACCAATTTCTATTTTGTCCCCTTTAAAGTAGCCTCGCTCAGATACAATATACTTGTGCCAGCGTTTTTCTAATCCTCATCCCTTCGATCGTCGCAAAACGCCGTCCTTTCATGTATCTCTTCAATATTAGGAGCAGGAAAAAGTTGCAGGGGACCAAATCTGGTGAATACGGTGGCTGAGGCACGATTCCGATGTTACTTTTGGGCAAAAAATTACGAACAAACAATGATAAGTGAGCAGGTGCATTATCACAATGCAAAATCCATGAATTATTTTTACTCATTACCGGGCAAGCGGCCCACAACTTAAAAATAATACTCCTTATTGACCATATGGCAAGAACTCCTGATGCATTATGCTACGTAATCGAAGAAAACGGTGAGCAAAACCTTGACATTTGATCTAATTTGGCGTGCTTTTTTTGGTCTTGGCGCTCCTGGGCTCTTCCATTGGAACAATTTGACTTTGGTTTCGATATATCATATACCCATGATTCGTCACCAGTTATGAACCTTTCAAGCAAATCTGGATTGCCAACAATTCCTGAGCGATGCTTAGGCAACGTTTTTTTGGTCAAAATTCAGCAATTTTTGAACGAACTTCGCTGCCACACGCTTCATGCCCAAAATCCCGAAAGAATTGCATGACATGAGCCATCCGATGTGCAGACATCCTCAGTAACTTCTCTAATAGTGATTCGATGATTCTCCATTACAATTTTTTTCACTTTCTCAACATTTTCATCGGTTATTGATGTACTGGGGCGTCCAAGTCGAGCGTCGCCATTCACATCTGCTCGACCTTCTGTGAAAAGTTTGTACCACTTGTAAACAATTTTTCTGACTCAGAGAACATTCACCGTATGCCACTGTCAACATTTCAAGTATTTTTGAACACTCAACTCTATTTTTTACACAAAATTTTATGCAAATTCTTTTATCCTTTTTTTTTTGATAGCAGAAAATCGTCGAAAACGCAAAATACTTTTACGCCTCTCAGCAACAAACTGAACATGCTAACAGCTGAGACTGTAAACATGTATTCGCAATAAGTATACTTACTTAAAAAAAATCGCTAATCGAATGTACGTAGCCTGCGAAATTTGAACATTCACATTATTTTTTGAACAGATCTCCTACATATTGGATGTTGATATAACACATTTCAGAATAATTTTCCAGGTAACATATTCAGTAGTTCCAGATTCGTCATATAAGTTAAATTTACAACCAGCACTTCATCTCCTGAAGACGCCAACTTGGTTGATGAAACCCGCGTCAGGAAGAGTATTGCATTTCTGGTGATTGGAAAAAGTGTTACTTTTGAGATTATGTGACCTTTAGAACAAGTAAAAAAAAGTTGAAACATGTTTTTCCGTTAACCAGCTGTCCATCTAATTTTTATTGCATTTACTACGATTTACTTTTTTGGAGATTTCAATTTAAAGCAACATGTCATATTTCACTGGCTGCATAGATACAGATCTGAACTATCAAAGACAAAAAGACATTCTGTTGTCGATAACATCATTAAAACACACACACAAAATGAACTGTAATCGACCATATTCAGCATATTAAATTTTGGAGATATTCAAACATCAAACAATAAAATGAAATAAAATATATTTTATTTTGAAAAAGAAAACAAATCACATTTCTATATTATGATGATTGGAATAAATTTCCAAGTTTATGATCTTATCAAACTATTTCTCAACATAGAAAGTAATAAATCAATCGATTTATAAAGGTTAGCGAGAGAAAGTTGTTTTAAATAAAATAACTGATCAAACCAAAACCATATTTAATTTTTCTCTTTTTTTGGTAAAATTTCACAATTTCAACAAACTCAAGAGAACTATCACACATATAATGAATAAATTGTATAAAAAGTCGAAATATATTACCAAAATCAGCATGCCCCTATGACTAACGTACGCTCAACAACTGAATCTAACTTTCAGCCCTTGCGATTGGGTGAACTTTCAGGAATCTTTGGCTTAGAACAGTTAGCATTCAGTCGGAAATAGTGATCCCCAATTATGAGTGGCCTTCTCAGCCTGAATGCTTATCACGGATATGTAGAATACAAATATTACTTTTAACTATTTGTTGAAATGTCACTGTCATCAGTAAAATGAATAGCAGGTTATTCGAATTATTATTCAACTTCTCGCCTTGATCTTCCTTCTAGGAAATTATATGAAAATCGAAAAAAAAAGGTACAGTTCAAGGAACATTTTCAACCTCATGGTTAAACCCACTACAATAGGAACCAACCTTTTTACGGATTAACTTTTGAGTTGACTTAAAAAGATTTTAACGGACTCGTTAAATTTCGTTAATCGTTAATCCAGTACCTACTATTTACCAAGCGCCGCCGTGAAAAACCAGTTTCGCTTTCAAAAGGGTACTTAAACGTATTGAGGGCAATATCCACAATATACCAGATGACTAAATTAGACACTCTGTAGACGTTTTTTTTTTGTTCCTAACCTTCTCACTTCCGGAACCCAAACCAAAACAGTTCTTGTAAGTAATCTTTATTACAATGATATAAAAAACATTTTTCATCGGATTATAATGCATTAACGATTAACGGTAACTTGTTTTAAATCATCCCAAAGATAATGCTTAAACGTTTAACATAGTTTAATTTTTTTTTTACGGGTTAGCTATTAACGAAGTAATTTATTTAATTAACGGTGCCCAGCTATGGTAATTAAGTGCCATATCAGCAGTTGATCGAGAGTGAGATGTATTTAACAGAGATAGCAAATCTGATATTTGTTAAATTAGCTATTTAGGCCCTACAAACAAATGTTGATATACAAAAAATGATCACAGCTCGTTGCTGAATTCTCAGTAAAGTTTTTAGAAAAGTTGGAGAAGAGTCGAAAACTGTTACTGTTAAGACCAATAGACAACAATTTGAATAGTTTATGAGATATATTCATATTTCTATCAACAAATTGAAAATTATTTTCGTAATAGTGAAAGAGGTGTTGAAAAACTCGAGTAAAATTGTGTTACTCAGATATTGGAAGTGTATCAAATAATCTGAGCATTTCAACTATAAATATACCTACTCAATACAAATACTTTCATTTAAATAATAACTTGAAAGCCATTACAATTACTTCTGTAATTTTGGAACATTATTTTTCTAAAAATTCTGAACAAATGATGATAAAAAGTGGAGAGAGAATTACAAGCCATTTAAAATTATATGCCACTTAATTTATTTTTCCTTTAAAGATTCTCAGGACAACATCTACCTACCTGATATTCGGGGGTTGAGCCGTAAGACTGCAAATATTCCTTGAAACTGTCTTCCTTCAAAATAAAATGAAGCATCTTTTTGATCTTCTATAGTTTCGGCTTCTAATATGTGTAAATTCATTTTATTTGAATGGGATATCTTCTGAGCGAGTTATAACTCGCAGAGGATATTTTCAAATTGGCACCCTATGTATCCAAGTGCCAATGAATTGTAATTTTTATGATTACCTAGAATGCACCTTGTCATGTTCAACATTTCTTCACGAACCACGTTGGACGCAAAACCTAAGCTGAAAAGGTGTAGAACCCAGATTCGTTACATAACTTAAAAACCCAAATTAACCAACATAATGATCACATACTTTTTAAAAAGTGAATTGTATCACCTGGTCTATCCTCACCAATTACCACAAAAGTAAAAAACACCTGTACTACGTAGACCACATATAAAAATAGGTACTCTGCCAGAAAGGCAGGTATTGTGCCAAAGGTGTGCAAATTAATCCAGCTAGAGGGATTTTACTGAGAGCTTTCAGGAAACCATCTATCTTGTCCTTGCTGTACCTTTCATATATTGGTGAACGCAATAGATACAGTACCAATATGACAGTTCTCCTTGACAGTTGAAGACGTTGTAGTGGAGTAAGGGAATTGATACTTTTACTTCTGCAGGAACGGTATAGCTGCAAACTAGAAGAACATTTAAACTTTCAAAGGTGCAACGGGCTGATTGTGATTCAATTACAACTATAATTACATTTAACATATGCAGATAATTGTTGTCATCAGAATAAATATCCAATTCAAAAATTAAATAAATGGGCATAGAAATGGAGCTCATAAATCACAAAATAAGGTGTAGCAAGATGAAGTCTTCTGTCAAGTTATACCCAAGTTTATGTTCTGTGATTTATCAACATTTACAGAATGTTTAATATTTATGGGATGTTGTGTCATACTCAGTACACTCAAAACCAGTAAGTGGAAAGTTTCCACACCATTTGAATGTAATTTAGGAGATAATCCGACCCTACTTTCAGTTAGTACCATCTTGTATTGTCATGAATAAGTGTAATAGTAGAGTAAGATATCAACATAAAAATTATTACAATTTCATAGTATAGCAATGTAAAATGGTACCGAAAAGACATTTTATTTGAAATAATTCATCACTTACCTTGTCAAATCTAAAGCTAACCCTATCATCCACGGTTTCCATGTTTTAGTCCCAAAACAAGCCATCGACAACAGATGAACCAAAGGTTTAGAAATATAAATAGTTTCAGCAATAAGTTGTCTACCTGCTAAGGATTGTTCGATAGTTTGGTTATTCCCACAACTAAAGCTTGGAGCTTTCAGCAAAGGTTTCCAATTCCTTATAGCTAAAAAATTAAACAATTACTCTAAAGTCGTAGTTAAAATGCCTGGCAGATAATTATTCATTTCTCTAACTAATGATTATTGAATCATTAATGTCACTGTAATACAAACCTAAGGGTGGGGCAGAGTCAACTTTTCTCACTACACGACCTGAACGCTTCAATGTAAATGAAACAGAGTTGAGTTGTTCTTGAGCTAAATCACCCATGGTTGCATAATCCGAATTATTACTCTTCAAATCTCTTCTATCCAGAACTGGTATTGGAGGATTCTGGATTATTGGTTCTTTGTGTTGGTAGACGAGAAACAACCTGGCTATACACCTGAAATCAAACTTTCCTTAATAAACTTTCATTAATCAACTCAGAAAAGTTTCAAAGAATATCAAGATCTTAAGATTGTTGTTACACAATTTGAAATAGAATAGAATAATCTTCGTATGAAGGTTTCAAGTAGGACTCCAGTGAAAGGTTCGTTCTGCAGATCTGAATCTTTTTCACTAGTGAAAACAGAATGTAGGACATTTCCAGAAACTAAAGGCTGCTCAAATAATCCTATTCTGTTCTAGAGGCAGCGTTGTCTTTAAATTTAAATTAGTCTTAATTTTCTCTGACAAATGCGTAGTGATGGTCGGAATCTACTGATTTGCCAAGGCAGAATACATCTACGTAGAGCTTGTAGCCGCAATTGTCTGCAATATTTTCATTCAAAGTCAACGTTTCAAGAATCTTCATAGGCTACTGGGACTCAGTATTATACTGATTATCTGGGAACTTTACAATTTGATTGTATACGGCAGTTTTCATCACTTTAATAAAAGTATCTAGATCTAGTATCTAGAAATATATTGATTTATGGGATCATTAATTAGTTACCTACACAGGCAAAAGTATGACCATATATTCTTTAAGAAATGATGGAAATATCCCATGTCTCGAAGTTTCTTTAAGGAGTGGAATAAGAACATCTACAGTATAATTTACCAAGTTTTCAAATGTTGCGATTGATAGAATATCAATTCCAGATGTTTTTTTCATTTTTTTAGGTTAATAATGTTTGTTTCTCTCTTTTATTGGTGTTATGAAAAATGCATATTTTGTTAATAATCACTATTTGAAAGTAAACTGTCTCATCTTGTATAGGATTTAAGTTCTCAGTTAATTTTTCAGCCATGGAACTTGGCATGGAGGAAGGTATCTGCATATTTTCTGATAATACTCCTTTCTTCTTATTTCGTTAACAATATTCCATGTTATATCTATATAATACTTGTATTTTGCTCTATGGATTACTCCTCTACAGAAATTTCAGTACTTACCGAAATATTTCAGTAAAATAGTTCAATCAAATATTTCTTTAAATAATGAAGGGACCCCTCATACTTTTCAAAGAAGTGCTAATTCATGCTGCGATGCAAGGTTTCCAATAATTAATTTTCTCATGTGAAGGGAACTTTATTCATGAATACAAAAAGTAGAGCGAAGAGAGTAGAGTTTCACTGTAGAGTCTAACAAATTTATCACTTTTATTTCTTGTGTTAATTCTCAAAAAACTCAAAATGGCATCGTGATTGTAAAAATTACAAAAAGTTACAGTATAAGATATACCGATGATGCACAAATAATTCATCACTAGTTTGAAACCAAATTTAACTCTTACTTGAATACTTGTATGCAGGTGACAATAACCCATTTTCCAGCAGAACCCCAAATTTTACTAGCAGAAAGTTCGCAGAATACTTCAGAGTACTCAATTACTGTTAGCCAAAGTTTTATTTTATCTGGTGTAGTGTTCGAGTCTACATGGCAGATTGTTTTCTTGATTATTCTGTCATTGAACATAACAAGAAGGTTAGACAAACAGTAAACCAATTCGGAAAGTATATGGGAGTTATTAATCCTTCCTACAGAAAAAACATTTCATTAGACCAAAGTTCATTTAAGATAGATATATCACCCACCTGCTATAAAATACGATACCCATTTTGCCGAATTTTCCCAGTCTCCTAATGACTGTGGATTTTTGCTAACCCAGACTTTATAAGAATGAAAAATGTCAGGACATGAGAATAACAACGAAGACATATTCCTTTGCAAAAACCTACCGTAAACAATGTCAACTATAAACTATAACCTAAAATTTGACTTTAAATAACACTGATATCTTCCTCTTTATTACCATGGACAGTTTTATCACAGATACTTCATTCTTTCCTCAGAGTATTCATACTCTGTGACATAGATTTAATTGACATACATAAATTGAGAAAGAAAATCGTGTTTCTTTATTCACCAGATGAATTTCATCAGTACATATAATACTGTCAAAGACGTTACTCATTAGGCTCATTATATTTAATGGCGGCAACTAAAAGTAAACACCATATGAGAAAAGAAAAATAATGATCTCTGCGAATGCTCGCTATTGCCCCTCACGAACAAAAATCCTCAAATGTCTAAACTTGTGATTAACGAGGTCTCTAATCTCTTACCGTTCACGGGAACTTCGTGCATAGACTTGAATTTGAATAGCCCTGTATATTTAGCAATATGTGGTTTAACCAGCTGTTGCATCCTTATGGATAATAACCCTTAGAAATCTATAGTCCGAGCTAAGGTTGGGTTGATCGTGCAATTCCAATCTTGGGACGGATGATATGAAGTGAACATCGATTGTCTCGCAGTGGGGATCGAGTCAACGTTAACAAAGCGGTTTTCTGAATGAGCAGAACGAACCACCCACGTTACATGGCTACGGTTCGGCCACCCCGAATACTTCCCCAATAAAAATTATAATTGATTAGAATTTAGTGTCCATCGGCAGATTTGAAGTGTCGATCCACAGATTTGAAAAGTGTCGATCCACATATTAGAAGTGTCGATTGACAGACTTAGATTTTGTCTTTGAAAAAAATTCTTGTCCGCAAGTCTACTGATTGAAAGATAAAATAAATAATCTCAATCCACTTGATGATATCAAAGCTATTGCTGTGGAGAACACTACAAAGCGAATATTATTGATGGAAGTATTCACTGTCCCTTATCCAGGTTTAGCCTCTCCGGAATTCACCAGAAGTACAGCTACATTTTTTCAACGAAACTACACAACTACTCATTATGTTCAGTTTATGAGAGTGGCAAATAGAACAGTTTTCAATTTCTTTACTTCTGCATCAGAGATTAAAAAGTAACAGAATTTGGAGTGAAATATGTGGTCTTCGTGAACGTCTTTTCAATGGACCATTGAATTCTGTGATATATTTTCATACATACTTGTTCCTGATAGTTGTGATTGTATTTTTAAAAGGAGACTAGTTATGTATTGTTTTCTATGTCTGCTTTTTTATATTGTTGTATACATTTAGTTGCGTTTTGTGTAATTGTATTGATAAAATGGGTTTTGAACCAAAAATGAATAAATGAATAACAGGAACCGATATAAAATTCTTTCTACCAGAATCACTTTTGATCTCGAGTGTACCAGGTGTTTATAAAAGTGGGTCTGCATAGATAACAAAAGTAAGCAATTGTTCTAAATTAAATTTCATAATTTGTCATTGCAGGAGCTCTGAATGACTTATCATCCCTGAATATATTGTTTCCATTCATAGATATAAATACTGATAAAAGTGAAAGAGTAAACTTGGTTTGAATATATTGCTTGTCAAAAAATGAAACACAATTTGGGTAAATAATATGATGTACTGAAACAATTGTATATAATACTTGAATTTTCAACTCAATATTACAATAATGGATGGAATAAAAGTTATATAACTGTTAAAAATGCAATAAAAGATTCAAGAAAAATATTAAAATTTTAAGCTTAGTTGGTACGTAACTGATAATCCCCATTCTGTGTAATATATCTAACCCAAGGCAAAGCTTGATATCCACTTTTTTCAATGATTTTCAAATATCTCACTTGAATTCCTGAAGTTGTGAAGTATGGAATCTCAAATTTGACCTGTATTGGAGGTTTACCTTCTGTATCTTCGCACTCCACACTCGGCAACCCAAAATGAGCTCTCATTAAATATTCCTTACCCCCAGGAAAAGATTTGATTGTCCAAGTTATTGCATTCTGCTCTGGGGCATATTTGACGCTCCCGATTGTTGTTTTAAACTTGGGCGAGTCTGCATCATTAGGTACAGGAATGACAATTTCCACATTGTTAGCAGTAGAACGCCTTTTGAATTGTGACTTAGCTTTAATCATATATTCAACTCTGCTATGAGCATGGCGTTCTATAACTGATTCGATCCATATGAGCGGTTTAACATGAGTGTTGAGGCGATATGACATTAACTCAAATTCTCCGTCAGGTGGGATGAATGATATTGTTCGGTCAATTTCAAAACGGGATAACCTGACGCATTGGTGGAACTTCACGTCTTCTAATTCAACAGATTTTGACTTACCACGACCTGTGCTTTCAAACAGCACCTTGTCGTTGAGACCTAAACGTAATTCTGGCATTCCAGATAAGTACACCCTCATCTTTATGGCTCCAACAATTTCGCTCCTTAGTACATTACCATTCGCGTTGGCTAGCAGATTCACAGACTCTATAACGTCAAGAAATACTTCATTTTTTCTATATTTTATTCCCTCGGACCGCCAAGACACTGCATTAGTAACAGCTACTGGAATACGTGGCTGAATTTCTAATTTATGGCCCTCCTGTGTAATATACTCCTGAAGGATTTTACTATCGGTAGTTTGTGGATATCCAAAGTCTAGAAGCTCGTCTAAAAGCTCGTAAATTACCACAAAGTTGTCTCTTATGCTTTCTTCTTCCAGTTCTTTGAAATATTCTGTCATCACTTGAACTATTTTATGCAAGAATACAAATACTAAAGCAATATTAGCATTTTTCTTGGTAGTACTTACAATGTAGAGGTTATTTGTTTTGATATACGAAAATGTACAATCAGTCGTTTGTAATATAGGAGTTAGCAGTCCTTCTTCCTCTTTTTCCATTAGAAGGGGCATGAATTTGTCTATAACCCCAAGATCAATGTCGCCTCGGTAATTACGGGAAATAAGAACTTTCCCTTTCACGTCGAGGATGTATATCGCAGAGCAAGACATGTTGATGGCGATAAAATAAGTGTAATCAATTTTTTTCCTTCAGGGTGGAATGTGAATTGTCAGTCACCTACCTGCAAAATTCAACCTTTCTTCAACAAAAAACTTAGATGGTTGTATCAAACTTACATTGTGCGGGTAGACTGAATGAAAAGTCTATAATTTAATTTTGGATACCACGTCTCAGTTACTTTTATTTTTAATATTCTCGATTTTCTCTTTTTAGATTCTGACTTTACTAGATTCGACTCGAATTGCGATGACAGTTGATATCTGACATTTATCAACGTGTATAAAATCATAAAATCATTTTTTGTAGCGTCTGTAGACAGCAAACGCTTCTCATGTATAATGTTAATAATATAGATATCAGTACATTTTTCTGCGCTCTATCATATGGAACCACGCACCCTAAAAACTAAGCGCATCCGGATGATATGCAGTGAACATCGATTGTCTTGCAGTGGGGATCGAGCCAACGTTAACAAAGCGATTTTCTGAATGAGCAGAACGAACCACCCACGTTACATGGCTACCATCCGGCCACCCCGAATACTTCCCCAATAAATTTAGTGTCCATCGACAGATTTGAAGTGTCGATCCACATATTTAAAAAGTGTCGATCCACATATTAGAAAAGTGTTGATTGACAGAATTAGATTTTGTCTTTGAAAAAAATTCTTGTCCTCCAATCTACTGATTGAAAGATAAAATAAATAATCTCAATCCACTTGATGATATCGAAGCTCATGTATAATTAGTTAATAATAATAGACATCAGTACATTATTCTGCGCTCTATCATATGGAACCGTGCACCCTAAAGACTAAGCGCATCCAAAAGCAAATACCTTTAGTGTTTATGCATGTCTCTTTTATACTATAACGTTCTTTTCAGGAGTCACACGCATATTAAAGACACTCAAAAATTGACTTGTGCCTTATATTTAATTCTATAATGGATTAACTAGATCGATAATCTAGTTAGGAAAGAGCTACCAGGTAACATTGGTGAAAGTGCTTCCCAATATACCGTAGAAACAATCGTATGGTGGTGATTTATTGATGTGACAGAATTCAATCAAGCTTATTTCTCCGTTCTTCTCTTCATTCTATATCTTTTTTCATTCCAATATACCTTTTCGAATGGGTAGGCATAGATTCACTACCTGTGACATATTTTGTCCTATTTTACCATAACTAGGTTGGAACAGATTTTTTTTAAATTATTTTTTGCATCTTGCATATGCATCATATTTGTCTCATAATTTAAACGAACACTTCTTTAAGACAGAATGATCGACTTGAAACTCTGAATTAAATGATTTTTTTTACAACAAAATTGTCCCTCAATTCATACTCTTGTGTTGATATATGAAATACAAAGAATCTATTGTCACTTTCATTAATACTGAAGAAAACAACAAAGGAAATATGTATACTGGGTGTAACATAGGTACCTTAAAATATTCAAGTGATGTATTCCTGAGACAATTTTAAGAAAAAAAGTCTATATGAACTTGTGTCCGAAAATGCTTCGTTTCGGAGATACGGGATGTGGAAATTGAATTTTTTCTTCGCCTTTTGAAAATAACTCTTGGAAAAAATAAGTTATTTGCACGAAATTCGGTACCCGGGGTTTTTTTGACGTGAGAAATCATAATTTTGTATTAATTTTCATGTAACATCTAGAAAAAAAAAAAAAAAATCTGTTTTTCCGTTAACCAGCTGTCGCACCCCTACGAACGACAACCCTCAAAAGTCGAAACTTGTGCGAGCTAAGGATTAACGAGGTCTTACCTTTTAACGTGTGATTCCTAACAGAAGTACGCTGTCATTATTTATTTCAAATTGCCCTAACTTTTTTGACAGTAAACTTTTGGTACTTTTCACGAAAAAACCTAATTCCCACACCTTTTCCATGTAAAAAAGGTACACCTCCTCAACAACGCTGGAGGTGATCGTTTTCGAGATTTACGTCGTCTCCAATTTTGAATTCAGAACTTTTCATTGCTTCATATATAACATTCAAAATTTACAACTCCATGATTTGAGGACAGTTAATATTTGAAATTTTGAAAGAAATAGAGAACGATTGCACGGATTAGGACAGTCACTTACAGAACTAAAGAGAGAACGTAATTGACCACTGACTTTTAACTTGCTGAACACCGTACAGAGTATGTGGTCCGGGTGGTCGGAACCTGAACGGAACTGGTTTAACGGAACATATTCAAAATGCTTTGTTTACATTTTCATTTTTTAATTCAGTCAAATTGGGATATTTGATATGAATCGTATAAAATACACAAGTCCTCTTTTGATCGACGGTGAATCAACTATTGCAGTAGAAAATAATGTCAGATTATATGATGGCGATCAAAAGGTAACTTTTTTTTTATAAATTACGCAAATTTCTATCTTTTTTCTATTTTAGACATCATTTGAAGGTGGTGAACTGATTATTACAACTCATAGGCTTCTATGGGGTCGCCCAGGACAAATTGCCCGAGGACAGACATGTTTTTCATTGAATTTGAGTCTTGTCGTTTTTGTAGAGGAAGAATCACCTAGTTCATTCAGCTTCAGCAGATCCAGAAAAATAATATTGCATTTATCAGAAGTTAATGGTATTGATTGGGTATATTAATGTTTAGCAAAACTAGTTTTGGGTTTCTGCTTCTCCATTAATATAAAGAAATGGGATATTTCCTAAAGAAAAGAATATGAAGACTCATTATATCAATGAAACTTTAGTAGTACAATGATGCATATTTTTTCATTTGCAAGTCTGCATTGTTCATCAAATATCAAATTTACTTGAAGGCAAAATTATATTTTACGGAAAAATGTTTCTTTTAATAAGATATTTGTAGATTGTATCAGCTAGATGGCAACATATATAATCATTTCAAGGAGTAAAATATATATTTTTTACTAATCTCTTTTTGGGAGTTGTATCTTCAACAATATGAAAAAATAATTGTAATGGGAAATTAAAAACGTTAATTGTTCAGTATTTAAAAAATAGTGTATCTAGTTATTACATAAAATAACTACTTCACATAAGTAATACAGTTTTTACTGACAAATGTATAGCATGGTATAATTTTCCTGACCAACTTGGTTAATGAAATGCATGTTAAGATGAATGTTGCAGTTTCGGTATATGATAAGATAAGCATGTCATTCTACACCAGAGGCTTGAATTCAATTTTTCAAATACAGAGTGAGTCAACAAGTTTCCCTTGGTTAGTGCTCTCATGTGAAACTATTTTTTCAACTGTGTAATTTCAGAACTGTGAATGTTAGCGGGGTCTCTCATCAGTCAATACATGTTTTTTTCTATACATATTTTTTCCATAAATTTGTTTTTTTCCATAAATTTATATGTTCAATTCATTGTTTTTTACTAATTTTTACTGCCCTGAAGAAGCTTTCCACTAGAAGCAAAAGCTTGGCAAAGTAGAGCAGAGTTTTGATGACTGAGAGACCCCGTTAATCCATTTTACTGTACATTTTCCACACGTACACTTATATAAAATTTTGAAAGAATTGTGACTGACATTTGTCAATTTCTTTTCTAGTTCTTGGAAGTTTCATATTCTTCAAGTATCAATAAAGAAATGAAAACCCAAAACGGATTTTTCCAAGGAAAACTTTATATTATTCTGTAAAACTATTTTAGATTCTTCTAACGGGCCCCAGCTAACAAGTATCTACAATTTTATTAAGCTGTCTTTCAGAGAAGGATATTCTAATAATGTACTGGGAATTTTGAATGACCTATTGCAAAAGAAGCTTTGGGAACCGGAACTGCCAGATGCTGTGCTTCAGAATAAACCCCAAATACCTACAATAAAGCCTAGACTTGGAATTGTCGGAATTGAAAGAAGTATACTAGAAAAACAGAAAGCTACAGATGAGAGTATCAGCAAAGCTTTTCAGGACTTAGATAAGCTAATGACGATGGCCAAGGACATGGTAAGACTGTCTAAAATGATTTCAACGAAAATCAAGGAGAAACAAGGTGATATAACTGAAGATGAAACCGTCCAATTCAAGTCTTATTTACTCAGTCTGGGAATTGACGATCCTGTTACTAGAGATTCATATAAATCCGACAATCAGTACTACCACAGTCTGGCAAAACAAATCTGCTCGTTTTTGCATAGACATATAGAGGAAATGGGCGGTATGATGGCTCTAACTGATGTGTTTTGTTGGGTGAATAGAGCAAGAAGTTTGGAACTCTTGTCTCCAGAAGACATTTTAAATGCTTGTAGAGTTATGGAATCCCTTGATTTACCACTGAAGCTATATAAATTTTCTTCGGGAGTTATGGTGCTTCAGTTGAGTAGTTTGGACAGTGAGAGTGTTGCTGAAGCAACTTCAATTCTGGTGGGTTTCTTTAAATTGATATGCATAATTGACTCAAATTTTTACTTGAAACCTGATTCATTTTCAAATAAAGTTAGTAACTGATGCTTTTCGAACTGAGTCTCTTTCTGTAGTGAATTGAAGATTGGACTTTTTTTATTTCTATTCAAATTGAAGATTGGATTTTTTTTATTCAAATTGACTTAATTTTCAGGTTGAAGACAGAGGATCACTCTCTGCAGAAGAACTCTCACAAACTCTTGGCATTTCTCTCACACTGGCCAAAGAAAGATTACTTACTGCTGAGAAATTTGGAAAATGTTGCAGGGATGATTCCATTGAAGGTTTAAGATTTTATCCTAACCTTTTTCTAACTAGAGAAGAATGAGAATGTTATAGAAAAGTCAAATGTTTTTATATAATGATTTTATTGTGAAGATAATATTTTGAAATTTATTTTGAATATTATAATTTGAATTGTTTTCACTTTTTTTTTCCTGTATCTGTTGTTTATAAATTTAAACCAATCCTTTGTGTGCTTAAATTCACAATAATCAACTAACGAGAGTCCAAAATTGTGATTTTCATTATCACTAGTGAAAAGTACCAAATAAATGAGTCTTTTGAATTTGTAAATTAACACATTTTTTAATAATTTCAAGGGGGCAGTTTTGAAATAAATTGCTACAATATTTTGGTCAGAGACAAATATGAGAAACTCGTAAAAATAACATCGTGTTAGAAAATGTTTTTTAATACTGAGATTCTGTGCTACCTTTTTTCACAGTGGAAGTTGGTTCTAGTTTTGAATTGTCCGTCACACAAATTTAAATTATGTTTCTTATTTCACCACAGTTGTAGCATTCACGCTAACACTCATGCGTTTGTTATTCAATCAAAAAGCCTGCATTCAGATAAGGTAATGTTTGCATGAAGTTGTCAGGGTTCCTTTGTAAATTTTGATGGTTGAACTTCCATTTCTGCAAGTCTACTAATTCCGTCAGCATAAAAATTTTGTGATCGGGATTCGATGAAGTCGACGAAGGCAGTTTTTGCCCGGTCGTGGTTGGCGAAGGTTCTACCAGTAAGAAACTTATCGAAGTGCTTGAAAAGATGGTAGTCGGTTGGTGAGAGGTCTGGAATTCGATGCTCAATTCGTTTAATTTTCGGATGGTGATTTGTGAAACGGGTGTTGTCGTGGAGAAAGATTCGGAACTCTTCTGTTCGTCGATTTTCTCACAATAGTCACACTAGCCGTTGACCACCATATCTACCATAGTAGAGTGGACTTACTAGTTGATTTTCACTATGACCATACAGTAACTATGGTATTTTTTGCCTGGGTGCTCCAGGTGTAAAAACCTGTAGTTGTGTCTTATCATCATCATCATTTTTTGATTTCGAAAATAAGAAATGTTCGAATTTTTTTCCTATGTAGTCATGGGGGAGTAATTACCCCCCCTCAGGCACGCGTCTGAGATGAACAGACCTCGATACGTGACAATTTCTGTCGATCGTTCAAATCTTAGGGCACTCCAATACGTCTTAAACCATCAAAAACCGCCTGGGAGCTGACGCCCAGTTCTTCCGCACCTCACTCCCTTTGATGAGTCAGTCTCCACAAGGGTCCTCAAATCCTCATCCTGGATTAGTAATCCAGGATGAGGATTTGAGATCGACCACTTCGGAGCCCATCTTCGAGGCTAAAATCTCCGGAACGAAAATTCGCAAACCAACGTCGAACATTGCGTTAATTAACTCCATTATTGACAAAGCCTTGCATCCTTGAATACATAAATCACTTGATAATTAGAGAAATAGGAAATAGGTTATCTTATCTGTTCAATTGTTTATTATTCAGATAGGTTGATAGAAAGGGGAATGATATGAGAACAGAAATTTGAAAAAAAAATTCATGATAAAGAGACCTCAAGTATTAAAAAAAAAGAGTTTATCAATTCAATCCGTACATACAATATCATTGATTTAAAAAAACAAAACTAGGTTATCTTCATGCTTCTATCATCTCTTCATTTGAAAACTCACTCTGAACCATATGATATACAAAATAAATCTTGAGACCACGTCGATTGTCAACTGAGATATTTTCTAGGAAACTAGGTAAGTACCGTGAATAAAATTCAAAATATGTATCACGGTTTTGCTTGAACTGGAACGGCTTAGAATTTGGTGAAATAATTGTATTTTTTCCACATTACTGTATTATTATTTATACGGCAATTCAAGAGATTAGGTGCATTGATATCAATCCGTGATGATGCTAACTGGGTTGACAAAATTTGGGTAATGCTTTAGTTTTGTTTATGAGAAAAGTACACAGTGAAATATTTTTTCAATATTAGAAACTGCATATCACTATCAATGAATTAGGTTTCTCGTGGTTCTATTATTTCACGAACTTCCAAACATAACATTAATTTAATTCAATAATCTGTGTACAAACGAATATGAATTCGATAATTTAAGGAAACATCTCGATTTTATCAGTGTTATTCTTTTGAAACAAACAAGTAAGTGATATCTCCTCCTACTGAAAAAAGGTCAACGATAATATATAAGCAATAAATAAAATCTTATTCCTATATAGGTTATTTCAGTCTAGTTCCAGCTCGTGTTATAATGTTTGTGACACATCAATTGTCCATTGAAGAGGTTAACAATTTGCTTAGTGAGAGTTTTGTTAGAATTTTTGGAAACATTGTGGAACACTATCCAGCCGCTGCAATTAGTATTTTGAAATGCAGGCCTTTTAGTGATGCCAATTCCTTGGTACAAGCAATATATGACGTTTTGGATACTTTGAGGGTCAATGGTAGGTAAACATACATTTTCAAAAATATATTAGGCTGTTTCAAAAGTTTTGTCCGTGTTTATGAGTCTACTTCAAATTGTAATATCTCAGTAAAACTTATTGAATGTAGATAATCGAAATAAGCGCCATTTCAATCAGTGCACATTTGCCAACTTAACACAAGTCGATTATTTCCGTCAGTATGATAATTGTATGCTCGGGATTCGAAGAAATCGACGAAGGCTGTTTTTGCCTTGTCCTGATTGGCGAACTTTGACACTCAATTCGTTAAATTTTTGGACGGTGATTTGTGAAACGTGCAGACGGGCGTTGTCGTGGAACATGATCGAACCTCTTCTGTTGATCAGTGTCGTCGATTTCCTTACAATAGGACTCTGCTGTGATAGGTTGGCCCGGTTGCAGAAAGCTGTATAGCTGCTGATCACCATATAGAAGCCATAGTTTTTCTTTGTTGTATTTTCGTATATGTATATGTTTTAAACCATCAACAACCGCATGGGAGCTGACGCCCAGTTCTTCCGATATTCCACGCACCGTTTGTGATAGGTTAGTCTCCGCCAGGGCCCTCAAATCCCTGAACAGTATCAATGCATAGAGTACTTCTCTATCAACCAATATATATCAAGACACAGTAGAATAAATATTTATTGAGATATGGAGCTACAAAAACACATGATATTAAAACAGATGAAGCTTCTGAAACAACTCATAATAATAGATCACATAAACCTTATGAAAACTTTTTTGACAATATCGAAATAAAAAATGACCCAAAGCAGATCAGTAAATTTATATTCAATCATTGTTTATTACTGATTCTATTTTAGTCATTTCCAAAATCATTCGGTTGAATGGAGTTGTATGTGATATGAATCCAAATTTTATTTTTTCACTTTTGGAAAGTAGAATATTTGGTGATGCAATATTTCAAAACAAAAATTAGACGAAAAATCTCCAACCAACTAATAATTTTCTTCATCACTATTTTTGGATTAAATGTCAATGGATAGTCTATATTTTACATACATCCGTTTTAATGTTTATTCCCAATATCTATATATGTATATATTGTGACAGGTACATATATTTTTTACATATTTTATTAGGCAGTATAACTTTTTAATGTGTATTGTGAGTGGCATGCAAACTAATAATTTTAGGACATATATAGGACATTCTTTTTTTTTTATTCTGTAGTAACAATCGTAACAAATCTCATGACCGTTGTGACACTGTTATTGGTGGCAAAATTCGGGTCAAGCAAACCGAACATCCCAATTCAGAGGCGATAATTTCTTCTAGCAATTTTCCAGACGGATCTACGAAAAATCAATATAATATACAATAGGTACAATTTATTCACCAAATATACAAGTAGAAAAACTATTGCTAACAGTAAATGGTGGTAAATAAATACGAAGCGCACAAAAAAAGGTTTCCCTTGTGGATAGGCGAAAGTATTCTAAGTTCTTGAGTAGTTTATAGAACTATACTTTTTTTAGGTTTGTTCTGGTTCTACGAAATTCTGGTTCTAGGACGTCAGGATCATGCGCAGTTGATATAGAGCGTTCTGGTTTATTGAGGATAATTTCGGACTGATGAATCCTCTGTTCTGGTTTCGACTGCGAAATGATCCTTTACTGTTTTGAACCGTCCCGAATCGTTCTTGCTCTCGAGGCTGAACTGTTGAGAACTGTTCCCGTTGCTCATGCGCATTCGTGTGGAACTTTGTTTTGGCTATTTGCTAGGATGTTTTTTTATTTATTTGATTTGAATAATTGATGATTTGGGGTAGATAACATTTGAACTGACTATAGGGATACGCTACATAACAAAATGGACATGATTAATAGTATTTTCTTGTCTTCATCTCTTCATATATACGATAGGTGGCACAGTGGTCTCCTGGTCTCCTCAAAAGTGTTCTGGTTTAAACAAGTGTCCGAGACTATTTCCGACTGTTTTTTGGTGATTTTTTGCTTGTACACACCATGTCTTGCGCAGTTTCCAAACAGTTTCGGATGTTAGAACCAGAACAAACCTTTTTTTATGGAATATACATTCCATATATAAGATATTACAAGATAGATAGACATAGATAACAAAAACCATAACATAGATATTACAAATAAGAAGTATACAAACATAAGTATGTTCATGTACAATACAAGTTTGAATATAAACAAGTAGGCGAGACATAGTGTATCTCACTTCAAGTTTTTCCTATTAATTGATCGGTGTATATTTTCTCTTGGATAGCTCTATGAAGCCAATTCCTTAGTTTTTTTTAGCAAGCCGATTGATCGTAAAAAATTGTTCAAAAATATTTTAATGATTGAATAAAGGTAGAATTTTCAAGACAAATGGAATAACCCACCTTTTCCAACTTCTGCCCCTTGTTTGGTCAGATCCTATTCAATAGTTGTTTATTAGCACTCCATTAGTTCGTCAATAGATGTTATTTATTTATCTCAGGTTCGGCCAGTGGCGGATTCAAAATGATCGTCAGAGGGATCCATGCTTAACAAAAAATTATGGAATTCTTTTGATGTTTCAACTTCTGCGATCTTCAAATGTTGATAGAAATTCTTGGTAAATTAAAAATTTCGAATGTATACGTAGAAAAACATTGCTGTGATCACGATTTGTCATAGTGAAACACTTCAGATGCATATTTTGTGAAAGCTGTGAGACCACACATTATTTTCATAGACTCACTGCTAGAGAGGCTAATGAGTTATTTGAGGGAGGGTGAAGAACCCTCTTGTATTCGCCAGTTGGTTTGGCAATGAGTTTAATCCCATCCTGTCAAAAATAACGCCAAAAAAGTGCATATATTTGAGTTATTGTTAGCTTTGAATGGAAACAAAAGTGTATAAACTAAGAAAATAACTTAGTTTCGCACTAATATTGATAGCAAGCTGCATGTCCTTTGTAAATTTTTTCGGCTTTGTTTTAACAATACTGGGGATATTGGTGACGTGAAATGAATTTATTTTTTAGTTTGGATGTGCCGTGATACAAAAAGTCTAAACAAAAAATTATTATGAATGAAACCTTAGTGTCCTATTTTTTGAAAAAAAAAAACGAAACTGAAGATAGACCTGACATTTGGAATTTTCTTATTTATTGTATATTTGGATTTTACAAATGAAAATCCATTTGTCCCCATATAAACTTCTTGGTGATCTAAAGAAAGTCCACACTTCAAAAGTTAATTGTCAATGAATGTTGTAAAAAAAATCAATCGACATATTTAAAGACAGATTTTTCATTATCACATCCACAAAATTGGATGTAGTTTGTCAATTGACAGTATGTGATAAAAAAAAACTATCAAAATCTGTTTTTTCCGTTAACCAGCTGTAAACTAATAGATTTTATTTGTAACATTAACCCTGTATGCATTATTGAAATATCACTTTCAAAGTTTACCATTTTTTACATTGGTTAAAACTCAATAAACTTATCAAATAATATAGTTATTATAACAATAATTTCAATTATTTGTCCTCATCAATAAATTGTACAGGCTCGGTGAAATTTCCAATTAATAGGTGAATTGAAAAAAGTTGTCGATTTAAGACAATGATTTTTATTCTCTAACTTTGTATCTATATATTGCCGGCCTTAAAAAATAACATGAAACTACCTAGTAACTAGAAAAATCGACTTCAAAACGTTTAAAAAATGATGAGATGAAAATCATCTCATCATTTTTTGGCAACTTCAAGTAATCTTCGCAGAACAATCTTGAGAACAAAAATAAAAATAAGCTTCGAATGATGTTTTATTGTTATGATGCATTTTTTTATTACAGAAAAAGAAAGTATCCTTCAGCAATATCCCGACATATTCGATAGTTTGTTTGCTTGTTACCGACCAGTGATATTAGAAAAAGAAGCTGAAGAAATATTCAGTGGAACGAGTCAACTCAGCGCCGAAGATAAGAGGAAACTAATGGAATTGAATGCACGATACAAAGAAAAGTATGGATTTCCATTCATCATTGGAACTAAAAAAAACAATGTGTACAATGTTTTTTCAGAAATTATGTTGAGACTTCAGAATAGTAGAGAAGATGAAATTCACAGGGCAATAAGAGAGGTTAAGAATATTGTGTATTTGAGAGTGCATGACATTATTTGTTGAATTATAAAATTTTTCATTTCCTACGTTAGGTGACTGAACCCTCTTTGCACTGATGAGTATTTTATATTATAATTGTAACAATTTTTTATACTGTATTTAAATATTGTTATCATTTTTTAATTTTTGTATGACTGAAGATATGTAAGTATTGTTTGGAAGAAACCGCTAAGAATACATAATTCAATTAGATATGTTTTCTATACATACAATAGTTTCATTTGCCTTTCATGCGCGCTGGTCCATTATGGCCTAGAAAATATAGGGACACATCTCTCTGAATGGACCAATACATAAGAGATTTCAAAAGAGACTATAAAAACGTTCACACTTAACAAACCTGAATAATGCAAAAAGGTTTAAAAAAAAACGAAAAAAAACTATTTCAAAATTATTCATAATAATATCCGTATTTTGATTAAAAATATTGATGATTTCAAAATAATGTTGGATGAAATAAATTCCAATTTCGATTGTTTGATATTATAAACTAAGACATGGAAATTAGTTGACCCTCGTATATATTGCATATCAGAGGGTATGAACTAATTTATAATGAAGGTGAATACAATCAAAATGGAATAATAATGTTTATAAAAGAAGATTACGGACTTGATAGGAACTCCATGCTGATTCATTGATCTAAAGAACACATTTGATACTGGTCAGCCATAAGCTACTCTTAGAGATGCTTGAAAACATAGGAATGAAAGTTATTTGAATAAAAGGACCTAGAGAGTGAAAATTGATGATGACTTACGTAACTCGAATGTCATTAAGTATGGAATACCGCAAGGCACAGTTCTGGGTCCAGTGTTAATCAACCTATATGTAAATGAACTGTTCTCAGTTGTTAGGATATGCTCTAATGACCCTGCTACCTTTTATCAGGCTCCAACATGGCAGGAATTGAAAAATACTGCAGAAGTAGATATCAAATGTATTAGAGATTGATTTGATAACAAACTATCAACAGTCAACTTCGAAAAACCCCACGTTCTTTCTTTCAGTTGTAACAAAGTTGACGTCCCTCCTTTTCACCAACTAGAAATAAATAAAGATGGAAAAATATTGAAATGAAAGTTTGTAATTGTAACAAAATACCTAGGAATATATCTAAAAACTAATCTCAATAAATGGGATTATCATATAAGATATGTGACCAGAAAACTCCAAATCATTCTATACAATTTCAAATATCTAAACACTCACTCGCCCATTAAAGAAATTAAAAGAATCTACTTCCTCCTCATAAAAAGTCATGGTATCTTGGGGACATTGCCTGACTAAATAAAAACGACAAAGATACGAATTTTTTGATTAATTAATTTTATAAAATAATATTGTTTACCAGAAAAATAAATACATTCGGCTTAGAGGCCCTTAGCACCGCGAGGTCGTAGGGGGTGTAGACCTTACGCCGCCTCTGCTTGGGATGATGGGCTTAAACCCTATCTCAATCGATTAGAGGTAATACAGAGACGGTTCTTGAAATTAATCCTACAGAAAAACCTCTTATACAATTCTTATAGCCTCTTTTAATAAAAAAAAATCATGAATATCAGACAAATTATTCCACCTTTTTGTGAATATGAGGTACCACTTCCAAAAACATAAAGCTGATTCCCACGTATAGGCTGTTAAAAAATAAGGTGAATATTCAAATTTCGAGGGCTACGTAAATTAGATTACCGATTTTTTTATTTTTCATGTTGGTAGACCCGTCTCGAACATATGTTCACAGTTGCAGCTATTTAGCATTTTTAGTTTGTTGGTGAGAGGCAACGTTTTGCGCGTTCGACGATTGTATGCTAGCAAGCATAACATTTTGTGTAAAAAATGGAATTGAGTGCTCAAAAACATTTGAAATGATGAGTGGCATTTGGTGATTGTACTCTTGAGTCAGAAAAATGCGTGGTAGTTCGTTCCAAAATTGCTGAATTTTTACCAAAAAACCATATCGCATGAGCATCGCTCAGGAATTGTTGAATGACGTCAACGGCGATCCAGATTTGCATTAAAAGATCATAACTGGTGACGAATCATGAGTATATGGTTATGACATCGAAATCAAAGTCCAAAGTTGTGCCGCTTCCGAGAATACGAAGAAAACGTCCGGTATTGTGGAAAAACGATTCATTGCTTTTGCAACACGATAATGCACCTGCTCACTCGTCATTGTTTGTTGTTATTTTTTTGGCCAAAAGCAACAACGCAATCATGTTTCAGCCGCCGTATTCACCAGATTTTGTCCCGGCGACTTTTCCTGTACTCTAGATAGAAGAGACCTATGAAAGGAAGACGTTTTGCGACGATTGAAAATTCATCTTATTTTTTGAACAGACAGCGTCTGTTTCAATTTCATCAAGAATGTTTAAAGTATGAACTGAACGGAAAGAAGTTATTTTCGTGTAATTCAATGTTCGTAATCGAACGGCATAAAGCCGTTTCTGTTGAGTATTACAGGTTTTCTTTCAACATCAAGGCTGTTACAACTGAATTTTTTCAGTATTGTATTTTCATTTCAGGAAATGCTAAAAAATTCACGAAATTTCATTACTATTAGGAAAATATTGGTAATATAGTCTTTATTTATAGGCAGATAGTTGCCGTTTTACCAAAATTATTTCTGCCAAAGGTAGTTATTTTGGAAGAGATAGGTACATAATTTAATCTCATTTGATCTGATCAGTCATTCAGATTTGACTGCTATTAAATTATCTTCCCCAATTCTGACTCTCAATATTCTTGACAATTTCATTAAAGTATTGTAATTTTTCAGTTACTACTAATACTTTCATAGTTACGACTATATATATTGCTCCTCAATAAACATATATATGGAAAACTTCACTACATTCAAAATTTTAACATATCCAATTCATTATTTATTCAAATATGGTTGTTTTTGTTTAGTATTTACAATTATCTAATTATCAGTCTCGTGTCATTCAACAAATTACCAATAATTATCTCAAATTGAAAACATTTTGGGTGAATAATGATCATTATTTTATTTACACCATTACTAACGAGTAAATATCAATAGTAGGAACCTTATCACTTAAAGGTGCAAGTTCTCGAATATCATGTGCATGTAGAATGGTTATCATGCCAGGCTCAGTTAAAAACTTTTGAATCCATGATAAAACTGAATCCTCTGGCATAGAATAAATACAAAACAAGCAGGAGATGAAGAAAACTTATTAGGTAGAAATCTTACCTTTGACTCAGTAAAAGTGACAAATGGTCCAGTTTGTAATACTTTAATTATATTTTCCATACTGTTCAGGCAAATTTCATGTAAAAATGTTTTTGATGATATAACTAATGTTATCTAGAATATTTAAGTTATAAATCCCTCGAACCTATATAGAAACAATATTATTAAAGTTACAATCTTAAAATAAACGTATTGAAGGCTATAATAAAACTGAATTATGTCATTAAAGAAATGAAATATGATTCGAATAAAGGTTGAAGTATCAAACCAGAGAGATATTTTTTAAGATTCTGTTGTCAGGGAGTATTTACTTTGGCTGATTTCCTAATTTTAAGTCGATTGCCGATGTATCACAAAGATAAATAGCATCTTTTCTTCAATGTATAGTGTGAACCTCAAGGTTCAGTATTGGACCCTATCCTTTTTTTTTAATCTGAATGATACCATTCCTCTTTGGCATAGCAAAAATGCTTGTAATATGCAAGAGACAAGAATGTGGTTCTAATTATCTATGCTAAAACATTAAAAAAAACGAACTTATAACGTTCAAATTTGACTATTATGATTCGAAACTATGTGGCAGTAGTTTTCAAAACAAAGAATATTTTAAAAATTTAGATTTATTCATAGAGGACAGTATAAAATTTGATCGGCATACAATAGGTATATTGTCATCAAGATGTTATGCACTAGAGTTTTTTCTAATTAACTGTATTTAACCCAATAAAAGTGGTCTACCATTATTTGATTGAGATTAACTTCAGATTCTGTACTGCATTTTGGAGATTCAGCAGCCAACAGCTTTTTCAGTTGGTGTTTGTTTTGACAAAGCCAGCTGTTGATTATTTATGCAGAGTTGGACCATGAGAATCTCCAAATTTTATAAAAGTAAAAATTTTGACTGTTGCAAGAATTTCAATTTTGGAATCAGTCTGATCAATGCTGCTCTGCATATGAACATAATGACTGTTGACCTATGTTTTACTATACATCAGCCCATTCTTATTAATAAAAGCTATTGTCTTTTAGATATGATTAATAGACATTCTTTATGTGAAGGGTCAAGTATAAATTCCTGGGCAAGTTAATTTATTGGCAATATCAAAACGTAGAATAACCTTGAAAGACTAGAAGTGTACATTATAATTTCATCAAAATTCACAATAAGCTGTCAGAATATTATGTCAATTCTACAGCTAGGCAATAGATATACTATATGCTATGAGAAGTGGAGTAAAATAATAATTCAAATCTAATATTTATTTATTCATATCAAATTTTGATTTCTACTAATTTATATAACATGCTACTAAAATAAAATTTTAAATTTCATGGATTTATTTCCAAATGTATTGAAGAAAGGGAAAACGAAATTATCACAAGATATTTTATTATTCATTAGATGTTTATGTACACCCAGAAATATAAGGGTGTTTTACTTATGATATTTTATAAATAATTAAACGTTCCCATGAAACATGTTTCAAGTTCCTCAGTTTCGGAGGTACTGGTTGTCGAAAGTAATAGTGAAAATATACTTTTTAGACACGAAATTGATTCACTAGACAGTTGGCAAAACCGCAACACATGTTTTGCTAAAAAATAGCTTCCTCAAATGTTTTCATACAGACACTGCTTATACATACTTCTACTTAAATTTGTGCTTTATATAATAATTTGATTTTAGGTCAAAACTAATTGAACATTTTTAAATATAAAAGAAAATTTCACTTACTCATTGAATAGACATTTACAATTTGTACTTTGATCAATTTGGTACAATTGCATTATTTGGTCATTCAGTAAATTCTTAAATCTAGCAATTTCTGAGCATTCCAGAAGATCGAGTTTCAAACCTTTCTCTCTCAAATGTAATACTTTATAGTCATGGTTGAACTCACGCCCCTCTGCCAGAAGATGGTTTGCAAATGTGGAATTTGTCTTCACTCTCAAGATGCTACGTTCTTTAATACTTTCGGAAAAGATTCTCGCCGTTTGGCCAACAAAGTTTTGTCTTCATTGTTTTCAATAAATTTAATTAAAATACTACTTGTCTTGTAAGCCAGCTCCGAGTCTGTCTTTTTTGGAAAGAATGACGTAGATAATATCTACCTTTTAACCGTTGTTGACAGCGACTTGTTTAACTTTTTGACAGTGAATATTCAATAGGCAGTGAAGCGTACTATTGACAGTTGTTAATTTATGTTGATAGGGATGTGTCGAGGAATAATGTATGCCGATATCCAAATAAGATGGTTCGGGTTGTCACATAATCCAATTTGTTATTATATAAAACACAAATTAAGTAGAATTTAGTCAATATGAAAACGAGTTGCGGTTTTCTAAACTGTTCACCGAAAATCTCACAATTAAGTTTTTTTTTTGCTTCTGTTTGAAGTTTCTTACCAAATATTGAACTGATTTTTAATAATGAAATTTTCTAACAATTTCACTTCAGCACTTTTGCTACTGACTTCTTCAATCAAGATGTGAAAATTTAATTTTTTTAATAACGGCCAAGATATCTACAAAAATGTACATTTTTCACTTCAACTTTCACATCTCTCATCTCTGAAACTAATGAGTTTTGAAGATATTTGTTTTTATCAGATGGAGTAGTAGAAAGCCAAAAACTTTCTTTCCCAAAAAATCAATCACTCCTAAAATATAACCCCTTCAATTCAAATATGAGGACTTTCTTTCAGTTTGTGTCTGAAAGTTACTTCTTTGCATGATCTACACATTCATGTTTAGAGTTTCAAATTGATTACTTCCTTCCTTTCTTTGGAAGATTCTCTCCCCCCTTTTTTTTCCGTATCAGATGGAGTAGTAGAAAGCCAAAAACTTTCTTTCCCAAAAAATTAATCACTCCTAAAAATATAACCCCTTCAATTGTAATAACAGTACTTAAACATACTATATAATAAATATAACATACTGCATAATGAATGTAATCAAGTCATTTACATAAAAGTTTGATATACAGAAGAGCTTAAGTAGTAGTTAAATATTTTTTTGATAAATCTAATAACTCTAATATAACATTACAATTTTTGACTAGCTGCTCAATTATATATTTGGACATTGAAAATATATAGATTTTATCTGTACAATTAGGTACTGAAACTATCTAGTAACGCATGTTGAATTACAGTATTTCCCGAGCACTAATTACCCTGTATTTCACTTCACATTTTCATCAACAAATCACAGAACTTTGACTGCAGACACTTCATGTGCCAGACCACACAAATTTTTACCTATAGCTATATACAAATAACCATCTTCGCCAAAATCTTCACCCCACGAATTTTTCACAATGTAATGAGGGATATTGGCCGTCAAATCATACCCAACTATCTGTACGGCGTGATTTAATTTCAATGGACTACTTTCGCAATGAAACTGGATAATACCACCGACGTAGTGTTGCCATGACCGGGCATTAATTGCTACTGCTACGGGACCGTGCTTTGCCAAAAAGGCAAGAATGATTTCTTCATCATTCACAAAACTGAAACAATAGAAAGGATGCAACAACAAATTATCTCAATTAAAACAAAAAGTGTAGTTGTAACAGTACAGACATTGTAATGAGACTGAAACCCTTCCTCACACATTGTATCTTTGTCAGCTAATAGCTATTATATTCAGTGTCATTATTTTTCGAGCTTGAAAGCCGTGGATTTTTGGAATTTCTTCCTGACGTTTCGCTGACGCGAGTGGCTAGCTTCTTCAGAGGTTTAACCATCATGGCTTGCTGTGCGATGACTAACTTTTAGGCTTCGTAAAGCCTATTTATGCTTTGTCAGGTAATCAGTTTTATTTGTACCTGTACTTGTCCCTGCACTTGTACCTGTACTTAAACCTGGAACATTAACAATCTTGCTGCCTATTGTCATTCTGTTCGTTATTCTCGAATTCCTTAACATGGGGTTCCATATTCGGTTGAGGTTCACCGCTTGTTCTTTTCTGTTGAAATTATCCGTGTGTCTGTGGATCTCTATTGCCTCCCGTACCAGTCGGTTATAGTATCTCTGGTTGGGGGCAATTAGTTCTGTGTTTTCAAACAAAATTGTGTGGTCTCCTTCACTAAGTATGTGTTCTGCCACAGCTGACTTGTCCGCTTGGCATAGTCTGCAGTTCCTTTTATGCTCTTTTAGTCTTGTTCCCATGGATCGTTTGGTGGTTCCGATATATACCTTCCCACATGTGCACGGTATGCTATAGACTCCTGCATCCTGATAATGGGTCTCTTTTGTCTTTAGCCGACCTGAGGCTTTGTCGTGTTTATCCAATAGTTTTCCAATTCTGTCCGTGACACTAGGGATAAAGGGTAGATATGCGCGTGCAACCATCTGATCCTTTTTCGCTTTTTGAACCGTGGTGCTCTTCGGTTTCATGGCTTTCCTGATCTCGGAGGCACTGTATCCATTCGATCCCATGGTAACTTCAAGGTGTTTCAGTTCCCTCTCCAGATGTTCTGGTTCAAATATTCTTCGAGCCTGTTCTAGGATGGTGGTTCGATAGTGCGAGCAAGTATCTATCTGTGTGTGTGGGTTTTCAATACACTTTGTGGGTTAGTCTGGTACCACATCGTTCTACTAGTACATCTAGGAAAGCTATCCGTTGGTCCTGCTCAATCTCCATGGTGAATTTTATGCTCGGGTGTTGGGCGTTTAAGTGGTTTCGGAAACGGTTCAGGGCTACGTAACGTTTCCACAAGGTCGGCTTCAATTCAAAAGTGTCTATCACTTTTCCTTCAAACCGTTCCATGAAATAATTTGCTATCACTGAGCTAGGTGGGCTCCCCATCGCAACACCATCTAGTTGCTCATAGAAGTTTCCCCTCCATTGAAAGTAACTTCCTCTGAAACATGCTCTAAAGAGTTCGACGACGTCATTCGGGAACATGTGGGTTAACCCCCTCAGAGAGTCTTCCAGTGCGACATTGGTAAACAAGGACACCACAGCGAAGCTGACCAGAATATCCGTCGGCTTCAGCGTTAAGCCCGTTAAGCCGTCGGCTGGAGCCAATGGATATTCTCGTCAGCTTCGATGTGGTGTCATCGGACAGCAAGCCATGATGATTAAACCTCTGAAGAAGCTAGCCACTCGCGCCAGCGAAACGTCAGGAAGAAATTCCAAAAATCCACGGCTTTCAAACTCGAAAAATAATGACACTGAAAACCTTAGGCGCGAAATTCTAAATCATTTTGTCAGCTATTATATTAACGATGAGATTGGAACCTTTGGTGTGAAAATTGAATAACTTTTTTCGAGATCAATTGCCCTAACACCAAACTAATATTTTTTTGCACTCGACGCGCGTTTCGCCAACAAAGTTAGCATCCTCAAGAGAAGAAAATTGATACCTAGTCTAGTCTGGTTAATCCTTATACACTAAAATTTGTTACCTGAGGTTGTATACCTAAAGTCCAATATGGAATTTCTCGGTAATTAACTACCTGCAAGTTCTTAATAATTATTCTCTTCCTAACAGAAGATTAAAAAGCGGGATAAACGGGATGTGTCCCTTATCGCCATTCATGCTGTTCTTACATTTTGCTATTTCTAGACTCTCACATGCATCGAGTAGCCTGGTGTCATGCACATGCTTAATCAGTTTCAGATTGTTTTCACAAATTCTGTGGTCATTGTCTAGAGCATGTTGTGCGACACTGGATTTTTCTATCCTTTCGTATTTCATGTGTGTACAATGCTCCTTGAAGCGGGTTTTAATCGCTCGTCGGCTCTGGCCGATGTATTTGCTGTTGCAATCTTGACAACTGATTTCGTAAATCCCCGACCTTTCTGTGTTTTCTAGTCTATCTTTTGGATTACCAAGAAGCTGTTGCAATTTATGAGAAGTTTTATATGCAACTTTCTTATTTACTTTATCGAATATCTGTTGAAGCCCTCTCGTGTATTGGGGTTCATATGGGATTACTTTAAACTTGTTATTACTCTCCTCTTTTTGAAAAGTCAAAGATTTACGAAGTGCTTCCCTAAACTTGCATTTTCTAATTATCTTGTCAATTATACCTCTGGGTTAAAACTGTTTGCTTCAGCTACATTCCGAATCACTCTCTTTTCATTATCGTACTTATCTTTCTTTAAAGGGAAAGTTATTAACCTGTGTACCAGAAATTGCAGTGCCGCCATTTTGTGTTGTGGACAATGATTCGAGTCATTGGGAATGTATCTGAAAGTGCCCGTGTCTTTCCTGTAAAGGTCAAATTCTATTTCGTTCTGTTCGATCCTTATGACCAATACATCTGAAAACGGCAACTTTCGTTCTTTTTCTACTTCATATGTGAATTTTATACTCTTACACCTGTTGTTTAGTGCTGAAAGGATATTCTCAATTCTGGTTATCCTTGTATCCACTACAGCGAAAATGTCATCAACATACCTGATCCAGACTCTAGGGAAGTAACTGAGTTCTTTCCCAGCTTCCGTCTAAAACCTACCCATGAATAGGTTCGCTATAAATGGAGACAATGGGTTACCCATAGCCGATGCTTCACGCTGTTCATAATATGAGCCATTATATTGAAAACAATTTTGATCCATGCAAAGCTTGTTGAGTTGGTGGATCAAAATGTGAGAGTCTAGAATTAGCACAATTATTTGGAATATATTTTTTAATACTTGAAAAATGAATGAGTATATTTATTGTTTTTCATTTTGCTGAACTATAAATTAGTTTTCTGACGATTCCATAGATGGCGATTTTGTAAAACGAGTCTTCATCACCACTTCTGACTCGGCATTGTTCTATTTAGTTAGAACAGAAGTGTTTAAACATTAAATCCATGTCCCGTCTATGACACATCAAAACAGAAGCTGTCTGGTTCTCTTCTCAAAGGTAGCTGCTTCATACATTGTGTAGCAGTATTTTGGCCATCAATAACGATTATATTACAGCTGTCGGACTAAGTCATGGCCGGTGAAAAACTCCTTCCTCAATACAGGCACTTCCCAAATGTGAAAACCCATAAAAAAGACCATGGTTACTGTATGTGGTTCACTAACTTTATGCAACCGGGACCAAACCATCACATTATAGTCTAATCGTGGGGAAATCGACGAAATGTACCGAAAATTGCGTCAGCAGCAGATGACAGTGGTTAATAGAAAAGATCTGATCCTGCTCCAAGACAACGTCTGTCCCCATGTTTTACAAATAAGAACAAGACAAAAACGGCCTTGTGTTATGTTGGCAAAAGTGCATTGATTCAAATGTCACTTATGTCGATCAAATTGAATAAGTATTCACCGAGAAATTACAGTTGAAAGTATACTCATAAAAAAAGACTAAACTTTTGAAACAACCTAATCAAAAGGAAAAAATAACCTAGCATTCTTACCTATCACACTCGAAACCATCTATCAATATACCGTCTATTCCGGAAACATTTTTACATTCCTGTTTCGTCAGTGAAAGAGGGTAATGTGTCTCTTCTACAATGGAAACAGATTCCGTCTTAATCCACTTCAACAACGAACAAATATCTCCACCATCACAGCCATCATTATACATGGAGCAGTCAATCATTTGTTGAACACTCAGTTTTTCCAACTTCCCCGTCTTCAAAGCAATCATTGATTCTACAACTCCTATCACAGAAAAGGCCCAGCAAGCCCCGCAGGTTCCCTGGGACTGGATGCCGCTCACAGCATTTCTTTCTCGCCAATCTACTCTTTTGGGGAGGTTATATTTGGTAGATCTTTTGCTGATTGGGGATTTTGAAACTGGTGACGGATCGTGGATGTGGGTCAAATAATCTTTTTCTGGAAGTAATTTAGTTTTCACGAATTCTTCGGGTAGCAAGTCAGAGTACTTAGTTAAACCGTATTTGGCAGATTCATCAGTTCGGTTAGCATTCAATAAATCAATGGCCCGCAAAGAAGTCTACAAATAATAAAGTTAAACTGAATTCAAATTCCAGAATATGCAGTGAGATATTACAAAGTATTATCTGAAATGTAGATGACTTATTAAATAGATTATAAAAAAACTAAAAAAGTTATAATCATTGACCTCTCCTAACATTCCTATACCGTCGAATCTAACCAATTTCTACCAGAAAACACCTACTTTCCTGGCAATATCACGACGGATATTGGATTATATGCGACATACATTCATGAAACTTTCCTTACTGAGAACTAATTTCGTATGTGTAGTGGAGAGCACCAATGATATCAGTAGAGTAACTTACACACTGTTCTGTTGGTAAGATAGTGCTGGTAAGATCTAGCCTGCAATGATGTAGATGTTCACTGCAAAAATTTCCGTTCAGTGTCCATTTTCTTATAAACCTGGGAAGTAGTTGTTTTTCCAGGACAAATTTACCAGACCCAGCTGTATAGGAATGTTGGGAAAGATAAATGTCTCAATCGAAATATTTGTTTTTTTGAGATTTGTTTCAACTTTACAAATAAGTTCATCTGGAGGCCCTAGTCTAAGACAAAGTCATTGACAGAGGTTTAAAAAGGAGTTAAAGGAAACTGTGTACATCATGAAAAACGATATATTTTGTTAACCCACCAAAAAGATGGGAAAGTGTGGAAATGCTTAACTGAGAGTGTAAAAGCACATCATTTTTGCCACAATTTGAAAAGTCAATGAAAGTCAAAAGTCTTGTATATTTTTTTTAATTTCGTAATATCTAAATTTTTTTACTGTTAATAAAATTTCTTTCAGCTCTTCAGTTATCTCCCAATAATTTCCTACCCTTACAGATTACCTTTCAGCTTTCACCTTGTTTCTCTTTTGTCATATTTATTTGGTGATACAATTTTCCTTTTGCCTTATTAACTTATTTCTGTTGAGCTAGCAAAACCACTTCGGATTTTCATATTTATTTTCAGTCTATAATTTTACACTTATTTTGTATTTTATTTTAGATTTTTTTTTCATGGAGTGTAAATGCATCAATGATAATATATAAGATACAAATGTTTTTTGAAAGTATTCAGTGCAATTTCTATAAAGTCATAACGTTATCTAGCAGAATCCAACCTCAACAAAACCCTTTCGTTCAATGTAACTACATCATAAATTCGGACTCACTTTATGCTCCCAAGAAACATGTAATGCTTCTTGGGATTAATAAATTCATTCATATGTTAAAAATAATTCATATGATGAAATCGGCTGATACTTGTCCAAAATAAACTTTTTTTTGCAAGATCATATTGAATAGTAAGAGAATGATTTCTCTTAAATTTCAGGTATCACAGTTTGAATATCTATAATTTTTCATGTTTTCTTCAACACCCGACTTGAAAATAGGCGTTATATAACTTTTTTCAGTAATAAGAAAATTTTTACCATGTTTTCAGAGATTAATTATTATATAAATAATTTTAAAAAAGGGGGGTTGTGAAAGGTTGCACATACCTATATAATTTTGAATAGATACTATGAAAATTATTGATGTATCACAGTATGAAATCATTGATAAATTATATTACCTTGAAAGCTTCAAATCTCTTCCTATACATGGTATAATTATCATACGATTTATTGAATACCTTCAGATATTTCTCGAACTGTTCTGCATCATGGTTAATTCGAATAGGAATTATAATACACAGTAATATTACATATAAAGTTGTTTCCAAAAATATTCTGATTCTCCTAGCTCTAGGAGTTTCAGCACAATTGGGCATTGTTTCTGCGTATTATACTAATATTTAAATTTGATATGTCAAAGAAATATAAAATCTGTAACTGTTATCATTATTTGAACAAAAAAAAAATTAAAATCTAAAAACAAATATAAAAAGGTTAGGTTGTTGTTGTTTTTCCTTATACCCGAGAATACCTACCACAGAAAAGCAACAAAGACTTTTGTGTCCCTTTTTCGTGGACGCATGCGTAGACTTGGTTGTCCACGTCATTCTCGGGCTTAGTTGTCTCCATTAGTCTGTGAGCACTGAGCAAACATAATGAGATAGGTAGTTACTTACAAAAGGTACCTACCTAACTCGGTATACATTAAAATTATGTTATTTAAGCAAGAGTTTTCAGGAGATAATTAATTTTGAAGAATCCATCGTGAGAGAAACAGTAGAAAATTCAGCAATATTTAAGGCACTTGAAATTAAAACAATGCTCGAACAGGACAAGCGATGTGTGATATCTATAGATGAGATGGCTTCAAAATCCAATCTTTTTTTGATACAGGATGTGATGAAATTATTGGTTTCGAAGATATTGGAGAGGCAAATAAGAGGAATTACATATGAAGAAATGTTCTCGTCATTATGGCTAGAGGACTTTATTCTCCCTGGAAACAACCGATTGCTTTTTTTTCATTGAATCACAGCTACCAGCAAAAAATCTACGTGATATTTTGGATAAGTGCATTTCTCAATTATCCAATATAGGTCTGCATGCTGATGACATTGTGAGTGACATGGGCTCTAACTTTTATGAATTGTCAAAGTTATTAGGGGTCACTTTAGAAGAATCTGAATTTGAGCTCGGTGGTAAAAAACTTTTTTATATTTTTGATCCAAGTCATTTGATAAAAGCCACTAGAAACAATTTTTTAAAACATTCATTTCATTTTGAAGGCAAAAGTACATCTTGGTCTTTTGTGCGCTCTTTTTATGAGCAAAACATAGGGTAATTTTATAGATTCGCACCACATCTTACCAAATCACATATCAATCCAAACAATTTTGAAAAATGAAAGTGAGTCTAGCAACACAAGTTCTAAGCCGTACAGTTGCCAGTGGAATGAATGCATTCGCGGCAATGAACTTACTTCCTGCTTCTTCTTTTGGTACAATACACGTAATAGAGACATTCAATAACCTTTTTGATTTGTTGAATTCGTGTTTTTTAAGACATTCCTATAAATACAAAAACGTTTTAGAAGGTTCAAAATTCCAATTAGATTTTTTTGAAGAGGCTCTAACGTTTTTGAAAAATCTTGAAATTTTCAATTCAGAGGACAAAAATGTCACAAATCGAGTTAGATTTGTGACATTTTTGTCATGTGTAATTAAAATATGGGATGAGCTTTCCAAATCAAATTATAAATATTTAAAAACGAGACGACTCAATTCAGATTTTCTTGAAAATTTTTTTGGTGATGTAAGACAACAATGCGGAAATAATGTTAATCCGACCCCCATACATTTTCAAAGGGCATTCCGGAAGTTGTTTTGCCAAAATTATTTTCATTCCAATCATATGAATTGTAAGAATGATTTAGATGATTTATTAATCAGTATACAATCCACAAACGTAAATGATATATTTATATCAGATGAGAATCACTTTTCTCCAGCCCTTGCCATTCCGGATTATGATTATAAAAATAAAGATGTATGTACTCAGAATTCATTCATTTACGTTTGTGGATACATTTTATAAAAAGGTCTTCAAGTTCATACATGTTATGTGTGTTACTCTTTCAGCACGAAGTGCAGGACTTTTGATGTAAATAGTCGGTTAAGCTATTTTAAAGCTTATACTACGGAAAAAAATATTTGGAAATTTGCGCTCATCACCAGATGAATTCAATAATTTTATATATCAGTGTGAATGTTTATTTAACAATCGATTTACAGAAATTTCTACTGGGGGAGCAGTTTCAAAAATATTATTCAACCTAATGAAGGATGTAGGTTTTCTTCATTCTTGTGAAAATTTTTCAAAAATGTACATATAATTAAGCTATTCATAAGAATGAAATTTTTTTATAGTATCAAATATACTAATATAGATATCAATAATACCAAAGGTAAAACTGTAAAAAGGAAACTTGAGATTCTGTCACATTTTTAAATCAAGAGGTTTTGGTAAAATATCTTGTTTCATTATATTTTCATTCAGAACCTTACTTAATTAGAACCCTCAGATTGTATTGATGTTGTTAATGAAAGTTTAAGTTAAGATTACATGAAATAACAAGTCACTTCTATTCATCCTTAGTGGACTTATTTATTTCAGAGGATATAAAATGATTATATAATATAAGCATTATTCTATTATCGTAACTTTATTTCAATTTTCTATCTAATTGATTGGATTTACGAAATAAAGTAATTTAATTTATTCCTTAAAAGCCAATTCATCATAAATAATAATAAATTGGCAACATATTTGAATATTCTCTATCATTACTGCGAAATTTGTTCAATTAGCAATATAAAAATTGAATGGAGTAAGATTTCCTTCACACTATAATTTTATATTTCACAGTGAGCCCACGTACTATACTAGAACGTAAGAGTATGTATTTTTATTGGTGTATATCGCTGAGAGGTCATTTTTCTCAGTGAACCAGGTTGTTTATCACTCAAAATATTCGGTTGGGAGTTGGGACACCGAACATCAAAGCATACGACGTTAATGTCGCTTCTCTGTGGTAGGTATTCTCGGCTTATACTTCTTCTTATGGTATGGTCCGAAATCCGAAACTAACCAATATCCTTGTTATGCGTTCCGATACTAACCACTACTGTCATATTCATGAAAAATAGTGACATTCGGAACATGGTTTCCTGAAAATCTGTTAAAAAATATCAACTAAGTCACATAAAAATATATTTGAAAGAGGGAAGAGCAGTATTAAAAATAAGTAATCTAGAGCGTCATTACACCTTCACCTTGATCAACAAATGAAAGAAACGTATTTGTTGATCAAGTTATTCAGTCATATAACGAAGCACATAATAAGTAGTCAGTTTATTGTATCGAAGCTATGTTTGCCATGGAATCATATAATACAAACAGTTTAAAATCATCCAGAGCCAAAGTGTGATAGTGTCCTGAATGAGGGTTAACAATTTGAATGATTATGATCATATAGAATATTCTTGTTAATGACAATAAGCTTCATGATTTTACTTGAACAAAGCAAAGTGCGATCGTATTTGAAGCATATTTCCACTTCAACGTCAAAACTGTCAAACCAGCAATGAACAGGATTTTGAATAGTCAGTCTACTGGTTTTCCATATTTTTCACAGTCATACTGATTGCCATTGTCCAAAACTCATACCATAATTTTTCACGTTCGATGACTCATGAACTTCAGTATAGATTTAGGTACACTCCTTGTTAGGGACTACATCCACTGCAAATTAGGACCGACATTATCTTACTCTTTATTTATGATTCCATCTTTGGTTTGTTTGTCATAAATAAATGTTTGATCATGTTTTTCAATAGTTGTTATCAGTATCTTACAATCTATATTAATGTTTTACAATTTTTTTCACCTAAAATAGACACTGGTGGTAAAACAAAACATTTGATATTAGTATCATTAGAAAAAAGTAGAATACCTAGTTGACCTATACATGGCATTTCTTTATTTGGAGAAGAGGGCTGTTTTAGGTACTCAGAGTGAACTTTAATAAAAACCAAATTGAGAGAATTGATATCAAATTGTATTATTTTCAGTCACCTCGATAAAATCAGAAGTAATCTAGAGATATTTATTATTTAATCTCGTTTTATGTCTGTTAGGAATCACACGTTAAAAGGTAAGACCTCGTTAGTCCTTTGCTCAGTTAGTTTGACTTCTGAGGGTTGTCGTTCGTAGGGGTGCGATAGCTGGTTAACGAAAAAAAAAACACAATCAGTCCTACTGTGAATTCCTGTGATTCAAAGGCGAAATACACTAAGAAGCAAACGTTTTAAGTCGATATTTTTATAATTGCCTTTTTTTTATCAACTAAATCAATCAACTAAAAGCACAATGCCATTTATATTTCATACGGAGTAATATTCCACATAAAATTATATGGATCCTTGAGTGTGTTTGTTTTTAAATTGTGATAGTGTTTGGAAGTTTAAAGTGATATATATGCTAATGAAATAAAACTGACAAAATGTATCGTTTGCTATGGAAACATATTCTTAATCTACAATTTATTATACTACCCATGTAAAAGTTAATACATTTTGAATGTATCCTAATTATTTAGTACTTTTACTTCTTTCACTCTTAATGGCAATGCCATATAGGAGCCAGAATCGTGTCAGTTATTCACAAGTAACTAGGTACTTATTTATTAAGATGTAATCCATCTTAATAAATAAGAGTGGTGTCAACTTGAGTTTTATTGCAGTTTTATTTTTAAATAGCATTATAGAGCTAAACAATTTTTTCTTTTATATTTTTCCAACATGTCTAAACCACTTCAAAATTCAACTAATTGTACCTAAAGAGGAGGAAGGCTAAAATAGGTATCTAAAAAATATTCAATAATGTTTATTACAGAATAAAAACATATTTGAGTGCAAAACAATCTGTATATCCACTTCAGTTCATAAACACATTATAGTTTCCTCATGTACGCTGCCTATACTTTTTCAAAATTATAATAGAATTATACCATAGTAAATTCGCAGTATTTTGAATTCACATCATTTGTCTCTCAACAAATCGGCATAAGCACCTGAAATTAAATTTTCCTTGGATATTTCAAGTTTTTCCATTATATCGAAGGCGATTTTTTCGCCCTCTTCAGATGTCTGTTCATCTTTTAAAACCACCTGCAAGATACAAAATAATAGTAAGTGAATAATAAAAAAAAAATAGAGAAAATGTTGAATCTCAATAAACCAGTGAAAACTGTACAAATAAAATTCACTTTCAAAAAGCAAATGTTATTCACACACCACAACTCAACAAAAATTATAAAGAAGCACATCTATGTTCAATCAAAATGTATTGAAATGGTTGAAATCATCTTTGTGACTAAAATTGACGAGGAGAATGTAGAGATTATATTTTCAAGTTTGTTTTTAGTTCTTTCAATTTTCCTAGTAGGTATATTCAATTATGATGTATAATAGTTTTCATTCACACATTCAAAGGCTATTAAATGAAAATGTATTATATAAAACTGAAAGTTTGAGAATATCTTTTTTTTATTCTACTTGAAAGTCGTCTGACTTGTCCATTCCTCCCAAGTCTTCGAAATACACTGCAGCCTATATATGGATACGCTCATGTATGATATTTTCATTTTGTTGGAATATGGGAGGTAGAAGTTTCCAGTGTACATCAAAAATTGCTCAGAATACTTTATGAGTATACTGACATAAAAATGTCAATATTTCAAATTATTTGATATGTTTTACAGCTTGAGTAAGGTTGAGCATTGTAGTACTTTTTCCCACGAGGGAAATACATTGCTTAAATATATGAAACTAATACAGAATTCTCAGAACATAAATAATTCTTGGGAAAGAAAGTTTTTGACTTTCTACTACTCCTTGGAATCTGAAAATCTTCCAAAGAAGGGAAGGAAGCAATCAATTTCACAAAATTAACTCTTTATGAAAATGTGTAGATCATGCAAAGAAGTAACTATCAGACACAAACTGGAAGAAAAAGCCCTCCTGAAACAGCTACTTTCATATAAATATTGAAGTACACGAAAGAAAAATTCTTTCGAAACAAATACTTTTATATGAACACTGAATTATAGAAAAAACACTTTTCTCTACTCAGTTTGTATTCCAAACATTTGTTTAGAATAATTCCAACCCATTCAATTTAAATAAATGCTTCTACTAGTATAAATATTAGTGCATACGGAGCTCCCAAGTCAGTCATTGTTAAGACTTCGAGATACTATCTTTGTCTTCGCAGTCATAGCCTGCACTACAGAAAATGTCTGCCGAAGTAGCTTACGATAGGTTTGAACACCATGGCCTCCCTGCCCGGATTCTGTTCTTTTCAAAACCCTGTTTTTTATGCTTTGAATACTCATATATTTTTCCAAAGACTGTAAATTTTCAGTTTGTTGGTTTATTCTTTGCTGGATATGATATGGTTAAGTACCTCCAACTCCATAAAATCTCCCAAATCTTCAACAGAATCCACGTGAACCCTTGTTTGACCAACCATGAATAATTGTCGAATTTTGTTAACAACAATTTTAGTTCCTAATGCTTTTTCTAAGGTAGTGTGGATACTATTAAGATTTTCGGGCAAAATAGAAGATTTCTCATATAAACACATTTTTGGTCCTTCCGTGTCTGGTCGTTCATAATAAATCAATTCTCCTGATCCATTCTGTAACAAATCAAATAGTAGATAGAGTTTGATTTAGATCCTATATATTTTGGAAACCTGACCCTGAAAGTCACGTCACCCAGTTGAATTCATGTTTTGCGAATGATATTAACCTCAAATTTTCTTAATTTAAGTCTTCCATTTGGAACTTTATAGAAAGTATCTTTTTGAATAATAATTTCGTGCCTTTGAGGGGCCAAGGCCTTTACTAACTCGACGAGTTTGTCAAGATTGTACACTTCTGCTTTAATTTCCACATTCCTCATGATTTTTATCACTAAAGGCGAGAGAATAGTATTTACACAATACTTCCTCTTTGTACAATAATAAGGTTGAGTTCCAATTAAAATTGTAACTATGTTTATTAGGTATAAGAATAATTGTATTACATATAGACTACGAATGATATAAGGATATAAGTATAATGCTAAAATGCTTTCATCATTATACTTGTGGCATAAGTATCTTTTTGGTATAATTAAACCTATAAAAGTAAATTTATTCATTTCATTTCCAGCTTCAGTTCTTAATTTTTTAGCCATATTTTTACGTTAGGATAATTTCGACATTATTTTGCCATATTTTCTATAGGCAACGTTATCAAAGATCGATTCGAAAATATATATTTTTTAAAAGAGCGTCGTCATTCTGTCTAAAACTAAACAACTACCTCACCTTACATAAATCTGTAACGGTTTATTTATGATTTAATCAAATAAGAAAAAAAATGCTTTGCATTGGGTGCATCCAGTACGAAAAAGCGCCGCACTGCAGCCGCTTTTTAAATCGCTTGAATTTTGCTGGATTCAGCAATTACCGTCTGATACATTCAGAGGAAAACGGCTTCAACTGCTGGAAGCTGTTGGAAGCAATTTTTATTTGACTTTGACACTTGTCACTGTCAGAAACCCATTTCCGAAGGATACCTCACAGCCAATCAAAAAAGGGTGACATCTAAATGTCGTTTTAGAGCAGATTTGTTTGTTTACTTCTGAGGTTGGACCTAACCTAATTTATCTAAACTCGAAAAGTAAAAACCGAAAATTAGTAAAAAATAAGAAATGCAAGTAAATAATGCGGCTCTTCAGTATTTTACATAGTTTTTTGAGAAATCAAAACTATTTCTCTAAAAAAATTGTTTTTATACAATCGACAAACATTTTTAATCGTTTATCTCTACATTATATACTAAGTGAATCTCTTTTAAATAACCAGAGAGTATGCCAGTATTATACAGAAAAAGTTGACGATGAGGATGAAGATGACTTTCCATTACTTGAAAACGACCAAATCAGTCACAATTATGCTAAATATGTTTTGTTCAAAAACTCTCAGGATAATATAATTAACGATTTGAATCGTTCAACTTCTTTAGATGAGGTATTCCAAATAATGAATAGATATAAATATGAGTATAGACCAGAACATATAACACAGACAGTACTTGTTCTTAACGATTTACAAAGTGTTTATTGCAGTGTACATAGGTCTCGAGAGGAAGGCTTAAACTTCTTTTTTAAAGACTTGCATAACCATAAAGAATTTACAGAGTTACTACAAGCTGTGAGTAAACACTCGATGGATTTTGATTCAGTTCTTCTGAGTTATTTGTTACCATACTTACAAAAATTAGATGTTTCAGTAGAAAGTGAACTAATTCAGAGCTTATCTTTAAAATTGCGTGATGAACTTGTCCAAGATTTTTGCCTGGAGAAATGTTCAAGGTTGTTGCGAGTTATTTTCACAGACAATAGTGTGCGACCTTATTATATTTCTTTGAATCTGATACCAAAAGTCTGCCAATTGATAGGTACTACAACAAAATCAAGTTTGAAAACTCATTGATTTCAATTTATTTCAGATGAAGTTTCTGATGTTGAGAATCTAGAAAATCTGACAATATGCCTAAATAAGCTGCACAATATTGTTACTGATGATGTTTTGGAGAAGTACAAAGATAAAATTCTACAATTTTTGAAAGCCAATATACTGAATAGTAGTCATCAAAGTGTGATTCTCAGGATAATCACATTTTTAACTCTTCCGGAATGGAGAAACCAATGCACCATATTAACATCAGAGTGCATGCTATTACTTAAAAATAAGATTCATCTTCTTGATATACCACAGCTCCTTTTACTATATGAGGTTAGCCTTTGTAGTCAAACTTTTTTTGTGTTATATTCATAGGTTAATTTTATTTCAGGCTTTCTTCAAAAACCAAGAGCCAGGAGACATTCTTGATGAAATACAAAGATGTGCCGCAAAATTCTGGCAATGCTCTGAAGAAACTAGCCCTCTTGCCATAGAAACCAGACTTAGACTGTTGATATCTTTGCAGTATTTTTCTTCTCCATTGCATAAAGTGCAGTTTCAAAAAGAAGCGAGGACATTTGTGAAAAGTACCAATAGCATTGGAAAACTAACCATGCTTCAAAAACTTTTTACTTATGTTAAAATTTCAGATGATAATTTATGCAAAAAATACTGGAGGATATATTTGAATTACCTTGACACAGACAAAAATATCAAAAACATTGTAACATTCTGCCAAAATTATATGTACTTCAACGCAGACGTTGATTTTCGTCATAGACAGCTTGAAAAAAAAATTCTTGAGATGATAAGAAAATCCGTTATCGAAGGAGACATTATATCCCCATCAGAGCTAGCTATTTTTATAAAATTCACAGTTATTTATGGAAGTGGCAGTATGATTGACCTGTTGATGAGAAAATTAGAAACAAATTATTCACAGTTCAGTGCTAAAGACTGTTTCAAAATATCACAGAGTATTGCAAGATCATTTGAAGTTCATAATAATTTCATTGCCAAACATTATGTGGAGAAAATAAAAGAATTAATGCACCAACAAACGAAAAATTTATTAGAAATTGATGACTGTGATTTTCAGAAGAACTCCCTTCTAATTTGTGCTGCTGCATCTCGAAATGACTTTCATAATTTCACAATAGATAGCTTATTTACCAAATTTAAAGAAATGGGTTATATGTCTTCTAAAATGTTGGCTATATTGTCAAAGTTGATGTTGAGCACTGACAATTTGGTTCCAGAAATTATGAACAAATGTACAGAATATATTATAGAGGAGCAGTCTAAAGTTGTTGGTTTCAATGCAGAGAGAATTCTATTCTCCTGCTATCATCTAGCATATTATCCCATCAATGCTGATAAGTTCTTTCCAGTGGTATTGGATATCATTATTAGGTAAAAACTCATTCTAATCATTCTTAATTGAGAAATCTAAAATAGATATCGAAAAGAAACCACAGTCGGTTGAGAATTTGAAAACCCCTTCAAGGTATTCAACTAACAAAAATAATTCAAGCAGTCGACTTTGGTCATAAAAAAAACTAATCAATACAGTTTATTGTATGATTTTCACTATAAAAGGTTTTACAAAAACTGCAACACATGCTTTCCTATACAATAGCTCTCTCAAGTGTAAACTAGTAGTAGTTTACGCTTGTCAACAGTGTACTTAAAAGAGTTCTAATGTGGTGCGAGAATATAATCCACACTGTGATTTTTTTTTCAGAGACCAAGAACGTTTCAGTGGTCTGACCTTTATACAGATGGCTTTGTCATTGTGCTTCTTCAGTAGACTGCCCAGTTTTCTCGTAAAACAGATATTCAACGTTGAGTTTATGGATAGACTTGACAAAGAATTAGCCATTTGTTATTCGAAGGTATTTTTCTGATCACAAATTAATTCGCTTTTCAGTTCAATGTATTATTTTCAGGATACATATCCAAAGAGGGTGAGAAATACATTGATGGCGCTCAATAGAGCCGTATGCTTAGAGTATCCACAATTCAACATTCCATGGTTTCATAAGTCGTATGTTCAAGATATGGAAAGAAAATGTGAGTGAGAAAATTTCATGAAGTTTCAGTTTGAAATCTCCTTTCAAACCTTACTTATGTTCAGTGGTGGTGTCAAAAATAATTTTTTTTTTAAATATAGGATTATTAAAATTTTATCTGATAAGACTATAGACATTTCGGATAAAAAATTGTTTCATCGTTCATAGGAACATATTATTGAGGATGTAAATGACAGATGTAGGGATGCTTTTGAAGAATATTGAGCCACAAGAATTTTCATAATTCCTGATTTTTACATTCCAGCTATAATCTACAACAAGATTAATAATATATACTATATAATATCTGTTTAGATTCATGTTCACATACTCAAGATGCAGCCTTGAAATGTCAGCTCCCAGGCGGTTTTTGATAGTTTAAATCTTATTGGAAAGGTCAACAAGCTCAAAAAGTGGGTGCCCCACGATTCGATGGATCGACATAATCGTCACGTTTCGAGGTCTGTTCTTTTTTACTTTTGCGCAATCAAAACAATCCTTTTAGGGATCAGAACATCACATGTGATAAAAAGTGGATCTTCTACGATAACGGGATATGTTTAGGATAGTAGTTGGACACTGATGAGCCACCCAGGCATTTCCCAAGGGCGAAAACCCACCAAAAGTAGACCATGGTTGGTTGGTTTGCACTGGTCAACAGAAAAGGTTCGATCCTGCTCCACGACAATGACCGTCCGTGCGTTTTATAATTCATCGTCCGAAATTAAACGAATTGAGCGCCAAAGCTCTACCTGCTACCTGCAGAATTAGGCAAAAACGGCCTTCGTCGACTTCATCGAATCCTAACCACAACATCTTTATGCTGACGGAATTAATTAACTTGCGTTACGTTGCAAAAATGCACTGATTCAAATGGCGCTTATTTCGATTAAATTAAATATGTATTCACTGAGATATTACAGTTTAAAGTAGTCTAATACGATACTATTTTATTGTATTTTAATAAATCTGTGCAGAACATTAAAAGTAACATCAGTTCAGACTTGATAGATATAATCACATTGTCTTGTTAACCACAAACTAATTTCAATTAAAAAAATCATGATGAACAATTATCACAAAGAAAGAACAATACTGACAATACAGTATGGTGTATAAAGTTTATACAAAAATTGCAACATTTTGAATCTCCTATCATGCTTTTAACAAGTAAAATGTGAAAGACTCTCCAGCAAGCAATTAACACCAAGAAATGAAGTTCATTCATATAATACCTGGGATAGAAAAATAAATAACTGAAATTTATACTGTATTTCGTTCAATGATAAAAACACCAACTAAAAATTCACTGAAGACCTGAAAAAATTTCTAATGTCTCCTGATGTCTTCTTGAAGTCAAATGTAGCATGTAACTTGTAACTCGGCTCTGAGTGTCAAACATTCTTTCAATATGTGCGGAATAGCCTCTGAATTGCAGATTGCATAAAGAAATAATGTCTGAAGGATTGCAAAGAATGTCTCCTTTCAAATTCACGTTGAAGTTCATTTCAGTTTTGAAATTTTTAAGAAACTAAATAATTGCTTTTCAAGTATTTCAAACCAGTGTCGTAATGGAGTTACGTTACTGGAGGCGAAAGTGCAAACGTAATATGAACCAGTCAATTAGTCAGTAAATTATTTTAAAATTTTTGTTATACCATTCCGCTCGAAATATTGGCTTTCAAATAACAAAAAAAGTTTCCATTTGATATACTGTCAAATGGAAACCTTTTTGTGTTCGTCCAAAAAGGCACCATCAGCTCTCTTATTAACTTTGTTTTTGAAAAATAATATTCGAATAATAATACTTAAAATACTATATTTGAAACTAACATTATATATGCATTTTCAGATATACGTGTACAAGACAATAATGTTCCTGTCAGGATATGGGAGCATTTATCTGAACTAGCAGGAAGTTCAAAAATTATCTCACAAAACGTAGTTACTCCATATGGATATCACATAGATTTTGTAGTTAATTTAAACAAGGAGAACAATATAGTTTCGTCCGAATCAGAGGGAATTGAGAAGAGGTAAAATAGTACATATTCCTATAGTTACAGCCAGTTTTGAATATAGAAGGTATCGAACTAGGCTATCTCATAAAATATTAAATTCTCCAATTCATGACAGAATACTGTCATTGACAAAATGACGAAATTTAATTTTTTTCATTTAGGACCTTCCATGTTTTTGCTGTGTATGATCAGTGGTGAATAAAAACTATTATTAATATGCTTCTAAAACATATACAACACAAGACAAATTTCCTCATTAACACAAAGCACGTTTTTATGAACTATGGAAATACATTTTGAAGGACTCGAAAGAAATGTGGAAAACCCTAAAGGCGTTAGTCAAACAGAAAAATGATTCACTTCCACACACAATATTATTTCCAGCAGCCCAAGAAGTCTGTCAAGTCACCCATGATATAGAGAAAACAGAGAAGTCCAATTATTTCTTCATTGATAGTATAGTAGACATCAAGAACACCATTCCCCATTATTTCCTTTGGACTAACAATAATTTCCCACCTTTTAATTGTGAGATAACTAAATTTAGATTATTATCAATGTCAGAACTTAGAACTATTATTGGAATCTTTGATAACAAATGTAACTCCAATTATATAAACAACAAAGTACTTGAAAGTGTGTTTGGGGCAATCGGTGGAGTATTATTAAATTTGGTTAATACATCACTCAGAACTGGTAAAGTACCGCAAAAACTAAAAAATGGTACAGTAATTCCTGTATCAAAAATCAATAATACTAATGCCATCAACTTTTGTCTGATAAATACTTTATCTCCTATTGAAAAAATGATTGAGACGGCGGTATATGAACAATTGATTGATTACATTGAAAGTAATAAACTGATTATGATGCACTGTTTGGAACCTTTGGTGTAGTATCGAATATTACTGGAGTTTTTTCTTAACACCAAATCGTTATTTTTAACACTTCGACACGTGTTTCGATCACCAAGTGATCATCTTCAAAGAGGAAGATTAAACTAAGAACTAGTGCGAGCTAATCCTATTTATGTTATAAAGGTAACTCATACAGGTAAACCGTCCAGGCGTACCAACCATACAGGTATACATACCAACCTAAATTATAATGCAAAATTGTAAAATTAATTTAGGTTGGTGTACCTGTATGGTTGGTACGCCTGGATCGTTTACCTGAATGAGTTACCTTTATAGCATAAATAGGATTAGCTCACACTAGTTCTTAGTTTTAATCTTCCTCTTTGAAGATGATCACTTGGTGATCGAAACACGTGTCGAGGTGTTAAAAATAACGATTTGGTGTTGGGATAAAATTCCAGTAATATTGATTATGATGAACCAATCTGGTTTTCGATCTAAACACTCATGTGAAACAGCATTACAAGTTTCAATATTCAAATGGAAATTTGCTGTTGATGATAATAAATATATAGTGGCAGTGTTTCAAGACTTCAAAAGGGCATTTGAGAAAATTGACGTTAATATCCTACTGAAAAAACTGAAATATGGAATTTCTGGTTCAGTACTTGAATGGTTTGGAAGCTACCTCTCTGGTCGAACTCAATAGACTTAAATTAACGGGACATATTCAAACCTAAAAGGTGTCAATAATGGTGTACCTCAAGGTAGTGTCTTGGGCCCGCTTCTGTTGGTTCTTTACAATGACATCAACTTAATTAATGGACGTGAATTCATCAACCTATTTGCAGATAATACTCTGATTGCAGTGAGTGAACCTGAATTACAAACAGCTATCAATAATAAAATATGTATGCTTGGATAATACATATACATACATATTTTAGTGTTACGAAGTTGGACTGTGACTTTGTCTATCCAATTTTTAAATGTTTTTGTATATTAGGATGCCTATTTGAAAATATATTATTATTATTATATTATAATTATTAGGTAGGTACCCACTTATATAATACTAGATGTTTTAGCCGCGTTACCTTGGGAACCTACCTTATGTGTTATTCCAGGTCATGATCTATCTATATATCAACTTACATTTGAATCCGTTGAGCTGTTTAGACGTGAAAAAGTAAAAAACGTAAATACATACATTACATTTATCTATCCTTACAAATTTTACGAATTTATAGTAGTAGGAGTAGGATTGGTAGGATTACCAATGTATTTCATTCTAATCCTTTCAGTTTTTTTTTTGCTGATGCTATTCAATATTGTATAAGTGGGTACCTATTGATTGATTGACACTTTTATATTAACATACAACCGAAGCTACTGAACCTAGAATCTTGAAATATGCAGGTAGGTTCTTTGTATAACGTAAATAAGCATCAATAAAGGGAATTTACACCCTCAAGTGGGAAAAATACGAGTTTTAAGATTGTATTGAATTTCGTCAGTTTTGAAGTTGGAAACCTGAAGTTTTGGGTTAATAAAAAAATACTGTAATTATTAATATACACTTCTTCACGATTTTTCAGAGTGGCTGTTCTGCTGGTTCATCAGAAGGCTTTCACTCGTTTCTATGTCCACTTGAAGGGCGAGTATCAGATGAAGAAGAGACACTTGGAAATACTCGGATATGAAGTAGCAGTCTTGAAATACCATGACTGGTCAAATCTGTTATATTCCAGTGAGCGAATAGATTATTTAAAGGACTTGATTTTCACTGCAGATTCGAAATCAAGGAAGTTTCAGAGTGAAAGGTGATGATGGTTGTTACCTGCGGGTTTCTCTAGTCAGTACTTCTCAGAAGGAAGAAACCGTTGAACGTGCCACCAAATGATGGATGGGAAAGTAGCGATTGAAACCGTTTCAACATTTGTTTTTATCGTTGTGAACTAAAATGAAGCATTGAAAATGATGAAATTATAGATTTATTAAATTAATTTTATGATTTTTTTCTGATTCAGTCTAATGATAGTTTTTTAATGAAAGAAAGCCTCATGTTAGTTTTGGAATTAGATAGATAGATAGATAGATATCCTTTATTAGTTCTTTGTAATAAAAAACCTTTTCAGGTGTAGAACATGTCAATTACAGTAAACATTACAGAATGAGGCATGAGGCGGTACCATTAATATTGGTTAAGAATATAAATGGCCACAGATGTATGAATAACAAGGTTATCACAGTCAATATACTTAATGTAATATTGTTATATTAGATACAGAACACGAACATATACATCTATATGTAGGGTTCAAAAGAGACTAAACTACATCACAATGCAGAATGATACGACATGAAATATTCAACGCGAACAACATCAGTTTAAATTATCATTGAAGAATTCTTCCAACGAATAATAAGCTTTGGAGAGAAGCAACGTTTTCAATTTATTCTTCATGATCACAGAAGACAGAGTTCTGAGAGATTCAGGTACCTTGTTATAAATATTCATGATTGAAAAAGGTATATTTTTTTGAAGCTAGGTCAAATGTGTCTTTATATTCAAAAGGTTATTTTTGTTTTGTGTGTTGTGGGTGTGGTTCCTATCATGGGTCGCAAAAAGAGATATATTTTCTTTGACAAATACCACAGATTCATAAATGTAGAGACCTGTTAGTGTTAATATTTTTTTATAGCTTTCTCTTTGAGAAAGGTTGAATATTTTTCTGAGACACCGTTTTTGCAATACGAATATTTTTTGTGTATGTGCAGACATTCCCCAGAATATAATGCCATATCTGATGTGACTCTGCATATAACCATTATATGCTAACTTCGCAGCCTCAGTGGATATATTTTGTGTAATTATTTTCAGGGCATAGCAGTACCTTGACATTTCTGTTGCCACTTTATCTATGTGGCTCTTCCAGTTCAGCTTTGAGTCAATTATAATTCCAAGAAAGGAAAGTTGGGTCACTGGTTCTAAAATAGTTACACCATCACTAAAAGTATTATTTGTGCCGTTTTGGGTAAAAGATATGATTTGTGTCTTGTTTTTGTTCAGTTTGAGATTGTGTGATGTAAAGTACTCCTACCGAATCTTTAGCTTGAAAAAGATATTTGCCTGTAGGTAGTCGTGATCGGTTGAACTGAACACCACAGAACAGTCATCGGCATACTGAACCATGTATTCATTAACAACTTCAGATACATTGTTAGTGTAAAGAATGTATAATAGTGGGCCCAACCCTGACCCCTGGGGTACACCTCTTATAATATATAGCATTTCTGATTTCATTAGATTTCCATCAGTATCCCTTTCAGTAACACATTGGTGTCTATTTTTCAAATAGGACGTAATTAGTTCGAGTGGCAGCCCTCTGATACCGTAGAACGACAGTTTTGTGATCAGTAACCTATGGTCAACACTGTCAAAAGCCTTGGACGAGTCCATATTGATAGCTGTTGTAGCCTTTTTACTATTGATACATTCAATTACCTTACATAGAGCTTGATAGTTAGCTCGAGTAGTAGATTTCTTTCTTCTAAATCCATTCTGCATATCACTTAGAAGATTATTATTCTCTAGATAAGTGATCAGTCTATTTTGTATATTATTTTTTCAAAGATTTTACTAACATTTGGCAATATTGCAATGGGCCTATAGTTGATTATTTCATGTTTATTTCCCTTTTTAAAGATAGCTTTGACATGCGTAATTTTAAGATTATCAGGAAAAATACCTGTCAAAAATGATAAGTTGATTATGTGTGCAATAGGTTCACACATCTCATATGCTACATGTTTCAGTAATTTAATTGGTATTTCATCTTCACCTACTGCTTTACTATTTTTCAACTTCAGAATAGTATCATAAACTTCTTTTGAATTAGATTAGAGAATTGGTTAAAGTGAATTTGAGTGTCATTGGAGTCGAACATATGATTATATTTATAACTCTCCAAAAATTTCACTGAATCAAAATTTGTTTTGTATTATAGTTTTGAATACCAGAATTTGACATGAAAATTGGTTGTTGGTATTGTTCGAAACTGAATGAATGAATTCAGAACACTTCAGTTTGAATAGTTTCAGAATAGTTTCAGAATTCACTGGGTGTAGTAGAAAAAGTAATGCGAAAATACATTTTATTGTTATATTTTGTAGAGATAGAGAATATAAAAATAAAATAATTATCCATATTTTTCCAAATCCGTTGATTCCTTCAAGCTCATAATTTAATACAGTAGAAACAATGTGCATTTAAAGGCCATTACTTGTATTCAGGTTGAGCTTGTTTTGACATCGGCTGCTAGAGAATGTTAATCTCCGTTTATTCGAGTTAATTGTACCTCATTAATGAAGATTAAGAAGAGCAATGGTCCAAGATTTGATCCTTGAGGTAGGTATACCAGACATCTACAAACCAGGGAAGTTTTATTTTATTAAGATGTACTGAAAAGTTAGTATGCTACTACACAGATGGCGTTACTAGTACCTAATAAATCCATATGATTTTTAGTTAACCCCAATCTTCAGCCACATGTACAAATTTAACAGCTTTCGGACTATTAGTTTGTGGGACAGAGCATTAGGAGTGAAGCAACTTTTGTTAGTTTGAAGAAAATGAATAAACGGCATTTCTTCTTGGCGAAAAAAAAAATTAAAGCCAAGGCTTGGCTTGATAAACATTATTCTGACTTTGCACCAGAAAAATCAACCAATGAGAAGTTACTTCTTGCTAAGTTTGAACGAGATGAAATAAGAACCGAGGACGATGCATGCAGTGGACGCCTTAAAAAAGCTGTTACTGGTGAAAACATCAACATCAGAATCTAAACGATCGTCATTTGAGTGGACTGCACATGGTGAACCGACTCCAAAGCGTGCAAAGATGGAATAGTCGGCTGACAAGGTTGTGATATCAGAATTTTGGGATGCGCATGGTATAATATTTATTTACTCTTTTGAAAATGAAAGAACCATTAACAAAGACTATTACATATCGGTATTATATCGCGGAAAAACCGCCCCATTCGGAGAAAAACACAATGCACCGAGTCACAAATCAATGAAAACGATGGCAACATTGCTTCGAATTGCTTCCGAATCCACCGTATTCTCCAGATTGGTCCCCCCTATGACTTTTTCCTGTTCTCAGACGTCAAGAAAATACTCGCTGGAAAGAAATTGAATAACACAATGAAATTTCACCAAACTTTTTTTTTTCATGTTAGCCTACGAACTTTTTAGCCCAATTGTTACATTCGAAAATTTTTAGAAATATTTGAATTGAGTAGTAATTGAATATTGTGTGAATGCCAAAACTTTCTTTGAGGAGTTTATGGTGTGACATGTTATCAAAAAGTGACTGAAATATATTATCGGGAACAATTGTCGCAAGTGGCATTTCTCAATAATAAGTTATTTGAAAGATGCTACATTAAAAGAGAAAGACAAAACAATTTTCAAAGTTCCATCATATGACATTTGTGTAAAATAGAGGATGAGCTTTACAACATTTTTCGTTGATATCCACTTCTCAGGAAGTTAAATTATCTCTGGTGTCGCCAATGAATTAGGTGAATATGGTGTATGCAAATGTAAATTCAGGTCAGTTTTACCTCTATAATCCATTATTATAATGGGCTTTTAATATTTAATTATGAGAAACTGTATGAAACCTTGGAAATATTTATGCTTACATATATACAAAATGTTTTGTGTTCTTGAAAAATAATCCTCTATGTGGAAGTGTAAACACAAATTTGTTGATTGATACATCATGTAGAACTTGTCTTTTTCTTTTATGTGAGAGAATGATACAAAAGGTAGATGTAACATCGAATATTTGAAGGTTTCTACAGTTCTTAATGGAAATAATCAAAGTTTTCCTTAATTCTGATGTTGTCGCTCACTGTGTGGTTTCTCGCATACGTCACTTAACATTAATTTCAAGCAGTATTCTGTGATTTGAAGAAACCATATTGATAATTGGATAATGAGGAATGCACATGATTTTGTAATAAGTCAGAAGGAATAATCCCTAACAATTAACTGTAGCATAGTTCGCGTAGATAACAGTGCTACTTTTTAGGGAGCAGTGTTTGTGTTAAATTATTTTTCTGCTAAAGGTTCTAGTATAGTATCTTGTAGAAAATATTCTTTTTTTATGACTATTCGAAAACGCATTAATTATGTGACTGTGACTTGTTGGTTAATGAGGCAATGAACTAGCTTATTTTCAAACTAGTTGAAATTGAGTGAAATATTTTTCCTTCTGAAATGAATCTTTCGAAACATTTCTCATATAAATCATTGAAGAAATATAGTATTTTTTCGCGAGAAATGATCACTACAAACTTCATTTTCACAAGTATGAAAATGAAATTTATTTGTGACGGATATCTCATATCAGAGTAATACTATTAGGTTGTTTCAAAAGTTTTGTGCGTTTTAATGTCCTGTTTTTATAGCTCCATGTCTCAATAAATATTTATTCTACTATTTCGTGTTAGATACCGATCGATAGAGAATTTCGTACTCTATAGATTGATGCTTTTCAGCTTATTACTATATGATGTCGTTAAATGAAATTTCGTTCCGGAGATTTTAGCCTCGCAGATGAGCCCCGAAGTGGTTGACCTACAGTACGAGGATTTGAGTACCGTGGTGGAGACTGACCCATCACAAACGGGATGGCGGAAGAACTGGAATGCAGTGGAAAGGTCAAAAAGCTCAAAAAGTTGGTGCCCCACGATTTGAATCCTCGACTCCCAACCGACTGCCATCTTTTCAAGCACTTCGATAACTTTCTCACCGTTAGAACCTTCGCCAACGGCCTTCGTCAACTTCGTCGAATCCTGATTACTCAATTTTTATGCTGACAGAATAATAAGACTTGTGTTACGTTGGCAAAATACTTCCAATTTTTATCGTTTTAACAAATTTTACATTGTTTCAATGAAAAATTAAAAACCATACACGTGACATGAACCCACGACTAGCCCGGTTTCAATTGAATTTGTAACTATTTCCAATTTATTATTTGCCACTTTGCCAATTCATTGTTAGCCACATCACAAATTTCTGTTAATGTACACTCGTTTTCATTTCCTGAGTTCAATTTTGTATTCTTGTTTTTCGTTAGAAACTATATATTTCAGAACGAACTGTCAGTTAAATTATCAAGTTTGACGTTTGAGAACAAGTGTGAAGTTATTGACCATTTTGCCTACAAGGTACCCAACAGAAAACGAGCACATAAATGACACATTTTTCAGTAGTCATAGAAGATATACATACCTACCTGAGATTTTCTAACTGATGAAACATTATGTATTTTGACATTACCTTTATATATACGTTTTCTATACATTTTTTGTAAAACTTCCTTTATTCATAATCTTATGATAGATAATATACCTTTTTCTTGAAAACAAGATATTTCTCCCACAAATCCTTTAGATTTTTCACTGCTTTATTTTGAAGAGATCAAATAAGGTCAAATCTCTTACCTGGGGATTATTGTCCCTCGTAATTAGGATCTGTACCTTTGCTTCCACTTAACCAGCTGTTAATAAGATGAGAGTATAGATTTTTTCATGTGATAAGCGCCTAACCTCTATCACAAATTATAAACATCCTGCACCATAAAATTTAGTAGACTTTCCTCGCGGTACATATTACACGGTTCGTTACCGCCACAGAATACAAAGCACCTATTTTCTTAACTTCAAGATGAGTATTCTCGATTATGGCAGGGGAATTATATTACGTTATAGCTTGTCGTTTGAGGAGGAACCTAACGAATATGTTCAGAAACGAATAAAATGTAACAACTTGAATATTATTTGTATCACATTATATGTAGTTATAACAATGATAATTTCTTGTTGTTAATGAACACATTGTGTTAATTAATAGAGGCTCTAGGGGCGTAGTAATTAACAAATGTATTTCAGGTTTCTGATATCAGTAGAGCTGCAAGTGAAGGCTTTTGTCGCCTCTTAATTTAAATAGGAGAGAAATCTTATGCCCTCCTCTGAATACTATACACTAATCACTCTAATAACTTTTGAACTGGGTAAAATATCAAAGTCGGACAAAATTTACGTAAAAATGTTCCGATTGTAATCCTTTTTTTATAGGATAAAACGAGACTGTTGGACAACCGCAAAGCAACTAACGTCATTAAAAGAACATAAGATCCCGCCTACTCACGGATATAGAGGAATCCTTGCTTGGAAACCGTCAAAACTTCTCCACTGTGCCAAGATACCTAAGTGCCCACTCTGAAGACGATCAGGAAACTGGAATCTACCAGTTCTCTTATTGATGAGGCAGCTCTGAAAGGCCTACAGATGACACCATTGAAATTCTACCCCTTCTGGGTAATATACAAAGATTGCACAATATCCAACTGCATCTACAGTTGGATTTCGACAGTTTCAAAGAAACATCAACTCTTCTCTTCCGAAAAGGAGAGTTCATCGCTAACACCGCATTACGGTAATCCACTTCAGCTGCATGGACTACCCGAGATTCACAAGAAAGATGTTTCGATAAGACAAATCATCAGTTCCAGAGCTTAAGCCACCCACAAGCGATACAAGGAAAAACTTCGTCTCTTTTGAGGAATTTTAGTAATTTTATCGAGTTATTGTAGGCAATGCAGGTCACACAACGAGACCAATGAGTCAATTTCGAGGAACTGCAAATAGAACAGCCATTAGCAGTTCCTGGTATAGAAAACATATACAAGAAGTGGTTTGAAACGTTAATTATTGAAGAAGCCCAGAGGTTGGTTGAGATACATTGACAATATCTTCATAGAAGTTTGGACACCCGTTTACATTTCCTCAACAGTATGAGACCTTCTATAACATTTACAATGAAGAAGAAAGGACACAATGAATTATCGTTTTTAGACCTAATGATGAAGGGGACCGACAAATGGGAAACCAAAACATACGGAATAGTATATGAATTAGGAATCTAGCCACCACCAATTAACCAAGAAGACATGAATCGTCAAGACCCCTAATTGATTGTGTATACAGTATCTGTAACACGAAGAAAAGTCTTGATAAGGAACTACGGGACATATCAGGAGAGATATTTAGCAAAATGGTTATTCCAAAAAGCTGATAGACACTAGGAGACAATAAGGACCCCACAAGGAAGAGAAATCGTCGCAACCAGTGCTATCCCTTCCTTACGCCAGAGGATCGTTGGAGATGATAAGTAGTATCTGTAGTATAGAACATCAGAACCTGCTTCAAATTTTGAAACACTATCCGTAGCAGCCTTACAAAAACTAAGCCACCAAACGCAGACAGTGTTAGCTCATAAGAGACAATGTATTTCAACAACGTTCGCATAATTTGCTATACGTTGATTGTACGCCCTTGTGCATGGGGTCTCAGATGTCAGTGATGTCACGTATCCTATCGAAAACATCTCAAGGTCATCTGATTTTACGATTCAGGAAGATGAGGAATATCCCCAACCAGTTTTGAATATAGAATTGAAATACCAATCAAACGGAGTATGAGAAGAATCCCACCTCGACGAGGAATGATGCGCCACTGTTTTCTCTTACGCATCAGGCAGTACTAAAAATGGCGCAAGTTTGCCCGACCTTCATATTTCATTCTGTTTAAAATTCAAGAGGGGGAACACTTTACATCCACACACAAGAAGGGAGAAGACAGTGAATCAGACTAAGGCAGTTTGTTTCTATGCTTTCGGTTTCAGCCAGTGTATCCAATAAACCTGTCACTAGTGAGTTCGCTACAAAAATTCCCAATATGTGAGTTCCATCACAGTTGTTTTGGTACATTCTTGAATATTTCATATGAACATTTTGTATAATAATAATAATAATAATAATAATAAACTTTGTTCATCCTTTAANATCTTAGCCGCACAGATGCAGAAGGCTGTCATTCTTGGCTCACTGCGTTTGCTCAGGGCACATGATTCTCGGACCCAATGATCACTTACCCCACGGTGTGGGGAGTGGTCATTGGTTGATTATGCTGGCGCGCCCTCCCGAATGTATCGGGGCTTCGGGGGATAGGGCCTGACCAGCGCACACTACGGTGAAAAAAAAAAAAAAAACATTATCAAAGCGCCTGAGGGACTCATCATGGCTTGCCAGGATGGTGTCTTCAACACCTTAGTCTACCGCAGTCGCGTGATGGGTATAGAGGTTTTTGACACAAGGTGCAGCATACATACAAGCTAATAAGCCTGATGTAGTCCTTCTCGATCACCAGAGCAAGACTATATTTGTCGTGGAGTTTTCAGCTCCTGGTGAGAAATCTTAGCCGGACAGATGCAGAAGGCTGTCATTCTTGGCTCACTGCGCTTGCTCAGAGCACATAATTCTCGGACCCAATGATCACTTACCCCACGGTGTGGGGAGTTGTCGTTGTTTGATAATGCTGGCGCGCTCTCCTGAATGTATCGGGGCTTCGGGGGATAGGGCCTGACTAACGCATACGGTTAAAAATAATAGGTCTCTTTTCACCTAAAGTGAGAATATACAAAAAAATATGGAGGTGAATGAATGGACGGAGTGTCAGCAAAGCTGTTTTTAAAGTCAACTTTCGAGAAAAAAAACAGAAGGCCTGTGTTCAGGAATAACCAGCACCGACCTGTAAAACTACATAGTTTTACAAAAACGCAACACGTGTTTCGCTATACCATAGCTTCTTCAGTCATGTCTATACTCGAAAGTAAAACTGCATGGTTTTACAAAAACGCAACACGTGTTTTGCTATACAATAGCTTCTTCAATAGTCTCAATACTCAAGAGTATATACACATGCCTTAAGAAACTATTGTATAGCGAAACACGTGTTGCGTTTTTGTAAAACTATGTAGTTAAAAATCTCACAATAAAGTGTTTCTTGAATATATTGGATAATATATTTTTTTAGACATCTTTTTTAAATACTTTTGCGCAATCACTTAAATCGTATTATTTTGAACAATTTAAATACTGTCGTATCATTTCTTCTGAAAATCGCCGATATAGGGTCGCAACCAGTTATTGCATGTAGAAATAAGACATTATTGTAATATTATGAAAAAGCTGCCTTTCTATGGTTCGAAAAATAAATATAATCAATCGTGTAGACCAGGGGTCTCCAAACTTTGAAGCCTTCGGGCCATAATGATTTTTTCAGTTTGTTCCAAGGGCCAATTTCTGCCCTTGGAACAAACAAAGCATATTAATATGCTTAAACTTAGATACTTAAGTTAAGTTTTCTTTGTCATCATTTCTGTCGTTAAGTTTTATCTTGCAAGTAAATAAAACCGAGTAATTATCATTCTGTGTTTTCATCTTCAACTTATCACAGCAATAGTAACAATAATTAGGTAATCATTGGCTGTCGCGGGCCAGATTGATGACAGTAAATCATTGGCTGTCGCGGGCCGGATTGATGACACTGGAGGGCCGGATTTGGCCCGCGGGCCGTAGTTTGGAGACCCCTGATGTAGACAATAGTATTTATAAAAGAACATCGTCACCAACGATAATTGTATGTGTTGGTTTATTCCCGAAATATACATTTATGTATGTTTAGACCTAAACATAAAACAGAAACCATGATTTGAAGAAAAAAAGTATAAGAAACATTTTTAGGTAATTTCTTGCTATACCTACCTATAATTACACAATTTTTCTCTGATCTATTCTTATGATACTAACTTTCCTGGAAAATGCAAAAACCGATACTTTCGATCCTGAAACTATTTTTGAAAGAGGTAGGTTAGTTGCGGGTTTTTGTTTTTTTTTGTGCCAGTTATCAGCTCTACTAGAATTATTGCAAACTTACCATTTTTGGATATATTTAGCGAAGACCTGCTGTTGAACGAACGAAAACTATGCAAGTATCTGCTCTGTGGGGAAACTTGCATAAATGTTGGTCGGAATAATGAACAGGTGAATGTTTCGAATTTTATTTGAAATAATTATTCACAGATTTCTCATTTGCTATAAAAAAACGTTGATTGCTCTACACATGTCCTTATATAATTTTCACCGATGTTTTTTTCACCTTATTATTCGCAAGTTTTCCATTTTTCATATACTAAAGAGAAGTGGAAAGATATAAATGCAGTTTTCTAAAAATGACTCTTTTACAATAATCTGGAGATTACTTGTGTCTTTGATGACAATCTGGATAAAATTGTGTTTGCATGTATTGTATTTATCTTCTTTACTAGACGTTTTTCCAACCGAAACCTGAATTTTTATAATATTCATCAAACTCTCTCAAATGAATCTACTGAAAATACTTTTGCCACACTAGAACAAACTGCCTCTCGACACTTATTTCGCTTATCAATTATATTTTCTTCTTTTCTCTGGACGTTTTTCACACTGTACGTATAATGGTGGTGAAGGAGAAACCCACAAAACTAATCTCTCAAAAATATCCTCTTCTCAATTCAAATGAATTTGACTTAACTATCCTTATGTCATTGCGACAAAAGCAGAAGTGTCTTTTTCGGTGACATACAATCGTAATTTTATGAAAGAAATTAATGCTTCGTTTTCAAAGTAATCCAAAAAGGTGCTTATGTGGAATTGCAAGTAATTGTTTTCGCCCAAAACTTCGAAGCACATCTAGTGATTGATAGTTTCCATGTAAGTGAACTTTCACACTTTTTCGTATATTACATTGTGTAATAGGGTTATATTTGTAGGAGTGACTAATTTTTGGGAAAGAACGTTTCTGGCTTTGTAGGGTTTTTCCTACAACTATTTAGTTTAGAAACATTTCATTTCTTTCTTGATTTTATTTTTGTATTACCTATACATTCTTGTTAGGAAATTAACTTTTCATAACTATTATCGAGCAGTCGTACAAAATATCCATCTGCTTGAGTTTTTCATGTTAATTCTTTTATTTAAATTTCTACTCAGCATTTTTTGTATTTTTTTCATCGTATATCATTGAAAGGCTCTCGTCTCTTGAAACAACCGTTTATGGCTGAAAAACATATGGATATTTAGAACGAAGCCACTTGAAATGTTTCATTGTTAAAACACTTTTATGGGTTAGACATCGATGTTTCACCCTAGAAAAAAGTGTCTTAAGGCGAAACATCGATGTCTACCAGTGAGGATGACAATGTTCCACGTAAGTGCAAATTTTTACCATTCATTTAGTGTAGAACTCCTGTGAATGATATCTGAATTTATTCCAAAACGAATGTCCGGAACACAAACTGAGTAGAGAATAGTGTCTTCTGTATAATTCAGTGTTCATGTAAAAGTATTTGTTTCGAAAGAATTTTTTTTCGTGTAATTCAATGTTTATATGAAAGTAGCTGTTTCAAGGGGGCTTTTCTTCTTCTTCTTTACATTATCTACACATCCATGTATAGAGTTACTTATTTTAAAATTGATTACTTCCTTCCTTTCTTTGGAAGATTTCCACATTTTTTTGTAACAAGATGGAGTAGTACGAAGCCAAATACATTGTGTAGTTTACCACATTTTTCTCAAAACATAATTTATTTTTGAAAAAGTACCTACTGGTTTTATTTTCGATTTCGAAAACTAATCAATCCTCGGTCAATTGAAACCATTTGTCCAAATCCTTCCACGTTTGAAAGGGTAGAAGTAATTAAGATAATATTATTATTATTATTAGTTAGGAAAAACACAAGTTTCTGTTGAAATATACATAAGTGTTTTTCAGAAAAAAGGCACAGAAAGCTCGCATTTACACAGTTAGTTTTCGGAAAAAGGTGGAAAGGGGAGGATATGTGTTAAATGGGAGGTATTTGTTAAATAAGTTGGGTTTGAAGCAAATGAAATGCTTTATTAGATATACACCACTGCAATAAATACACGCTTTATAACAAACTGATATGACTTAATCATCAAAAGTTGTACTAAAAATACACTTAAATGAATAAAATAAATAAATAGAATATAAAATCCAATTTTAACGAGGACTGAACATGTTTTGAACGGGATCGAGATCTGATGGCTTGGACTGAGAAATTTGGTCAAACTTCCAAAAATACATTCTCACCGCACTCCAATTCCACCAGAACAAATTCAGCTTTTTGGATGTACAACATTTTTAATAGTTATCCTTAAAATTGACCCGAAAACTATTGACTAGGCACACTTATTTCATAACAAGAACTGTTCTATGAAAAATAGAAACTTTTTTGACAATAAAAGAAACAGTTAAATCAATAAAAGAATCCCTCCGGCTCCTGATTTCGAAGCCGGACCTCACAACGGTTCAATTTTTTTTTCGATTTTTCAAAATACTTTATATCATTACATCAACATATAAATTATTATTTTTGTAACATGACCAACAGTGTATACATGGAATGCTTAAATTCAGCCAGATAATGTGCTCCAATATAGTAATCGAGTGACACATACTATAATAGTAACGATCATATACAAAATAAATTCTTCGGAATTCGATCATCAAAGAAAACTATTATAGAGGGCTCTTACATCACTTGATCTCACTTTATACGTGTAACCTTGCCTTGAACAGGCATTAGTAGAAATTGGAGTGGTACTTCTTGAGTACTGAGTCTTGACATACTTATAGTTGCATGAAGTTAATCTGATTTTTTCTCAGTTTTCGTTTCGATATCGCGAGTGAATAAAATAACAAACCACCTTCTCTGCGTCAATGCTTTTATATATACTGTTCAAATTGTTATGTTATCTACTGTCAAATACCTTCAGGATTGAAAATTTTCATAGCTAATAATACCTCAAAGTTAATAAGCATGTAATTGCATTGCATTTGAAGTGCTGCATTCCAGTCGAAAAAAGAGAAAATTTCGAAAATAAACATGCCACAAATTTTATTCATTTTGTTAACTTATATAATAGACCATATTTTTTCCTATCTCTGACACTTTTGTTACTTAGTAATAGCATTTTTTTCCCAAAAATTTTCAGCAAAACATTTGAAATATCGAAAATGTTCTGGATTACATTTCATCACGACTCACAAGGTCTACAAAATCTTGTAAGTTTCAGTACTTTCTAAAGTGTGTGTGAAATTTTGATACAAAATGTCAAAAATCTGGGAAACCCCAAGATTGCTTTCGAGAAATGTCACAGAACTTCTTTTCGAGACTAAAAAGGAACGTTCTATAAGAAAATCTTATGAAGTTCCTATACACAATTCAAAAAACTGTAATAATGATGGGAATTTCAACACCTGTAAGGTTTTTAAATGTCACCACAATATACTTCAGTATTTTTTAGATATTTCTGGAATTTTTATGTTAAATGATCATATAATGTGAATCATAAAAATAGTATTGATTGTAGTTGATCATTGCCAAGTTAGACTACTTGAGAAATGAAATTGAGCTTTGTAGAAATGAGTCGATCAAGATAATTTTTGAAATACATTGCAGAGGTGTTAGACCTTTGACTGTAATATTTTCAACGCAGTAGAATATCACTATACTTAATTTTCTAGTGTCTAGTCACACTTCAATATTTCAGTCTTTCAGGTATGAGACATTAACATAACATTTTTCAAATCTATCATTTGCACTGTATAAACATTAAGCAGGACAAACATTAGCTCTGTGAAAATTGGTAAAAAACTTATATTGCTGCCCCTGTACTCATAACTTTGATTCAACTTCTAATGTTGACATGACAAATGCATTCCTTGGGTTGGAAAAATATGTGACATTTCATTGTTAGTATTTTTCCTGTTGAACTTTCGTAAACGGATATGTCTGTGAATATAAAAGCCCTCTGGAAAGAGTTACACCTAAGTATATAACATTTTGATTAACAACTTTGAAAATACTTTAGACAGTTAATTGCCAACAAGTGGAGTACAGTATTTTTATTGTCCACTGCCGCAAGAAAACCAGTGTGTCGGTGCACTTTTGGTGAGAGGGATGCGAGCATGCGCAGAAACTCTACTAGGCCAAGCAGGGGACCAACTTAGGCTACGTCGTCGAAAAACTCTTTTGCTTAACATTTGTTCATGATAATGTATTTTAACAAATATAGCTCAAAAATATATTACATACTCACATTATATTGCCATCAATTTTGCAATTATAAGTACATACTAACGCATCAGTCTTTAGAGAAGAAGTAATATGGAAACTTAAAGGCGTGCTTATTAAAATCAGAGTCCGGTGAAATAACCGCTCATCGTTTCGTTAGCCTGGTTTTCATTTATGTCAAATATCACTTTTCTGGAAGCTTTTCAATTCGTTCTTACCGAACAACCAATTTTAACAACTCGGAACGTTATCCCTTTTAGATGCCGAACGAAAGCCACTCCATGCCAGGAAAAGGGGATGCTTTTATTTATTACGTCGGGTCGTTATTGCCCCTTATTTTAAAGACGCACCCTGGGTTTCCATATCAGACTTAAGCTTAGGCGCGAAAGCACGCGATTTAAAACTACACAGAGGACATAAGCGCAGGAGAGCGGAAGCAACAAAAGAAGCACATTATCGGGAACGACAAACGCCATTTTGAAATATGGCTCAGATATGTGTAGAATGACCTAACACATACTAAAATTCATCATTGTTAAATGTCTTTCGGCATCTCACCAACATAAAGACGTGAAATCGAGTGCTGATTGAATATGGGTAATCTTTGCGACGCAACTGAATATTTTTCAGGTTGTTGAGAAAACATATCGACTATGTGGAGAGCTATCATTTCAAAATTACCTATACTTAGAACAAAACAAATTTCAAACTCATTCATATGTATCGAGTCTCAGACTATTTTATTCTTCATTGAAAGTTTTGAACAGAACAGTCGTTGAATGTGGAGGCAGATATAAACTTAAATTATGCTCAAGAACGAACTGAATACATTATTGAAATCGGTTGTGTGAAAAGAGTTTGGAGCCAGATTTTTTGTTTCAAATCATTCTTTGGTTTTATAGTTGAAGGTTCTAGAGCTATTTAGCATAGTTAATATTTTGAACATTAATAATATAAATAATATTATTGACTACTCGCATTGAGAACGTGCGTTCGAATTTCAACATTCTAAGGTCGGATCACTGCTACTAATAAACGAAAGTGTTCTTAGAATGTGATATTGTTAGTTTTTTTATGCGGATGCCTAGGTTTCCAATCTTGACTTTCGTTTCAAAAACCTAAGTCATTGTGACATTCCAAGGACAATGCTGTTGATTAATACCAGTAATCTGAGGTTTCAATGTAGAAAATTCAGGTATCCAAGACACCATAAAATAATGGAACATTATATGAACCTAGATATAAAATTTTTAGTGAAAAAAGTTTGTTGTTTTTACAGGGTGGATCATATGTGATAACTTCAATTTCAGTGGGCGATTCCCTATCACAAGGGATTTTTTATTAAATTTTCTGATTGCTTTTCATGTAGGTAATTCCTGGTTTTTGCAAGTTTGATATTAGCAGACACAATTAAAGATACTTGAGCTTTATGGTTCCGAAAAAAGTCTTCCCTGAATGGGTTTTTATAGTAATGAACGTTCCAATTTCGGCACTTTTATGAATTTTATAGTAGGACCTTTATAGACACCTTTCGGATATAATCCAACGCCCTTCGTGGTATTAGCTAGGGTAGTAGTTGTTTTCTGATAGGTGTCAGTCCATTAACCTACAGTGTAGGTGTAGGTAATTTGAGACTGGCTTAAACAAAGTGTCTTCTTAGATAATTTGATTTGCAGAAAAATATTCAGTTGCAGCCAAGTGGGAAAAAAGAGAGTACTTTTTTGAAAATTCTCGAATATTTTACTCATTAGTAACACAGGTTGAATTTATTCGAACTCCGAATCGCATTTTTGCGAAAATTCGACGCATCCGAAACACATTCAAAATGAGTTCTATACACATATAACACGCAAAAATCTATTGCTATGGCGACCATTGGCAGGAACGATTACGGACAAAGCGGCTATGATGCTAGTTTGGCGTGTCCGGAAAGGACCCATGAGACTATACGGGCCGAATCCAAACCTGGGATGAGCGACCCCGCCCATACAGCCAGAACCACACGGGTCATGTTTTTCAAAATGTGCGGCTTCACAACAAGAAAACACTTAAATATATCATAATATAATATGTTGATAAACTCGAAATTTGCCAGTCCTAACAAATACCTAAAAAACTACTTCACAAACCATTCCCGGGGTCTAGGCGAGAGTATACCAAAGTTTCGAACGCGATTTTGTAAAACATATCGATAAAGGAAAATATGAATCAAGTCATTGGAAATACGATTCCGACCAACTTTGGATCGATAAAAAATATTGGTTTTATATTTTACAGCGAGTAATGTGATTTATTTCTGCAAACATTATTGGGATTATTCGAAATAGATTTTAATTCAATTAGATATAGGAATAAAATACTTTGTATAATTTCTACTTACTTAATGTATTGATATTAATACAACAAAGGTTTCGGTTTTACAAAATTCTCAACTGTTCTAGCACTACTGTAGTAGTGCCAGAACACTTGAAAATGGTGTAAAAACCGAACCTTGGTTGTATTAATATCAATACATTAAGTAAGTGGAAATTATACAAATTATTTTATTCCTATATCTAATTATGAATTTCCACAAAATAAATAAGTCATCAATATAACAAATTTTAATTCAATATAGAAGATGCAATTAAAGAACGTAAAAGAAAAATAAAACATTTTCAGTTTAGGAAATGTTATGAGAACTTTTATACGTAAAAACACGATTTTCAACTTTTTCTTCCACAATTTCTTTTCCAGATTCTTTAAATAAGTTTCGTATAAACGGGTTTCGGGGATGCTGAATCTGAAATCAATCACTACTTTTTTCATCGTGAAATTATATACAAATAAGGTCTTATACTTTTCTTTGTTGGATTTGGGTATAATACACAAGAATTGAACTTGTTGAAATACTTTGATAAAATTCACAATAAAAAATGCAAAAAAAACAAAACGTTATTTTGATTAATTCATCCATTCATAACTTCAGGGATTGATTTTCAAGGCAAATTGAAGTACTAGTAAAATAATTGATTTGTTTCAGTAGGAAAACTTTATTCGTCTTGAACTAAACACTGAATTGAGAAGGAAATTCATTAAAATAAAAAATATCTTCCGATAAATTGTTTTTCTTCATTTTTATTATGTTCGGCATTCCGTACAGATTCAAATCTATCAATACGAGTGAAACCGGGAAATGAATTTCCTCATAATAAAGTAACAGCAGGGATCGGAGACTAAGAACACAAATCTTCCCACGTCATTCCGTCAAAAGAAATTTTTTTCAAAAACCTGTACAAATTTGGCACAACATATGATACAAATTGTTCATTATTGTCAAGAAATACCTCAATCATATCAAATGAATACGCATTCAACCAAAATATTCGCCTGCAAATAAAAAATTTTGACTCGCACCAACATGAAAAATCAACTTTCAAATTTGCTTTACAAAATTGTGTTCATGCTTAAAATCTAAGTTCCCGGGAATTGTTACAACCATCAGGGAACGTACAAAGCACATAAAAATACATTATATTTATATAAAACGACTAGAATACCACGCAAGCAGATATTTGATAGGCGAATTTGCGGGCCACGCTTTTTTTGGAAATTCTGAAGCTTTGGTCCGCGATATCCAGCCAACAAAGCAAGGAAATTTTGGTGTAATAAGTACGATCAGTACAGTTAGTCATATTTTAATTACAACACATAATCCAATAATTTCTTGGTGTTTCACGAAAATGTGTGTGAAGAGCAGTTATTGCTTTCCTAATTGGCAGTTTTTACTTTTTCCAATCGAATGTTGACTAAAAATCTTTCACGATCTGTTTGATTTTGGCAGAGAGTAATAAACCTCAATTATGTATGAAAAACGCTTACAAATTGAGTAATGTCCACACTGAGTCAAAAATGAAAAGGTCCACAACAGGTATTTCGGAAACGGTGAAAGACAGAGCGAGGTTAAACGGAAAAAAAAGTATCTTTATTGGGTGACTAGTAAGGTATTATTTGAAAAGTTGAAACAATAGAACAATATTATAGAATATGTTTCAAATCATTTATTTTTGTTGCTCAGATATTGTCTGGTGAAAATTTTTGAAAACGGGTCTGATTTGAGCCCTTGAATTCCAAGAAATTTTTTAAGCCTACTTATTTTGATTTTTCGTTTTGAAAATCCATCTTTAATTCATATCATTTTATTATGTAGGGTCCTGCTGTAATATTCAAGTTGATTTTGTTTTACTAGTTCTTAAATTTGAGTTCTATGATGCAAATTTCTACTACTTAAATCTGTTGTGCTTGGCGAAATATATATTGAATTTCAGTATTTTGGATCCAAAATTTCATAACTTTTTTTAATAATATTGTAAATTGATACTGATCATACTCAAATTATTTTTGATTATTGAATTTTTCAAATATATTTTCATTATTTCTCATTTTGCAAAACTAAAATACTGCTAGATGAAATAGATGTTGAACAAGACTCAATTTGCGAAAAAGAATTATAAATATTGTTGGTCTCCGACGTTAGTTTCCGTTATTATTGAATTATAGCAGGACTGTACTCAAAAAAAGTATAAAAAAATAATGGATTGTTGACTAGGAGCTCTTTTATAATCATTGCTTTATCTTCATAACCGTTTCCAAATCCTTACCCTAGACCCAGTTTATACACATTCAAATAGAAACTTTTATTTTTATTATTTCATAAGCGTTTAGCTCATACAATTTCTTCATCAATATCTAATTGGCCATATACTATTCTATAGACCAAAGTGGAATATCAATTTGTAGAATACAAAAACTGTTGCTGGCAAAATCATTCACATTCGACACGACAACTGATATAAATGTTTGTTTGCTCTTTCCACAGAATATTATTTTTGGGTAATTATCAGCATTGGACGATATGTTAGTTTCACAATTGGAAAAGCTCTGATAACTTAAACCAAATTCCTATATCAATTGAGCAAAGTCCTTGGTCTAACAGTTTTGAATATAAATGTCAATTTTATAAAAAATAATTCTAATTGCGTTACATTTAATTTTGATTAGAAGTTTTGATTGATACGGCTGATAGTTCAAAAATAAAAACTGCCAAATTCTCTAAAAGTATAAACCTTCTGTAAGGTCGATCCCCAGCTTGATCAACACTAGCGATTATAATGATTTGTTGCAAAGAAAATAATTTTCTGTGACATCCCTACTTCAATAATGGAATACTCTAATTTCGTGCGATTTCCAGAGGAAGTGAATGAAAAGGAACTGATGAAGCATGAGAAAATACGTAGCAGCCGACTGAGTCAACGGACGCTGTTTTATTGATCTGTTTGGGTGAATTACAGCCATGAATGATTCCTAGGGAGATATTCCCCTCTTCTCAGTTCGGCATTTTCGCAAGGTTCCATTTCCTTTCAGCAGCGTTGATCTTCAATAATTCATAACGGAATAGAACAGAAACAATTCAGTATTCGATATAAAAGAAGCTGCTCTAGTAGTATATAAATCTTAGCGAAGTTTAGCGTCTGATTGTTTTTTTTTATTTTGGTAAATTCTCTCAAATATCAAGAGCTATCACCGTTCTACAACAAACGTTGTGTGTACTTTTTTTTTCATCTCAGAAAAACTGAATTACGTTCGTTCACACACACATACCACCTGTATTTTCAAAGGATATCATTTTGCGTAACATGACTTCACTGGTACTGCATTTTGACAAATAGTTTAGGGCGACTTTTGCCGCTAGAAGGCGCTGCAAAACTCTAGGAGAATAAAGAGGTTACCATGGGATATGCATATGTTGTAGATAGTGTTTGTATTTTTATAATGAGCTTTTAATATTCAGTTATCAGAAACTAGATTGAACTTTCATTTTATTCTAACTTTTATGTCGGACAACTGCAATATGTTAGATAATTTCTAATACATACACATACATACATGAGTTTGCCGATGGATTAATCGATTTGGAGTATTATTTTTCATTTCTTTGCTAGATCTCGACCACTCCGTAGTCTCTCAGAATAAATATCAGATTTTGAAGACAAAAATCAATAAAGTTGAAAACATTGAAGCACCAAGTAACGGTGAAATCATATTGCGCAAAATTGTATAGATAAAAATTTTCCTGGACTTTGTAGGTGATACTGGTTTTGATTGTTTCATGATAAATGATTCCATGAACACAGTTTTTTGTTTTAATGTTTTTTTTCCAATCAATATAATACCAATAAACAAAAGCATGAGGATCGACTTCTGAAATCTTTCGAGAACTATCCACCATCTGTGCAAAGTGATAACATCGGGGTATGGGAAGGCATTTCCGATCATCACAGTCTGTTAAAGAGGTTCTGTTCGAGCGCAAAAATTGGGTATTTTAGAGTGGACATTGCGGCATGGCGCATTAACAGTGCACAACAATCATCTACAACATGAGCAAATATTTATAAAAAACTATTTCTGAAACAACTCATGCAGCGCGTAACAACAGATATTGTGCAGAAATGTGTAGGTATGGCCAGCCTCAGAAGTGAAAAGTGAGTTGAGGCATCTACGGGGCTGGCAACAAACAGGACTAGATCAATAACTTGCGCCCGCCGCTTAAACGGGGCTTTTTTCCGTAAAACCAGGAAAATGTGCTGAAGACGCTGAGACATGATTTTACTCTCAATGTTCATAATTATCCGTTACCAATTCTGGTAGTCTATTGATATTCCTAATCTAAGTTGATATGCCAGGAAATACAAATTCCAGATCAAAAACTTATGGAATATAGCAATCAGGAGTTGGCCACTTACCGATTGAGATGGCAAAAATCTTAATTTTGGCAAAAACTGATTGTCAATGAATACAGCGTATATTTTCCTGGTCGGTGACAAATGAAGCTAGGGTAGGTGTGCAGTGTTTTGTGATGAACATAGAAACTTACTACATATTTACACTCTCCACCTGAATCCAATAGAGTTATGTTCCCTAGATTAATTGACATGAAGGTAAACGTAACATATTCAAGTGACAGATCAATAAATTGGGACCAAGAATCCAAGTTTGGTTGTGCGTGTGTCGAAGAAAACTTTTGAGAAAAATCTCATAGTGACCATGGCGAAAAAACTCATCTACTTATCATTCAATACTGAGGTTGACGAAATGAACAAGTGGATATCCTAATCCGAGATATCGACTTGATATACTACTCGAGTTTTTTAGTAAAGATATATTCAATTTGATGTATAAATGAATATCAAAGGGTTTTTGCCATATACCCCTGCAGAACTATTTTCAATTAACTACTGTTCAAAATGCTTTTCGATAACCTCATGACGAACCCAATCAAGACTAACAGTGTGGAGGTCTTAATCATCTACCTTCTTCAGACAATAAGTGCTGTCAGGTATTCATAAGTAACAATCTGTAACTAATTCGTTCTGTTCTTGACATACTGAGATGAAGATAATTTTATTATGAACACGACAAAGTCTTATAGTTGCAGAAATTTCAAGTTTCAAAGACCCAATAAAAGACCTCAGTGCGAAGGATTATACGTAGAAACTCATTCAAATTATGAATTGTGGTCTTAGTATTATGTTCACAATGAAATTACGTATGTTTCAATATTTTAATGTATAATTTTACACCAGAAAACCTTGTTAAAGAGTAGGCAACTATATTTTCGCATTTTACTAAGATCTTTCTTTCAGTCTTGACGGGTGCTCGATAGGAATTATGATAAAATATATAATCAAATATTCAATTACAGGTAGTTTTGTTTGGATATAGGGCAGAAGGTTATCACCTTTCTTTGTTTGTACATTATATTGTGAAAATATACATTTGATTACGAAATTCGACAAGGGATGTTCTTCTATCTAGTTTGGATTCCAGATATCTTGCCAGTGGGACGATAAATCTAAAAACAAACCATTCTTGGCCACAATTCGTTGGGTTTCTGGCAATTGCTTTATCACTAAGAAGATCTTTACCAGAAAAGATGTGTTGTTTAATTCAGTCTTACCGAAAACGTTATGCTTTTAACTCAGACATACTGAGAAACTGCCTACTTAATTTTACTTCAAAATATACTACGCTACTAATACTAATGACTATGATACGAAAAAAATCACACATGCCTATACTAGGTATATAGGTTTTGCTTATTTGGGCCCAAGGAAGATTGTTCAAACAAGTTCTTCAACATTACACAAGCTTTTCCGTAAGGAATAATATCATCACACTTACTTCTAAGTACAAAAGTACAGTAGGTCTGTATAGAAAGGGAGGCTGTAATACAGCTGTGCCGTGCTACCTTGAGGCTCAGGAAAGGGATTTGGAAGAGATTGGAGGCAATCACCAAGATGGATCGAACGAGGTAGATTCAGATCAACCAAGTTTCCGCATGCGTTTCAGAGTGAAAATATCTGAGACTAATATATGTCAACCCTCACAACTTTACCAGTGTGATTCATGAAGTGTATATATTTTTTTGCAATCGAAAGTAGGTATATATCCGATAACCACATGAGATATGCTTAGAATGGTTTCAACTACCATAAATAGGAAATGAAAGTATTCCTGAAATAGTTCTACTTTTGTCAATCACTTTCTGTAACGTTTGGGGATATAGTTTTATTGTGAAATTGATGAAACAAATTCACAATTACTGCACAGTTAATGAACTACACAGTACTAGGTGAGGTCATTAAGGAAACTTGACTCATCAGAAAACCTCTGGCCATTCGACTATACGCAAGAAAAAATAAATAAAAAACTAATTGAAAACTGCAAGAAATGGTATTATTAATTAAAAAAAGCATTTACAACAAAAAATCAAAGAAAAACAAAACAATGTACATTTAATTTAAGAACAATTTTACCATTAAACTAATATATAATAACAACAGGTTTAAAAAATGTAGTAATAAAAAACGGAGCGCCGTGTTGCATCCAGTGTTCTCATTCCGAGTCTTCCGCGTTTCAAGGTGCCCATCCCAGGACGTCCAAGAACGATACAAAAAAATGTGTACTCCGAACATGACACTTTAAAACAACATATAACACTTATCGAATGGGCACCAGGAAAGAGGCGGCCGGTGAGCCTGGATACCGCAGGGATCTCTAATTGAGGGCTGGCATTTGGATTGAGATCGCTCAGCCCTCGCGAAATTGCGATCAATCGCCTCCTGATCTCAAAAAACAACAATGATATAATTTAAATAATAATAAGATATAAATTATTGTAAAAAAACTCGAGTTCCATCGAGAAAAAAATCACGGGGATTGATTCTGGATAAAACAAACAAAAAAACAAATACTGATAAAATGTATCCATCGCACCCACACGATGTACAAAACAAGTTATATCGCAGCATTATCAGTCGTAACAAAAGAAGTGGGTATCGACAGATGGAAGTTGATTTAGCATTAAGCTAGTCGGACAAGACGCACGAACTTCAACTGTTGGCTGTATTGTGCTATCAAGCCCATGATTTTATTCCGAGGGCAGAAAAAAATAAAAAAAATAAATGAACGAGAACCTAGCTACTAAGTATATAGTCTTGAATGGCGCAAATCGGCCCAGGAATACGAGAGCTCGTACGTGCCCTCGAGTTCGATATCTTAAACTTGGCAGCATTAACAAACAAATATATTACTACAAAAAACTACAACTAATTAAAAAAATAGAGATGGTGAAGAGATGCTTGCATGCACCACACTTACTAATATTACTTGTGAATAACAAAACTAAAAATAAACATAAACAATGCCGACAACGGTCGATCCCGAGCGGCTGGAAATAAGGGCACACGGCACGCGGTCGTATTTCATCGATAATATAAACATCCACAAGTGGGGGATAAAGAGAGAACAATAAAAAAAGATCTAATTCAAAAGTCCGTAGTTGACTAGGGTCCGTAACAACGCGGCATCCCGCAAACAACGAGCTCTATTTCTAAGAACATACACAACATCATACACGCATATTAAAATAGATCATTATCATCGGAAACTGCTCAATTTAAATTACAACAATGGCCCAGGCACCACGCGATGCTTGGTTAACATTTCTAATCTGAATAATAATATCCCTGTTTTAAAAATTGATAATTTGGTCATACAACATAGGCGACAGGTGGCCGAAGCGGCAACGCTGTCCAGCTTACGCATTGTCAAACGTTATAATATTAAAAATATCAACATGTGAAATACGGTACAAAACTATGACGATAATAATCGTGACAATTTTGACAACTTTAAAAAAATAATAATACAATCAACAGACCAGCATCCGACCACTCCATTCAAAAATGCATCAACAAAAAGTGTTGGGAATGGCTGCTGGAGACCCTGCCTGGAATTGCCTACAGGCCAAGGGGGGGTACCTGTACGTAACGATAGATATAAAGCCGGTAGTCTTTGCTGGCCAAAACAACGGAACCGTCATCCATGAGGGCGACGTCGAAACACTGCGCGTGCTTTACTTTGCTCTCCAGAGCAGACACCAGCTGTCCGTCTTGGGTGAAGATGGTCAAGTTGAAGTTGTTGTGGTTGTCGGCAATGAGAATCTCGCCATTGGCATTGATACCAACTCCTATGGGGTAATTAGTAATTCCCTCTCCGCCAATTTGCCGTAAGTAAACGCCTTCATAACTGAAAACTTTAACGCAATGAGCTCGGTTGTCGCTGATGAAGATTTCCTGTTTATCATTTACGACAACGCCGTTGGGGAACTCCAAGTGTTTGGAACACCCGAATTTCTGAAGCACGGCACCGGTTTGATCAAATATGATAACTCGCATTACTTTGCATTCGACAACGACAATGCGCCCCTTATTGTCCACGGTTACACCTCGGGGGTGTTGCAAAATGTTCGCTCCGAATTTGCGCACGAACTGGCCGTACTGGTTGTAAATTTGGATTTGGTGTGTGGGAGAGCGCTCGGTGACGATTATATCGCCGGAAGTACGTACTACAGCGACGCGGTTCGGGTACAGCAACTGTCCATCGCGTTTGCCGCACTCTCCAAATTGAAACTTGAACCTACCCTCCTTGTCGAATATCTGAATTCGATGGTTGTTGGTGTCAGCTACGATAATGTCGTTCTGGGCGTTGACGGCCACTCCGCTCGGTTCGGTGAACTGACCCTCCATCACACCGAACTCCCCGAACTTGCAGTGGTAGATCATCTTTTGTCGTTTTATCTGAGACTTCGGAGGGAAAATCGCAGTCGACATGAGCTTGCTTGTCAGATCTAGCATGGGGTCGTTCTGAGGGGTGTTGCTTAGCGAATACGGATCGGAGGTTCCGTTTTGGAAAATGCTATCGGTGGTTCCGCCGTTCGACCACTTTTCGTAAGGGTTGATGCCGTTGAGATTCAAATCGCCCATGGTCGTGGAGAATGGTCCTAAGCTATTGGCACTACTGAACCGTTTGCTGATTATGTTTGATTCGAACGGTGACGTGGACTGGCTGGATCCAGTCAACGGAAAGGGGCAGTGGATACCGCTGTTCAAGCTTCCTGAGCTACCGTTCACGCTACTTCCACTGGAACTGGATCCTCCTCCACCGGTAGGTCTTGCAATCGGTGGCTGTTTGCTTGGACCGACTACTGTCTCAGAATTAGATCTAACATAACCAAAGGTGTTTCGAACTCCAACTTGAATCGCTTGGTAATTGGATACGAATTCCAGTTCACTAGCGGATTGTACGGCTTGGTCTATATTGCAACTCATGAGACTCTGCAACTTAGTATCTAGTATTTTTTTGAACATTAGAATTTCAACAACTGTAGCGCATTTGCCCAATCTATCTACGAATTCACAAGTTTTATTTATTTGTTCGCACGTTTCCTGTCCTTTCTGCGTCGCCACGTTTAGGGATATTTGTTTTGCGCTGAATACACTTTCCAGTTCTTTGAGAAGTTCTTGTTTCCTTTCCTCCAGCATGGATCTGTAGAAGAGGAAGGTGTCATTGATTTCATTTTGAGCTTTGTGATACTGGACTTGTAAGCGACTTGAAACGTGTTCCGCATTCTTCAAAACATTTCTTATATCGGTAGCTTTGCCCTTGGCCTCACTGATTCCATGGTGGATAGCGTCGATATATTTGGGAGCAGCATCGTTCAAGTGTTCGTAATCGTGAAGCGCTGCCGGGTGATCCATGCTTAGACACTCTTTGCAAATTGGCACGAAACACGTGTTGCAGAAGTATTTGAAAACTTCGGATTTATGTTTGTGACATATCATTTTTTCGCTCAATATTTTATCAGAGTTTCCAATGATGCCGGTAGGGATCAAGCCGTTTCTGGATTCATCTTTGATCTCAGCGAGGTTCATAACCCTGTGCCCTTCGAAGCAGTGCATGAATTGATGTGCCATCACGCAATTTGAACACAAGTAATTAGCACAGTCCACACAACGGGCAACTGCGTCTAGTTTCTTGTGTTTGCAACCCGTACAATGCACAGGAGCTGAAATATAATCGTTGTTTGAATCTGAAGAGAAAAGGGCGGTGGTCAGAATACCTTCCAACAGCCCGGCGTTGCAACGTGGACACACACACTTGTTCTTGTCAAGACAAGAGTTGCAAATAGTATGGAAACAAGCCAACAATTTAGGATTGGAGACTGGATCTCTGCACTGCTGGCAATGGATTTCTGATGGGTCGCTGTCTCTGTCGAATGAGTCGCTGACTGGTGGAGAAGATCCGCTAGTGGACGATGGCGTATCGTCCAAGGGAGAAAGTGAAAGATAGTCGTGGGGTTCGCTGAATGATCCGATAGAATTTGCTCTCGTCAGGGATTCTATTGAAAGTGTTGGTGATGCCATCTTCAGTTACCCGTCATCCCTGAAACAATAGAAAGAAATTGTTAACACTGGCATGAAAATCAAAAGAAGTGGTTACGTGAATTCATAAAGCAATTCACGGTGTACTACAGGGATATCATATGGGTGAAAAATTGCTTTATCTTCGATGTACTTCATATGCAAAAAAAGGTGTGGTTATAAATTATTTAGGAATGAATACAACATATCGCACAACTTGCATTAATTGACCCTAGAGTACCATTCATTATTCTGAAAATTTCTACTTGAAGTACTGAATCTATGAAATGACATGTACTCTCCATATTAACGAACTGGCCGTTTGAATGCATTCCACAACCTATCTTTCTATAGTATATAGTATCTTCTCATAGTACATGTCAAAACATTTATAGAACAGGACCGTAAATGCACATTCGTGACAATAAAAAATAAGATGAAATTGAGAAATATTATAAAACACCCATTTCTGTTATTATTATTTCCATCTGAAGTAAAAGCAACAAAGCCGTCTACGACAGATTAATTGAACTGCATGACACGTAATTTAGATTAAATTAATGAATCTATGCTGCTAGGATACTTTGGTACATTTCCCTTGTGTTTCTTATGGTCCATAAGACTTCAATGGCAAATAAGAATATTAACATCGCTAATTACCGTAAAAGTTAAGAGAATATTTGAATGCGCGTCCTCACTAGTACACGAATGCGAATGAGGCAGACCGAATCCGCATCGATTGGGTCGAGTTGAGCCGAGGCATACTTTAGTATCTGTGGGGTGTGCAAGTTTTATATCTATTTTAAAAGAAGACAACAAATGCAAAAACATAGACCAAGATTTTCTTCAAAATAATATTCAAGAAAAATACGTTCCAGTCGTATGATATTTCTTGACTCTAGTTTTTTATCTGCTATAGGAACCCTATAAACTCTCGATTTTTTTGTTTATCCATGCATGTGTTAATAAAAGCAAATAGTTTTGACCAAGCTTCTTCTTTTACAATTTTACGAACATTTCCATATTTTTATATTCATGAATGAGTTCCAAACACAACTCTTGGCTCCATTTCCTTTTCATTAGTGTACTTAACTCAAAAACTATCAAAAACACCGTAACACACGTCCACATTCAAAAAAAGCGTTCACGAACAGTTTGAAGCTGACTATGTGTCTTTGCGGTAACATGGATGTTCACAAAAAACTTTTACCGACTTATAGAAAGGTCCCTGCACGGTACAGTTGAGTTGGCTGTCCTTGTTCATTTTTCACTGCCTGAACCACTGTGCATGCTATTTTTGGCGAGTGCATTAGCTTGGGATATGAGGGTTGAGCAAACCGCCAATCGGATGCCTGCTTTCACGTAGCCCCGCTGGATACGGAAATGACAGAATCACTTGTGGTTCTGTTATTCCCTAACTGAATGGCATCCCAACGATGGTTTAATCCTAAGATGTGTGTATCCGTGCCGAGAGAATGAATGACACTGAGGCTATCAGCTGACTCTACGGAACCTTCGAGATACCGGGCGCCCTCTCGTCGTAGCATCGCTGTGTCACGGTAATGCGGGGCTCTGCCGTGATCGACCTTCTTTTCCTAGGTACTTGTGGGACTTTTATGGACAGAGTAAACTTAAAAATTATTCCTGACGCTGAGTCTACAGAGGAGATGGATGTCGAGCTTACGACTCCAACTGACCTCCCTGTAAATTTAGTTCAGGAGCGAGAGCTTCTCAACTCCCCAACTCCAGGAAATGACTGAGTCGTCTCCTCAAGAGCGGGTTACCTTATGAAACCGCCTTGAGCGGCCTACGCAGAATCTGTCTCAGGTGGAGGAACAAACCTCCCATGAGCAGGTTAGCAAACGTTTGCGCTCAAGTGGTGATTCACCAAAACCAGAGGCGAAAACGCTCTGCACAGGTGTAGCTGACGTGCGCAAAAATCCTCATATGGGAAGGTTGTCACGGGTATCAAGAGCCGTACTCTTGATCGGCTGATTTGAAAGACCACTCACAATACAAACTAATCGGTTTCGTTAAGAAACTGGGTTTATTTGGTCGAGTGTGAATAGGTGTAAGCTGCAGGAAAATCAGCAATTTTTTTGGTAGAGGATAGAGCCAGTATGACCACGTGAAGCATCATGGTGGTGATAGGTTGCAGGGCAGTATATCTTCAAAAAATCAGGTATTAAAGACACTGGTAGGCATACCTTCTGGATCTGGTATTATCTCACAGAAAGCTGATACCCCGATCTTACAGATCACGTGATTCTTCCAGAATTGCCAAATTCAATCAAGTGTAACAAGTAACAATTGGAATAATAGATTCCGTGTTAGGAATCACACGTTAAAAGGTAAAACCTCGTTAGTCCTTAGATCGCACAAGTTTCTCAACTTCTGAGAGTTGCCGTTCGTATGGGGGCGACAGCTGATTAACGGAAAAACAGATTTTAAACAGATTTTTTTTTAATTCCTCATTTTGTAATTTCAGCAATAGTGGTTATTCCTTCATGTCCGTACCTTTATAAAGTACACCAAAAAATGTCGACAACGACACTGTTACGAGATTATTCGTCGGGCAAAGGGATAAAACGGATAATTCGTCCGGAACACAAGGAAAAACCCTTGTTATGGACCGAATGACAAATGCTATTCCGAAGCAATAGGGGCATCGAACGATTGAAGGGCACCGTCGCTTATTCATCGGCGTCGGCGGCCAGAGAGAGTCAGAGCAAGCGATGAATCAGAGGTGGTGGCGGAGAATGCAACGCGGGGGTTGTCAATTCTTTCGGGGGAGAATGTTTGGACGAGTCTGGCGGGGTGGGAGGGAGTGCGCGATCGATGTACCGACTGAGGGGACTAATGCGTGTTGCCTAGCAACGGAGTAAGGGTTGCAACCCCACTTGAATTATTGCTGCAACAAGGTGGCTGGCCTAGCCAGACTAAAGTCTACGACGCGTTTTCGTTATTTTATTTTCGCTAAGTTTTCCGGCTCTTCGAAGCGATCGCGACGCAGTTGTTTATGCGTCAAGTGCAGAGTTTGAAAAAATACGACTCCACTGATGAGACTGCAGAAAAAAATCAAATACGCCTACGTGGTGATATCTCAAACTTTTCTCACGGTTAGGGAGACAACATCGTTTTGCTCGCTTAAAACTAAATAAAAAGCATATATTTCAATCCGCAGAAGGAAATTCACGTGGCAGAAGAAATTAATCTTCTGGAAGTTTCGCAGGTCAATGAACCCAACAAAAACATAGCTTCTGAAGTAAGGGTGGGTATTTTCACAACGGAAATTATGCCGAGCTGAAGTTAACACCAGTTTTGTCGGAATCTAAGTAATTTTTTAATAATAGTATAGTCATGGTGCATGAGAAGAGAAAAAATTTAGTCGACAGACGCGGGTACTGAACACAAGTTCAAGTATAAATACTTTTGTTCAGTTTTTTTAGGGAGATGAAGGAGAATGGCCATACTGACGTTAAAAAAATATTTATTCACTTTTAATTTCATTCGTAAAGTTGTAGGCGTCGAAAAGAAACGCCTTTCTAGTTCAAGTTTATTCTCATATAAAGCTTGTTCATCTCATTGAATTATAAAAAAAAAGTTTTTGCAGAAACTCTAAACTGTAATTTCGGGCACAGTATATCTATATAAGCGGACACTTCAAAAACATGCTGACACATTGTCCATACTGGAAATTGTTCAGAAGAAAGGCGCGTAAGTTACAAATAAATAGAGAAAAACGATGTGTCTTCTGATGAATATAAAAAATTAGCGAACAGAGGCAGTGACGCAGATAAATAATTTTCCATGAGTAATCTTTCACTTCAACAAGTTCTACGAAAGTTCTAGGACACGAAAAGTTTGATTTGCTTTTCTATCCATTACAATACGAAACGTAAAACATTTTGGGACACCCAGTTTTCGATCAATAATGGAGCAAAACCAAACTGGGTTCGGCCACAGTTTTTACGAAGAAGGTCAAACGAGAAAAACAAGTAGACTAATTATAGCAAAATTCTGTGTGTCACGGTGATGGTGAGATTTAGTCGCAAAATTTCAATGAATCTGTAACAAAGGACTGGTTATGCTGTCAAAACCACGAAATGCCGGGTAGTCGATTGAACGCCTGATAATTAACAGCTGACTAAACTGGTAACGTGGGCGTTTGCAGATTGGTTTCGCTCACAGAGACAGAGCCGAGGATAAGCTCCTTTACTTTGATACCATTCAGGGAGATAATTTCTCATCACACGCAGTGTTTATGTTTCTGTATTCCCCGCAAAACTCATCGAGTGTTCTTAGAATCAAGGAGCTACGAAGGAAAGTAGCTTAACGATGACTAATGAACTAAGAATAATCTATTTCAAATGTACTGAGATTAGAACTATGAACAGTATGCCAAATATTAATGAAAAGCAGATATCAGGAAACGTGTAGTACGAATTCATCAAAAATCCTATCCAAAAATATATTACTATTCGTTTCCGGATTGCAGACGTGGTTAACATTTCACTTAAATTTACATATTAACGCAGAATATATAGTAACTCAAAAAAGAATACATTTTATGTATTCTTGTTCGCCTTTTTCAGAAAATTCACATCCATTTCTTCCTAACCATAAACCTTCAAATAAACTGTATTCAACATATGATTATTCTTTGCGAAGTTCAACCATTCTGTCACTTGCGTCCTGTCGTGTACATTTCTTCGTTTTTCAATGTTTTTCTGATGAATGTAGTCTTGAATGGAGCCCAAACGATGCAAGATAGTCACAGGAAGTTTCAAGGGCAGTGTCCTCCCAATGAGAAGTTTGTGATAATATCTTTGGAAGAGAGACAGAGTCCCTTCTTTCGATGTTCCTAACTGTATCAGTTTTGCTTGTGGCGTTTGGGTAACAAATAATATGGAACGCCGTTTTACTTTTTATTGTCACAAATATTCATTCCTGAATTTATTCACCTAACAATTTATTTGTTTGAATTTAATTGAATCATGCATTTGTTGGGCACATTAAAAA